ATTATTGATTGAGAAATTGAAGCTAATTCCATTATGATTAGAACAACCTGGTGCTCCTAGGACGAAGGAAAACACCGCCGTCATCCCTGAATCACTTGCGTCTACCGATGCTGACCACGCCCGCAACCCCAAGTCACCCAGCAATGCCGACTTCGGGCCCAAAAATGTTTTCGTCAGTGAGCCATACCAAGGCCAGCAGATGAACTACCCCACAAGAGGTGCTACCTCTGGTAATAAACAGTGGCAGTCTCAGGCAGCTGTTCCTGAGCAGCGAACCCAGGCCCCCACCTACGGTCAGGGAAGCCAAACCTCCGGTATGGGAAGCCAGTACACCCAAAAAGGCAGAGAGACCGGGGGCTCATCCTCGGCCACTAGTGGTGCGTATGCCTACTCTGGCCAAGGAGTCCGGGATACCACTGCTGTTCGTGACAATACCTCCACGGCCAGGGATCAGGGAGTCTTAGGCAAATCAAACATTTCCAGCCCTACTGGCGCCTATGCCCCTTCTGGCCAGGCGGTTCAGGATGGAGGGGATGCACGAGATAGAGTAAATGTGCCTTCATCGATTAACAAGGGAACAGCGTACCAACGAACCTCCAGCGCTGGACAATTTGCTCAGCAAATGCCAGATAACGCAGCCAAGTCTATGCAGAAAGACAATGAATACGGTAGTACAACGGCCACTGGAGGTGTTGCTGGTGGCGTCATGGGACAAGGAACCAAGAGCAACGTCGGTCAAGGATCTACTCCGAACGTCACAGACGACAACGCTGGAACCCGCTCATTGCAGAAGGACACGGCATCTCCTAGCTCAGCAGTCGCCGGAGGCTCCGTCGGAAAACAGAACGCCAATGACAACATGAAGGCACGGGATGCCCAACAAGAAAAATTGTCCGCAGCCAAGTCAACCTCATCAGCAACTGAGTCCACCCCCAGTGGAGTAGATGCAGTGAACGCAAGGAGCCAGGTGCAGAACAAAGAATCTCGAGTTTACCATGACAAGTCAACACAAGATGAGACCGGCGATGTGGTTGGCTCTACTCAGAAAGGCAGCGGTATGGGAGAGACCGACAAAGGTGGTTCTGATTCCCAAGAGAAAGGCAAAGAGAGTGCAGATGGCACTGGAGACAAGCTTCCCAGGAATACCAAAGTTAGCGAGGAAGCGCTGAAAGGCCCTCAGACCCCGGCGCGGGAACCCTACGAATTTGAGAAGCGCCTGGATCGTGGGTACAGCCGCTCGAAACCATCAGGTCAGTATAGCACTGATCTGTCCTCTACTAAGACTTTTGAGTTTGACTAACCATATATTAGGTCCCGACACTAGCAAGAGTTCCAACGAAGGAGGAGCGGCAGCAGCACAAAAAACTAAGGCAAAGGAAAACGGTCACCAGCATCACGGTCCCATTACTCAGCTGAAGGAGAAAGTCTCCAAGGTTCTTCATCACAACAACGGCAACGGCAACGGCGCGAAGGCATAAATGAGGTGGCTAATACGATATCATTCCGTTAATCGGTTGACATTTCGAGATTGAATGATTTCACGGTTCCACAAGTTATGATCATGTATTATTGTTCGGGAATTGGCCACGGTCGGCGCGGTAATGTTTGAGGTTGATTTAATGTTTACGTTCCTCATCAAGTCTGGAATACACTTTCAGGAGGGAAAATTAATGTAATTTACTCTTTTCTGCGAAAGTATTGATATCCTGGGAACGAATAAAATTTGGTAATTCGACAATTCTAGTATAGCTATAACTGGACCTAGTGCTGGCAGTAGTCAAGAAGCTTCATGGACCCAGATTATGACTTGCAGTGTCTCCAGAGCTATTTACGTGACCTAGTATTGCATCACTACCATGCTACACTAAATACTTAGTAGAGGATGCTCATAATATGTGGGTTCACCTATTCCTGGCTAATCGGAGGGCGTCCTCGTATATGCGATGCTCCTCCGATTGGGCTGCTTCCTGCAACTAAGATAGTGCCGGGTCCTTCTACTGCTAGTTGTTGTAGTATTAAGGCCGCGCCGACTCCCATCATGAACATAATTTTGCCTGCTTCACCAGTCATAACTTGGCCCAATGTCCTCATCTTCCGGGACTCCAGCTTCTAAACCTCGTCGACGACGTGACAAACCTCAACTTTCGTGCATCGCATGCCGCCAGCGCAAGTCTCGATGCGATCGACTACAGCCATGTACCAGCTGTGTCGCACGCGGTCACTCATGCGTCTACCTGACCCAAAAACCACCAGCATCCCTATTGCATCCTACGCCCGTTGGAGCAGCAGCAGGACTTCATGACCGGCTGGTTCACTTGGAGCGTCTCGTCAAGTCCTTAATGCCCGATGGAACCAACAATGACGAGGCGCGACAGCTTACTACCCCAGATACCACTCCCAATAGCAGTGTTCGACAAGTGCCTAGTAATGGTGTAGTAGATACACAGTCAGATTGTGGCAGCATGCAGATCACCGATTCCGAGCTTCAGTATGTAGCCGGTGAACACTGGGCGGCCATTCTGGACAGCATTGCCGACTTGAAGGCGCAATGTGATCGCGAGGAACAAGTCAGGATGGCCGAATCTATCGATGACACGAGTGGGAAGCCATCCCACTTTCGACATGCGTTGTTGCTCTACGGATGTGAACGGGCTTCCTCAAGGGCTGAGATCATCGCCGCACTGCCACCCAAGGCTGCTGTTGACCGCTATATTTCGAAGTATTTTAACTATCTTGATCTTGTCGCTTCTGGTGAGACACCTTAAGTCTTTTTCCTGCTCCGATGACAGTATCACTGACTTCGGATGATTAGCTGCGGTTCATGGACCTAGCTTTCTTCAAGAGGCAAGCTGATACATTTTGAGTGAAACCAGCAACGATTCCTTACAATCCTTACTAACCACTCCATAGTACGAAGTCTTTTGGTCCGACTCCACAAGCATGCCAATCATCTGGGTTGGCCTTCTCTTCAGCATGATCTGCCTAGCCGTAATGGCCTCGGACGTGACCGACAGCGCAGAAGACGAGCATAAAACCCTCCAACTCGAACTCTACCGCAAAAAGGTTGCCCAGTGCCTCGTCATGGGCGAGTACACCAAGCCTGGCCCCTACGTACTCGAGACCCTAGTCCACTACGTATACATCGAGTTCGGAATCAACCCCGACGCGGACCGCAACATCTGGTTCCTGCTCGGGCTCGAAGTCAACCTCGCAATGCGAATGGGCTATCATCGCGATCCCAGCCACTTTCCCAATCTCACTCCATTACAGGGCGAAATGCGCCGTCGCCTATGGACAACCGTACAAACAAGCGATACTCTCCTATCCAGCCAAATGGGCATGCCGCGAATGATCTCCGACTGGAAATGGGATACCGCAGAACCGCGAAACTTATTCGACACAGACTTAAGCCAATCCCTAACAGCACTACCCCCCAGCCGACCAGAAACAGAACACACCACTACATTAGAACTCATCGCGCGGAGACGCATACTCATAGCCATAGGCACTATATCCAACCTAGCAGACGCAGTCAAACCAGCAAGTTACGCAGAAGTAATGCAAGCAGACAAGAAACTTCACGACGCCGTTTCCACCATCCCTCCCCCTCTCCGCTTCAAATCCCTACAGGCGAGCATGACCGATTCCCCACAGGTGATCATGTCCCGACTATTCCTCGAACACCTCCTATACAAAGGCCAGATCATGCTTCATCGCCGGTTCCTCAACTTAGAAACTATCTCTTCGCGTGAATCAAACCCAGAAGGTGATAGGTTCACCTACTCCCGCACCGCCTGTATCGACGCATCACTCGGCGCCCTACGCATACAGCACATTCTCGACGAGGAGACCTGCAGAGGGGGCCAATTACACGACATGCACTGGCGGATCACATCAAGCATGACGCATCTGTTCCTAACGGCGACGATGATTCTATGCTCGTTGGTGCATCGGGGTAAGCCTCTTGAGAGGATAGAGGAGGTGCTGGCTGCCCTTCGAACGGCTAGGACTATCTGGATGCGTCGTGGCTCGACGGCGACTTCGCGCGAGGCGGCGAGGGCCGCTGAGGTTGTTAGTCTTACTCTTGCGCGGGTGGGGGAGCGTGGCGTTGAAGGGGATGGTGCTCATGGCTGTTTGAGTGCTGGTGATGGTGACTTGGCGGCAGAGTTGGAGGTGGGTCAGAGTATGGGTGTAGATGGGGGTAAGTTGAATGATTGTGAGTTATGTTTGTTGGCTAATGAGTAATGTGGTGACTAGGCGAAGAATGTGTGATGCCATCGTTGATGGTGGAAGAAGACTGTGTAGGGTTGGACTATGCGTTCTCTATGGATGATTGGTTGCAGATGCAATGGCCGGGTGTGGACAATTTTGATACTTATTCCCGCTGAAGACATAAAGGTATAGTATAGTATAGTTTGGGGACGTGAAGGGATGATGATTTATAACCGTTTCATTATTGCAGGTAACACTGTGAGTAGGTAAACCATGTTTGTGGCTACGTTGTTAGTCTGGTAATATCCTTATAAACACTCCCGCAGTCTGTAAGATGCTAGTAAGTATGTATAGCAATTACTATCTCTAGGTGGCTGTATACAATATTATCTACCCATGATCTACACGCATAATTGTCAACCGAGGATAAGAAGTTTATGTCCTCTCGGTGGCTCTCTTTCTTCGTCTGCTCCTCCTAGAACTGGTGATCAGTCGTTTCTGGGCAAGCAACACCAAGTAACGCTGCAGCTTGTCGCGCCTGTGGAGGGTTAGTGGTGCTGCCGTCTGACGCCAAAGTAGGACTTACATTAAGAAAATGGTTGTGACGAACACAAAAGGAACCGCAATCATCCAAAAGTATCTGCAGTTTGAGTCAGCCATTGCTACAGGGTGGATAGAGAGACATACGCATCGCTATGTTCTATGCCAGCGAAGGAGGTGAAGTTCATGCCAAAGTAGCCCTGATTTACAGTCAGATGAGCATCTTATGCAAGCGAAAGAACACGCACCGTTAGGAATGTAAGTGGAAGATAGAAGCATGTCACAATGGTGAGTTGCTTCATACTCTCATTCTGATATGCGCCTAGATACTGTAAGCTTCAGATGAAATTTTTCGATGGCAGAGATTGAACTCACCGATTGTATTGAATATCAGGTCGATCATGTTGTCAGCAGCCCTTCTCATTTGATCATATCCCTCCACAATAGTTATACAATGGTCTAGCGCATCTCCCAGGTATGTATGACACATTGGACTGATGGAAACGCTCGATCCGCTCAGGCTTTTCAGGTTTGGGGTCGCCGTTCCAATGTATGGACTCCAATCATTTGTAGGAGTTGCGGTTCCGACATTCCTCAACACTCCCAAGCCAGGAGTATGTACAGGGTCGGATCGGTGGTCACGAAGGGCATTAATGACAGTTGCGATTGGTTGCATGCAGTTTCGGAGAATTGCTATTTCCGAAGTGAGGACGTACAGGCTTTTGGACTGATCCACGTCTGGATCTGTCAGTACCTCGAGCTCAAGGTCGCCAATAGCGTCTTGGTAAGCTGTGGTTACCGGTATGGCCAAGTCTATAATAGCATCGAGAATGGCTTGCACAACCATACTAGCATCACACGATTGGCGCAACATCGTCTCCGGGGTACTGAGACGTCGGACGATTGGACCTTCAATATCATCGGCACTCGTTTCAAAGAATGAAGTCACCGTATTATCCGCATGTAGGAAAATTGAGACCTGTTCCAGAGTAACACACAGTCCCTTTGCCGCCAGTATAGCATGGCGCTCCATGAAGGCTATCCGGTCCTCGTTCGGGCCACCGCGGTAACGTTGAATGCTCCGGGGTGTGAACCTAACGTTAGAACCATCATCAAGATTAGATGCCTTCGAAGTAGACCTCCCCTTACCTGAGGGGGCATCTTTCGCTGGGTATCTTTCATCGGGACTGTCCTCGCGGGTTTTGGGCCGGAAAAGATCCTTCAATGCTTCCAACACTAGTGTTCTTTTAGTAGGCCTTCTCAGAGATATACTGCTTGCAGAACTTTTGCGCTCATTCGTCCAGTGTGTATTTTCATCTTCCTCATCCTCAGAATCACTGTCGTCATCTTTGAGTTTTATCAGTTTCTGGAGTTTCAGCACGATATATGCATGATCGGAGTACCAGTCGACTTTTGTGCGGTTTGTTGCGTTGATTAGATCCTCAACCGCAAGCCTATGCAGACCTTTTTCGTTACCTAAGATTCTAATGGCATCCCAGCTAAGTCCGTTGACGTTGATCCATCTGCATTGTACCCAAGGCTCTCTCTCCCGCGCAAGAAACGGTTCAAGGGTATCATTGTCCAGAACATATTGCCTCATTTCATTTTGCGAAAAGTCCACAACGGTAATTTCACTTGTCCCGTGAAGCTCTGTGGGTGTTGATGCCATCCATTCCGTGCTATAAGCAGGAAGCGGCTGGCTTGGATCGATGCCTGGCTCCGTGCCGGGCTGCCAATTCGGATCGTGCGCGCCATCTTCGCGATAGTATGAGCGAGCGGTGGTGGAGCGTCGAAGTCGGTTTCGGACAGTTTCACGGGAGTTGAGCCTAGCGGCCGTGGTGAAAGTTTCAGGGGGAGGCGAAGGCGGCACCTTAGTAGTTGGGGGAATGGGCGGATTGGGGGTGCGCGGATTAGCCTCAATATCAGCTATGTCCTGAGACGACTGCAGCCCCGCTGCCGACTGCGCATGATCTTGCGAGTAGATGCTCATCCTTGCAATGTGGTCAATGCTGCTGGTGGGTGTTGTCGGGACACTCAGTAAGGGTGGATCGGTGCCAGCAATGAACGGCACTCGCAAGCATTGACATATGCCATACTGAGTCACAGAGGTGAGACTGAAGCAAACACAGAGCTGGTAGAGTCTAGTGGATATAAGCTTTTTGGATAGGAGAGGGAGAGCAAAAGGGAAAAATGGCTAGGATGGAAAGAGCGCGAAACCGTGATTCCCCTTCGCGGGGGTATGACGTCGCCACACGGACCCAATTGTTCCACCGGCAAGGAAATCCGCATTCTAAAGATCGACAGATAGTAAAGTAGCAAGAACGCGGCTTGAACAAGGAGGGAATAGACAACACAATAGGGAGTTGTTAAAGTCTTCATTTCATTAGTGGATGGACAAGCTACTAACTACTGCACGATCAGTCTTGGCTTCTGTAAGCTTATTTATTAAAGCCGGGGCGCAACGTTATTAGTCTATGCAAGAGCCGTGGTATTCTCCGGGCCACTCCCCAAGAATCTATCTTCCCAACCCCCACACAGTATGCTAGAGTATGCTGAGAACGCTTAAAGGAAGACATTCGCTGTACCGATGTCGTCGGGTAATCTGATTTTCGCCGTGACAGGGCGAACTTTGCCCTGGTTCCCTTTTTACAGGTTCACGCCAAGGTTTTTAGATTCCAGGAAGCTGGAGTCACCGGTGTTATCCCTTCATGGATTTTCCATAAGAGTAGGGCCTTCAACAATAGAGATGACTGGTCCCATAACCATGATGTGAGAAAGTAAATGGCAGCCATATTTTTACTTCCATCTCTTGAAGTCATTTTTTTCCCCGTCTGTAACCATGATCCTCCAAAAGCGAGTTAGGAGTTGCTGAATGGAACGATCGTTGACTGATATTAGCGATGACTGCTCATTGCGCGGTCTCTCTCCTCTTTCGAGTAGTAAGTTTGATCTGTAGAGGTACGAGGTTCCTCTTTGGACCGGGCAAGTCGTTGCGCGAGAGATACTTTCTGCACACAGGGCAAGTGCCCCGGGGGCCTTTTCCAGACATATCCGACCGCTGTTCTTCGCTGAACTTCAAGGTATCGATAATACACTTGTGGCAGAAAAGATGCCCTTGATCGAGTCAGCTAGGTAGCATGCGATATCGCAGCATTAAACTTACCACATGCAGTACTAGTAGCATCAACCGGGGTGTCCATGCAGACGGGACACTTGTATGCAAGTAGAACAGACTCCCCTTTGTTATGATCTAGGGACTGCTGTGCGAGGATAACGTCTGCTCGTTGTTTGGCTTGCGTCCTCGACACAGGGTCCATGTCCTCGGTGGTTGTAAGATCGACTGCATCCGGGGGCGCATCCTCCTGTCGCTCAGGATGACTGGTCCGACGGCGCTTCCTTTGGTGGCCAGAGGTTTCTAGTGCGTCTATGCTTCCATGGGATAGCCGACGAGGAGCGGAGGGTGAGGGTTCTAGGGAAAGATGACGAGCAACTGAAGCCCGACGCCTGGGAGATGCGCTATCCATTCTAATCAGCGCCTTGCGAGTCGGTTGGATCTGTACTGTCGGGAGGGGCGATTAGTGAGGGAACGGGCGTAAACTCCGCAGGGGCAGCCAGGCGTTAAGCGATCCGCGGTGGCGGTTCTATGTCAAGTACTCAGTCAATCCTGTACCTCAGCAGGTAAATCTTGCCGCTTCATCTCCCAGACAGCACTGAGCAAGATCGCAGCGCAGGTAAGCGAGAAGTGAAGTTAGAGTGACGAGGGGAGGCAAGGCGATCGGAGAAATAGTTGGCGGCTTATCGATGCCCGATAACACTCGGCTGCCCATTGGAGTAGGCGGTGACCAACATCCGGAGGGAGGATAATCCGGGAATCTTCAATCATGACGCTGGGATTATTCCGCGATAGGAAAGAAAGTACGAGCCCTCCTGGAAAGCCGGCGTCCCTCTCGTCGCATTCATCATCACGCAGCCAATGCTGCGAGGCCTACGTTACCATGTCATGGGGTTAATTATTATTCTATATCTATGAAGAAAATGCTTTGGGGTCATCCCTGCACTCCCTGTCGTAGGGATGTCCTACGCTTTTGTTCGCAGAGATTGCGCTCGCCACGCATCGTACGGCCACAATCTTCATCATTGCTAGCAAGGTATCTTGCGACGCAGTCTGCAGCGCGTTCTACTGAGGAGACACCTAAACGGCAATCTCTTGCAGGTGGGTGGCTCAGCTGTTTAGAGATGCGAAAGCCCTATATACTGATTTCGCAGTCCCCGCTTCCGCTAGGTTCAACGAGATTGGAGTCCAACAATTAAGCGACCATGTCTACTCCCAAGTATTTCTTCAGAAGACGGAACCGCCAGATCCCAACTTAGTCGCTTTGTCAAAAGAACATCTGTCAAGGCACGATTTACTCGGAAAGTCACAAGATGCCGCGGATCCCATCGCCTTTGACATGCCCGCCCTTCAAGGGCAATCACTTGATGAGCATTTCTACAAACTGGGTATGGATGCGTCAGAGCCATATCTCGCCTATTCCAAACAATACACTATGGCAAACTCACCGGAGAAGCCGCGCAAATGGATAAAACGCAGTGGGTGGACAAAGTACAACAGCGACGGGTCGTGGGAAGCGGTTGATGCACCGAATGAGTCCATGTTGACATTCGACACCGAAGTCATGTACAAGGAGCATTCTTTTGCTGTTATGGCTTGCGCTGTTAGTCCTACAGCTTGGTATGCTTGGATATCGCCTTGGTTGTTAGGAGAGTCGGAAAACGAAGTCCAGCTCATTCCCCTCGGAGACCCATCAAAGCCACGAATTGTCGTGGGCCATAATATTGGTTATGATCGCGCTCGTGTTCTCGAGGAGTATGATATGACTCAGTCTTGCAACTTCTTTCTTGATACCATGTCGCTTCACGTGGCTGTGAATGGTATGTGTTCACAACAGAGGCCTACCTGGATGCGACACAAGAAGAATAGGGATTTGAGAAATAAGATCGCAAGTGAGAGTAATTCAGTTGAGCTGGCAGCCATACTAGAAAGTAAGATGCTCAGTGATGAGGAAGAAGAACTCTGGGTAGGGAGGAGCTCGGTGAATTCGCTTCGCGACGTGGCCAAGTTTCATTGTGATGTTACGATCGATAAGGCGCAACGTGACTATTTCGGTGAACTTGACAGAAATGGAATCCTGGGGAAGTTGGAGGAACTGCTTGATTATTGTGCAGCAGATGTTGCCATTACCCATCGAGTGTACAAGAAGGTTTTCCCTAACTTCCTTGAAGTCTGTCCGCACCCTGTCAGCTTTGGCGCCCTTCGACATCTCTCTTCCGTCATCTTGCCAGTGAACGAGACATGGAAGGAGTACATCGCCAATGCGGAAGCGACCTATCACCAGCGCCTTGAGGATGTTCAACGGAAAATGATCGAACTTTGTGAGGAAGCCCTGAAGGTCAAAGACTCTCCGGACATCTACATGAACGATCCCTGGCTGCGGCAGTTGGACTGGTCTGGCCAGGAGGTGAAGATGGTCAAAGGAAAAAAGAAAGGCGACCCTCCGCGACCAGCTGCCAGGCAGAAGAAGCCGGGTATGCCGAAGTGGTATAAAGATCTGTTTGCCACCAACACATCGGACATCAGCTTATCTGTGCGTACTCGTATCGCGCCTATACTTCTCAAACTGTCATGGGACGGTTACCCTTTGACATGGTCCGATAAGTATGGGTGGACTTTCAAAGTCCCGCGCGAGCTTGTCAAGAATTATGAGAACCAGCCTGTCGTTCTGTGTGACATGTCCGAGGAGAAGAACCCCGAATTGCAGAATGACAGAAAACACGTTTACTTCAAGCTACCGCACAAAGATGGGCCTCAAGCGCGGTGCACAAATCCTCTGGCGAAGGGGTACATGCAGTACTTTGAACGTGGAACGCTCTCATCCCAGTACGCCCTCGCCAAAGAGGCGCTAGAGATGAATGCATCCTGCTCTTACTGGATCAGTGCCCGTGACCGTATCATGGGTCAAATGGTAGTCTACGAGGACGAAGTGCGAGGCCTGACATCGAGTGGTAAGACAGACCACCGGCTCGGGTTCATTTTGCCACAGATCATCCCTATGGGAACCATCACTCGAAGAGCGGTGGAAAACACATGGCTTACAGCCAGTAATGCAAAAGGGAACCGTGTCGGGTCTGAGCTCAAGGCTATGATCAAAGCTCCACCTGGCTACTCTTTTGTCGGCGCAGATGTCGACTCTCAGGAGCTATGGATTGCCAGTCTTGTTGGAGACGCTCAATTCCAAATTCACGGCGGTAACGCCATTGGTTTCATGACACTGGAAGGGTCCAAGGCAGCGGGGACGGATATGCACTCACGCACAGCCCAGATCCTGGGTATCTCACGTAACGATGCCAAGGTGTTCAACTATGGACGCATCTATGGAGCTGGCGTCAAGTTCGCCGCTACTTTGCTGCGTCAGTTCAATCCGTCCATGTCGGAAAGGCAGACCCAGGAGGTTGCAACAAAATTATATAAAGAGACGAAGGGTACCCGTACGACTCGTCGTATACTCTGTGAAGGCCCTTTCTGGCGGGGCGGAACCGAGTCGTTCGTCTTCAACAAACTAGAAGAATTCGCTGAGCAAGAGAGGCCCAGAACACCCACTTTAGGGGCCGGAATTACTGAAGCGCTGATGCGGCGCTTCATCAACAAGGGAAGCTTCATGACATCAAGAATCAACTGGGCCATTCAGTCGTCTGGCGTTGATTACCTCCATCTCTTAATTGTCGCCATGGACTACCTCATTCGTCGCTTCAACATCGCCGCTCGTCTAGCAATCACTGTCCACGACGAAATCAGGTACCTAGTTAAAGACGAAGACAAGTATCGAGCTGCGCTGGCTTTGCAGGTTGCCAACGTGTGGACCCGCGCGATGTTCTCTCAGCAAGTCGGAATAAACGACCTTCCTCAGTCCTGCGCCTACTTCTCTGCTGTGGACATTGACCACGTCCTGCGGAAGGAGGTTGATATGGACTGCGTGACCCCATCCCACCCGCACAAGATTCCCCACGGCGAGAGTCTTGACGTTGCGCAGCTTTTGGACAAGAATGAAAAGGCATACCTTGACCCTGCCATCATCCCCAATTCGCCACCCAACCCCCAGCAGTACGAGTACACGCCACGACCGTCAGTCATGTCCGCACTTCAAACTTCTCACCCGGCCTTCATCCGCGCTCAGATCTCGAAGGACGACAACGAACTCCGCGAAATCATCAAAGAGCTCACTAAACAAAAGTCCACACTGGCGCCACCAAACGCGCGTTTGCCTAGCAATCGTGCAAAACCCTATGGCTCGGTGGCAGCGGAACCACAAAAGGCCATTCTGATGGACATTGGACCCAGTCTCTACCCAGACTTTAAAAGCCTTCCCCAAGGGAGCCGGTCTCCCCAGGTGAGCTTTAACCGTCAGAACTGGAAGCCGAGACCGTCTGCCCGAGCTTAGTGCTACCTCCCACCCCCTTCATCATTTTACTGTATATATTGATCGACTCCATCGTTCTTTGAGAACGGCATGGCCTTTCCTTTTTATCCCATGTTTTGGATCTTCTTCTACGAGTTGTATTATGTCGAAAACCGTTCGTGAAGCATTGGGCGGCGTCCAGCGGATTCACGGACTATCATCTCTCATCTATGTCAGAGTAATTCAGGTGTCTTCTCTATGGTTGTGTTAATGACGATGTGTCAAAACAGGCAATGTAAATATACAAACAATCACAATATAACATAATCGCTGTAGCTCGGCTCTGTCAAATTCAAAATGGTGTCTGATCTGCTCTATTCTACTTCTTTTCTAATCCCTCCTCCCCGGATCCAGCGTATTCCTCCGACTCATCCCACTCCTATCCTTCCCCCTCAACATAGCATCTCCCTTCTTTCCCAACACCACCTCCAGCGCCTGCACCAACGCCGTCGAATCATACCGCATCCCAAGAGCCACATCCTCTCCAGCAGCGCCAACAATCTTCCTCCCATACAGCCGCAACGTCTCGATACCCATCTCAGCAAGCCGATCCTTATCGACGCGGGGAGTACCCGGTCCATCCAGATGCAGAACATGCGTAACATACGCCGAATACGGGAGTCGCTCATCCTCCTTTCTCTTGTCTCCATCTTCCACAGCACCAGCGCCAGCAGAAGGGTCCAAATTCAAAGGCCCCCTACCCCGACTCTCCTCCCCAGCCCTCGTAATAGCCTCTACAAAGTCAGCCGCCGTAAACGGCTCATGAGACGGTCCTGTCTCGCGATCGAGGGACCCGTTCAAGATGAGGATTTTATGCCTCGCTGGACCGGTAGCGATGGCTTGGCCGACGCCACGAAGAATAATGGATGGGATGATGGAGGTGTACAAGGATCCAATGCTATATATGATAGCTTGGGCGTCATGGAGGGATTCAATGACGCGGGGGTTAGCCGGGGGTTGGATTTCCTGGCCGTAGGGATTGATGTACCAGATGCGGGAGATGCGGGAGGGGAGGTCCTGGGTGTCAGATTTGCTGAAGGAGATGTTCTTGTGGCGGAGAGTGGGGAGGAAGCCTGGGGGGTGGTCGTCGTCTTCGAAGTAGAGTGGCGTCGGTGTTGATGAAGGGTGGTGGGGAGAGTTTTCTGTGCCGTCGGCGAGGAGAGGCCGAGGAGAGCGAAGGGGGATAGCTTCGCAGGGATGTGAGATGCTGTTTTGACCTACAATGACGGTTCCGTTGGCCAGAGAGGCGGAGATGTGGTGTGAGAAGTTGGAATTGATGGCTGGGATGACCCGGACGAGGTCCCAGGGTACGCCGCCGATGCTGCCTAGGAGGTAGATGGCGCTTTCGAAGCTACCGCTGAAAAGGCGGGCTCCGGTGAGAAATAGATTGCCTACGCTGGCAGAGGTGAATTCGAAGGTAGAAGTTGGGGGTCGGGCACGCTTCAGGATCTCCAGGTTCAGGAGGTTGAAGAAGGAACGGATCAGTTCCCGTTTGGCTGGAGTGATGGCGGCCCAGAGGATGGAGGTGCCATCCACAATGGAGTGCCACTCTGCGTGAGCGAGACTGGGGTCGGCTGGGAGCCGATGGTTGAAGAGAGCTTTGATGGCTGCTCGTTCAGAGTTGGGGGGCGATTCAGGGATCAGTCGGACTAGGCGGCCTGGTTGGTTTGGTTAGAGATGTGAGATAGGGTGGAAGTTGGTATGTGACTCACTGCGCACGTCTCCAATGCCAGGGCCACCAAAGATGCGGATCAACTCGGATGAGGAGCCTCCATTGTCGCTGATGGGGATGATGTAGCTAAGGGAGCAGTGTTTGCTCCCGCGCACGGCATTGAACACGTCAACGAGGTTATTCGCGGCACTGCCTCCGGAGAAGACCACCAGGCCCCGGTTAGGTGCAGAGGTAGACGACATGGGGATGATAGTACTAGGAAACAGGTTGAGAGATGTAGACTAGGTTACTAGTAGCTACATGCTTGTGCGAAGAAGCCACGGATGCCTTGAGGTCCCTTAATCTGGGAATGTAGCACGAGACACTCGAGGATTGCAGGGCAGGTGACATTGAATGCGGAAGTCCCTTGGAGTTTGGCTTATCGCCACGGCCCCGCCAGATTAACGGCCACTCTATCCCTAATGATTGGCTTGACCCTACTATATATATCCCCTATGTCTTACATTTTCTTGGACGATTGACACATTGAACCCAATAGTGACGGTAGTGACGGTTACTTGTAGATAATTCTCACAGTAATATTTACAATTAAAATAAAATCTACCATTAGAGTTACAGACTTGATTTCTGGCGGGAAAGATGCACCAGATAGAAGACTGACTCACGCGTATGCAGCCCAGCCTAAGATAAAGGTCAGTTCTGTACTCAATCTTGGGAGAGAAGACTGGGTCAAACTTACCGCAATAGAGAACAGCAAGATTTTTCTCATCAGTGGCCTGCTGGATCAATTCGTTGACTGTTGCTGTCACACTCAACGTCTTGCTCAGCTTCTTTGCGACGACCGTCAGTGCGCGATCAGCCTCGCTGGGCTCATTGGTCGACTGTTGATCATTATTGGCCCCAGGGATCACAGGAGGACCTCCATCAGCCTCCTGCGCATCCTGCATTCGCTTCATTCGAAGAGGCGACACAGTCCAGCTATACAGCGGATCATACCGGAGCACATCGAGAATTGTCATGATGCTATAAGATTCCTCACGCAAGGCCTCCAGCGTAAACTCGCAGCACCGTCGGAAGACCCCCTCAGTCTTGCTGATGCCCATGCCATCGACCAGGTCGCGGGTTAAACGGAAGGGAACAACCTCTGGGACGGGCAGAACTCGCCCTTGCTCAAATGCCACACCCAGATCAATATGCACCACTTCACCGGTTCTTTCATCCAATAGAATATTATGGCCGTGTCGGTCTCCGAGTCCGAGAACATGGCCCAGAATAGAAATCGCGGCGGTGCTCCGTGTGTAGGCCAGTCGTTTGCTAAACCAATCATCGGGGTTGTTGAAATTCTCCATGAAGAAGAACCTCATGACCGGATGGAAGTGCTCTGTCACCTGTCGGTACGTTCGCACTCTTTGCTCGAATGAGCGGGTTTGAACATCTGCGATATGTTTTCGGGCCATGTTCGGTTTCATGTCCTTCGGAAAGTATCGCTGGTGCGCTGGCATCAAGAAATCGTGCAGTGGGATCGTATGAGGAACGAACTCTATGATGCCTGCATTCGATGTAAGAGGAAGCACTTTGTAGGTGCGAATGCCCAGATTGCGCTGGCGAGTGACCTGATGGTCTTTGAGGAGGCTGCTGACTTGCTCGAAAACTTGTTCCATGATAGCGTCCTGACGCAAGTCATCGTTTCCTCCTTTAAACTTAAGGAATGTTAGTCTTATCATTGGCATTAACGCAGGTGAACAGGCTTACCAATTGCTTGTAGCGCGATCCATTGCTGGCAATGGCCGTGACGATTTTTGGCGCGCTAACGCCCGAGGCAATGGTGAACTCAGGGTTATACCTCACCAATTTCGGGACATCGCTGTAATCACAGTTAACGCGTATATCGATCTTATGGTAGGCGGCGGTAGGCGCTGTGTTGCGGCATCTTGCTCGAGCCGTTCTCCGGTTGAAAGTTTTTTCAAGGGAACTTTGGCACCACTTCTGTACTTATCGTTTGGCTTTTCAACAGCAAACCGCACATAGCTGATATTTGCATTATGAACGGCTACCCAGGTTGGCCCCATGCGTTTATCGTTTTTCAAACAGTCCACCAGCTTTCCAGCTGCTCTGTTTCGAGACAAGGCCGACTGGTCTTTGCCGCCCTTGGATTTGCTGCTAGCGAATATTTGGTACATTCCATGATACGGATGCTCGACACAGATACGAAAGATCAAAGCGAAGAGCATCTTCTGGAACTCATCCGAAACATCTAACAGGCGGGAAGTAAGTTGGTTCATCAAGGGTGCGAACTTCCGGCTTGGGACTTGGCTGAGATACTTGGAAACTGCCATGTTTCCAATTGTGCTAGCAGATTTGTCCAGCCATAGTGCGCAGAACCGAAGCGCATCGTTGTTAAAGCTTTCGCTCTCTTTCAGACAGATGAGGTAATTCTCCAAACACTGTTGAAGGAAAGCCTCGCGACTACGCCGCAAACGCTGGTATTCGCGATCATCAAGATCAAACCATTGCTTCGTTTTCGCCCGATGGTATTTGAGAGCCTCTTTTTCTTTTCCTTGGGTCGATTTCATCATGTCTTCAAGTGCGTGTACCTCCCTTTCTTTACGGTCGCGAAGTTGCTCTATCCGCCTGAAGTCTTCTAGCCCGTCTGGATTTTGTAATTGCCGGTCACAGAACATCGCAAACCCATGGTAGACCCGACCAACATCTTCGCCGAGCGAGCGGGTTCTGAGCTCCTTGACAGCAGCGGACAGGTAATCTTGAACGATAGTATCCGGCTTTTCCAAACGTGCCTCTGCAACGTGGTGGCCCTGGTAGATGTTAAGACTGAATTTGACGAGGATAAGGACTTGTGACATACCAAGGTTACAAGAAGTTCTGCGCGGCTTATTGGAATAGCTTGTTTATGCAAGTCATTCCGTTCCCTAAGCTGCTGCAGAATTTGAATCGACGCTGCCATCTCTCCTTGATCCCATAGAACATTGGCCAGATCAAACTTCGCTGCACCTTCGATGTTGATACCTAGAGTGTTGCAGTTATGCGAGAGCTTCGAAAGGCATACAGCTGACTTCAGCGAGGCCTGTGAGATACCATGATCTCGTGCCACTTTGAGTGATTGACGGATGACCTTCACTTCCAGTAATTGCGCGTCACGATCACTTATATTGATGGCAGTCTTCAAGAAGTCTTTATTCTTGATCGATGAGAACAAAGCCTCATGACATGTCAATATCTCGCCAACATCACTAACACTGCATACGTCAGATTTGGAGTCGTCACGCTGTCATGATTGCGGAGACCTACCTTGTTGTCTTGAGCCAGGAGTCCCTGTCCACGATGCTTTGCCATTGGTTATTTACGTCTTCAGTCGATGCAGAGCCCAGTACATCACAAACTTCAGTCATAACACCCAAAGTCCGCATCGCTGTGCGCAAGGATGTTGCTGAACGACTAGTGCTGGTTAGTAGATCCAAGCTGGACAAAAGGCACTCGTCAATAGAAGCAAAAACATCAGTGAGCGTTCCCGATATGTTAAGACTTTGGAAAGCCCGAAATACAGACGCAGAAGGTGAAGGGCTCAATGGGGAAACAGGTATGTCCCATCGTCGCAAATCTTTTGCGGTTTGCAGCATGCTATCAAATGAGCCCGACGTATCGCGGGAGCTACCAGAGATGGCGAAGACTGAATTGGCAATCCCTTGGAGATTTGTAGAATTGAGGGCTTTCAGAACTCCATGAACATCGGGGCTTTCCCCCATCTGTATCTCGCTATCGTAATGTGCGCTCTGGAACAACAGATTCTTGAACCCTGAGCTTTCGTGCTCCAGTCTGGCCATAACAGTTTCCAACGATGAATCCTGCTGGACTCCATAGAAAAAGTCTGGATCGTCTATTTTCCGGAATATCTCATGCAGTATCTCTGGTGCCGCTTCATATTTTGCAACCGATGAGCGACGTGAGGTAGAGGCCATGCGCGAAGCAGAGATTTCCAAGAAAAGCAATCCTGTTTTGGGTAATCGGCACTTATTGGCAGCCGATGATGCTTCTGCGAAGTCAACATCAAGCCACTCGTCTCTTTCTACTATAGTTGACTCCTCTGGTCTCGGCTGGTTCCTGAGATAGAGGATGCAGTTTATCACGAGCCGCGCATGAGGAATAGTCTGATCGTTAACTTGCCGTAGCACCTGTCCGAAAATCTCCGAGATTGTCTTGCGAATGTTCACTTTCCCATCATCTTCCGCCAGCAGAACATCATGAAGAATGTATGGTAGAATTTGAACAGCTAAGTCAGGTATAACGCACAGAATAGTGCGCAAAGGTCCAATAACCGGATCTTCAGGGGCCGAATCCGACAAAAACAACCCGACAGTGCGGGCGAATCGTCCAACTGGAACATCGGGATCCCAAATAAGGGTACTTCGGCTTTTTGTCACTGAGGCTGGCATGGGCATCTCCGGGCATTGGTAAGGGCTCCACGTGAAAGCTTTCAAAAGAGAAGCGGGCACTGTTCTTCCGCAGGGTTCAAACTCCGGGGAACTCCCAAGGTTGCTGACAATAAGTTGCATTGTACGTTCAACAAGCCCAACTTCTAGGTGACTGCTATTTTGTAGCATACTGCAAAGCGCCATGAGTATGCTAGCCTTCGAGCGATGGAATGGACTCGGCAGTGACTGGGCTGATTGGACTTCGAACAGTTTCGGATCCTGCTCTCTTAGAAGGATGTCACTGATTTTGCCCGTACTAGCAAATGCTCTCCCGATGACTCTAGCTGCCCAAAGCTTGTACTCGGTACCTGGGTCAAACTTTTGCAAAGTCTGGCAAATAGCAACAGCATGAGACATGACAACCTGATCGTCACCAGAGGCATTGAGATGGGATTCAGGGGATTGCTTGGTCTCGGTGCATAACAATGATATGACGTGATCAGCAATTGGGCCACTTAACAGGCTTGTTCTTGAGTTTTGGTCTTTGAGGACTTCTAGGAGCAAATCATACTCGTCTTTACTGCCTTCCGGGCTCTCACCTGCAGGGTTGATGCCCTGGGAAGAAGCAACCAGACGCCTGAAGAGCTCATGCTTCTCAGGCTTGAGCCCAATGGGTTCATATGTTTCCAGATAGCTATCAAACCATTCGAGAAAGAACTTTATCTTCGCTAATACAGTTTCAACCAGACCTGGCTGAGCTGTCTCTGTCGGAGGAGCAATTAGGAATCGTCTGAGCGACAAGAGTGTAGTGACCGCAATCCCGGCCATGAGACCCGGGCTTTCACTCAGATAAGCCTTCCCTGCTTCTAACAGGTACCAGAAGATACCAAGTGTGTCTTCTGCGCAGAAGATGTCAACCAAATATGGTCGAAGGGCGTGTATCACCATTTCAAACGGGTAGTCACTTAGCATCACGGACCCAGCAATGCTCACAAGTATTCTGATTTTTCGAATAACAGAGCAAGCATGTAGAGAGCCAAGGGCGGGATGAATAGATTCTAAGAGCGTTCGACAGACATAAGTTGCCAAAGTGGGTGTCCATATAGTCCCAAGGTCATATCCACTCCGCTTGCAGAGGAACTCAAGCTCGTCCAAAAGATAACGTGCCCTGAAGGAAGGTTGCTGATTTGCAGGCAAAACGACCTCAGAAACACTCTTTTCGGTCATACGTTTGAGAACTGCATGCGGATTCCCAAAGCCCTCACGCTTCAGAAACGCTCTCTCGATCTGCTCGTATTGATCCAGGGTGCCAAAGAAGATTGCGATCATTTGCGGGAAGTGAGCCTCAATCAAAGACACGAATTTGTCGGTGCCTAATAGCTTCTTCATTCGGTTCTCCACCCCTCTTGGCTGGCTTCCGTGTTCAGGAGGAGTACTGATATCGCGTGCTATACTGTACGCCTCTGCCTTGCAAAAAGAGTCCATTACAAGGTGATCAAAAGGCACATCGGTGCAGGCCGAAAGCTTTGCTCCCTCGGTTTCATTTGCACGCATCATTACCTGCCCAATTATCTCATCTTGAACATCTATAAGCATCTCCTTGAGGCTTTTGTAACCAAAAACGCTGTAAGGCATGCGCATAACGGATTGTTCCTCAGTCCAAGTGTAGATAATTTGGGACGAAAACAGTCGAAACAGTTGCTTTGCGTCTTCAAGGCCCAGGGTTTGCGCTACATCCCGTAGGCAGTTTTCCGCATAGCGAAGTGAGTTTGGGACCTTGGCAGCGGTCTCAAACATATGATAGATGCTTCTCCGGAGCAGAGTGTGCCATCGGGAAGCGAGACGAGCCAGAATAACCAAGCGCAAAGCAATGCCTTCATCCCAGTCTGAATCACGGGGAAGACTGTCCAACACGTCGTCGAGGATCAGATCATGTTCCGTGAGAGAGTATTGACCGAAAAGTGAAGGAATGAGCTCCCCAGCATAGAACTTGGCTACAGCATCCCCTTCTCGAATAATCGTGAACAGACTCGTTCTAGGTGACGGGCTAGATGGACCGCTTGAATACGTGACGTTGTGGGAGAGTAGATCACTTAAGAGCCGTGTAAACTCGATAAGAACTGAAGTGGAGGCTAACCTTTTGGCTAGAAGTACCTCAGTAAACCATGAGTATATGTCGGTTGCTGAAGCATGAAAATCGTCATCCTCTGAGCCAGTCCACATTTCAACAAAGCTGCCCATCATGCGCAAACAAAGTACGTGAGAGCTTTCGCAGCGCTCCATTTCGTATGATTGCAAGCATTTCTCACCAAGATCTTCGAGTATCCTCAGCAAAGAATGCCGTTCCACTCCATCACATACACATGCGCGATATACATGAGGTAAGAAATTCTGCGCCGATAGAATGTCAATTTCGTCGAGACCGGTCAAATATTCGATAAGATCATCATGGAAGGGATGTTCAGAGGAGGCGGAAGAGGCATGTATCCTCTGGAAGATGGATAAGTAGACGGTGATGCTGCGCTGTAAGGTTGCAATATCTTGAAGTACTTGCGACGTTTCTCGGTTTCTACTGAATATACGTACGAGCTCTGTCGATTGGTCGTAGAATGTGAGGATGGGATCATCCAAATCCATAGCCTCTTCACTGTTCAAGAGCAACACTTCTTTCTGTCTTTCCCGGTAGCTTTCCAGTACATCGGCGAGGGAAGGAACCAGACCGGAGAGAGCACCTATGAGAGCCGGGCTGGAACGAGGGAGAAGTGCATTTGGCACAAGTAGGGGTGTTAGAGTAATCAAGCATGCATGAATAAAGACGGGCTCTCGGGAAGCGAGGAAAGCACACAGCCGTTCCCAAAGACGTCGATTGTTTTGCTGTATGACAGACACCCGGTTTGCAGATTGCTGAGGGAGACATGCCATATACAATGCAATAGTGACACAAGACGATGTGACTATTTGCACCAGATCTACTGTTATATGGTGTGTTTTGTCTTCGGATAGTGCTTCCCAAGTCTGTAGCAGTCCCTCAACTTTGCTTTGCAGCAGATCAAGAGCAATATTATCACTGGAGTCTTGTCGAGGAAACTTCTCCAGAGACAAGGTCTCTTGCGGGTCCCAGTATTCAGCCAAATCCAACAACCCTTGAAGGTCAAAGATGTAATTGAGGAGCCGTTTGTTCTTGAGACAAAAGTGCCATCCCCTAGCAATTAGTCCTACCGGCCCTATGTAACGGGCCTTGGGTAGTGCGAAGGGCCTGTTGGCACATGCAAAAAGCATGTTCAGAAGGTCTAAAGGACGTGCGAACATAGCAACTTGGGCTATCTGTAACCGATCGGCAAGCGAACCTATCAATACAGGTGAGTAAAGACGATATGGAGGCAGCATTGGAAAGAAATTACCGGTACCCCAAGTTTCCCTCAGCCAGGAACAAATTTTATTGGAAGCATCCGGTACTAAGCCCGGGTTTATTTGCGAGGTGACCCGAAGTATTGTCGCCCAAAATGCCAAGGATGAATCTGAGATAGTCGAGGGGCCATTCGTATTGATTGATGTGAGCATGGAACTTGTTGCTTGTGCGACTATTTGGTAGTCTAGAAGGCTTCGCTGAAGTATATTGTTTAACAAGTGACAGGCAGCTCTGGCTGTTGCTTGAGAAGGGGAAACACGGGATGCCATCTCCCATGCGCGCTGCCAGCAATGTTTCAGCGATTGGGAGTTTGCATCAGGGCTACAAGCAATGCTATTTGGATGCCTTGTGTTAGTCACGAATTATCGAAAGCCAATTGAGCACCTACCTTGCAATCGCTACCATCGTCCAGGAAGCCGTTATGGAATTATCATCCAATATATGGGGAAGCAACCGCTCGAGCAGAGAGTATTTCGACTCGGCGGTGGCGTAGCTCCTAGGGAGAAAAGGTATTAGCTGGAGAGCGCATAGCCTCCTCATTCCAGAAGACACCGTTGAATCACGAAATATGTCGTCTATAAGCGAGGCGAGACGCTGCCTTTTCGTCGCAGCCTCTCCAGATGCAGGATACAGTGATGATTTATCGCGTAATTCCTCTGCTAGTTCGAGTAGCTTTGCTATAATCCATAGCGTCGTCCAATTGTGTTCAGATCTGGCACTTTCAAGACGGGGCCATGCTGAGCATTCTTGCTGTTGTTCTGAGCCGCTGTGGTGGAATACTAATTCATCCAGCTGTAAGATCTCCTTCTCAGACCGTTTGATGTACTCAGTATACAAGGTCTCCAGGAGTTCCTCAATCACATGTGCAATCAACTCCGATGGATCTCTCCGGGCGGCATCAGTCAAGACAACCGCACAAAGCATGACAGTGACGAGCATTTCATCTTTCAGTCCTAGAAGCTTAGTTGCCCAAAAACGTCTGATTGCCGGTATGATGTCTAGAAGCGACGACCTTGCAAGGTCAGATTGATCAAATAAAATCTTCATGACAACTGTGTTTATACTAGCAAACGCAGCTTGGTGTCCACTCCCAGCGATCATTGACGACCCTACGAACTTGATGAGGCCATGAAGTACACGCTCGGCTGCTTCCTGAATTGGGGCGCTTGGGCTCCCGACCAAAAGTTGGATACAGACAACAGCTTCCGTAGCCGCACTGGTGTCACCTTTTGGCTTCTCGCTCGCTGTGGGCATGGGAGTTGATCTGGCCGGTGTGGAGGCCCTGCCTCCAGTAGAGAGATATCCATCCAAGAAGGATGAACGCTTTTCTCGAATCGTAAGATCCTCCTGATCATTGTGAGCATTAATACTCTTCAGACAAAAGTCCACGACTTTCTCCCATTCACTAAGAGCAAGGTGCTCGAGGTGGGGAGGATAACGCAGGAGCGTGACCAAGCATTTGGCGTAGTCCACACTAAGCAGTTCAAAGAGTGAGTCGCTTCCACGGCCTAGCAGAGTATCGGTAATATGATCAACGATTGCACGAACGGACTTCGTGCGCAGGTTGCGCAGGAACACATCAACAGCGATTCGAAGGACAGATGCACAGGATGACAAGCGACTTGCAGAAGCTCCCTTGGAATTGGACCGATTGTAAAGAGACTTCTCAACCGATACAAACCGGAACAGTGACTCAAAAATCTTGTGGCAGGCTTTGTCATTCAGAGAGTTTCTAGATGCATGCGAACATGTCAACAGCTGTCCGCCTTCACTGCATACATACGGAGCAGCACGAACTCTTTACATACAATTTTGAGTTTCTTCTATTCTTCAGGAGTATATGCTTTAGATCTAGTCTGAGTTAGAACGGCACAGTCAGAGAGTCCGGTATATTTGCAGGACAAACCAGCAAGCCCGTCTGAGCGCTCTCTGAGCTTCTCCGAAGCCAGAAGCGCAATGGCCCCATCTAAGGTAATGTCGCCCATGATGGATGTGAGGCGATGGGCAGGTCAAGGAGAGTAGAAGAGCTACGTAATTGGCAGTGATGCCATACCCGAATTGTGGCCGTCTAGATATTCAAGACATCTCAGGGACACCAGGGGTAAAGTGGGGAAAAGGCCTTAAGAATCATCAATGGCCCAAAAACCATTATCGGTTGGTGTTTGGATGCTCCGATTCTCCGAAAGTCTTTCTTTTTGGTGGGTGCACGGCGGGCGGTAAAGATAGGACGAAGTGAGCTGAAAGCTCCGCCGCCCGCCTTCAGACCGCCGGAAGTTTGATCGCGTCCTCCGACCTTTTTTGGCCGGGACAAACACATCAGATCATCCGACTCGCCGGCGCTCCTCGCAGTTCGCGCGCACACTCTTAAGCATGGAGGAAAGAGATGCTGCAACAGGCCTTCGTGGCCTGTATCAGGATCTCTCTGCTCTTTCGGCTTCGTCCTTTGTCAACATCGAGCGTCTTCGAGTCGAGCTGGAGACTCACATCGATGATTTCAAGAAGCTCCTCGACAAACCTCCAAAGAACAACACAAGTCGCCAGGCGGTCCTCTCCGGTGAGTTTAATGAACTAAACTGTTATTCATAGGTTTTAGTCGATGCGCTAACCTTGCAATGCGATTTCATTCAGGTAAAATTACCGTCGACGACCTCGAGTACTCGATCAATGAAGAATTTCAACAGGGAGCGTTAATGCTGGCAGATGCGCTGGATCTCGATGAATTGCAAGCGGCAATGCTGTTTATGGCGGCGCAGGAAGACGCTCCTGTCTTGGATAGGCCTCCCGTCATCGCTGCGATTATGCGATTCCATGAGCGCCGACAATTCTTGCTCGACTCATTACGGCTTATTTTCCAGGAGTCCTTCGAGGTGGAGCGGGAGATGACACAGGTTCTCATGCAGGAAATGTTGGCATTTGTGGTTGAAATAAAGGATGGGCCGTTGCGAAATGCGTCACTATTCACGCGCAAATGCATGAAGTCGATGGAAGACATCGAGAGGTGGCTTGTCCTCCTTAACGAGCAAACCCAAAAAGCCTCCATCGTTGGTCAGTCAGCGGAATACGACATCGTGGAGGCTCTCGAATACCAACGCAGCAGCTTACAGCAACAACATGAATCCCTTGGTGCTGTGCTATGCTACCTATTCAAAGGACCTTACACCAGTTCGGAGGATCTCCGCTTACTCCTGGACCACCTTCGGAAGCTCGAACGTTTCGATGGACTCCTTATTCACTACCTTCCTTGCATAATTGCCTCTTTTGTTCAGCATGGGTCTCCAGAAAGCTCTAGTTCTTATAGGGACGCTAGAAGCCTACATACAGCGATCACATCCTCCAAAGACGTTCAACCCTGGAAGGTTCCCACGTTCCACTCTGCGGTCGTCGCACTATGGCTCGCTGTCTACAGCGGGTGGGATTTCGATGGGCCTGCCTCTCCTCTCCAGGGAGTGGACTTGGAGAAAGATTCAGAAGAGCGCACAAAGATGTTCATGACTGCTCTGGATGATGGAGGCCTCGAACTCATCCTCGCCGTCTGCTATGGCGTGAATGATGAAGAATGGGCCGATCCGGCCCGTAGTGAACTGGTCACGTTACTATTGAAAGAAAGCGCGTCGGCAACACTGGAGACGGATAGTTGCTCGGATTTCTTAAAGGTTCTTCTGATGGAGAATTTTGAGGCCTTTGCCGAGGCATGTATAGCGAACATGCCCGATGCGGTGCGGATGTTGAAGACCGAAGAGGATTCGCAAAGACTGGATCATCTTACGGCTTTACGAGACGGTTTGACTTCGAGCCTCCATCGTGGCCTGGTAGAGGCCCGAACACATCTTGAGTCGTTCTTGATGATCATGGCATTCGCGTTCGAGCATCGGCCAGATGCCGCACAGGAATTCTGGGCTGATCCCGATGGTAACCTTTATGGCTTCCTCCAATGGGCATCGAAACGGCAAACTGTTCCCAGGGTCAGCGCATTCTGCGAGTTACTCTGCTCCATCTCCGTAGGCGAGGACAATGCCACTGCAGCCCATCGGTTCTTGTCTGAAGAGGACAAGTTCATGTCTGCGAAATTCAAACGATCCACGTCCATGAACTGGTCGCAGATGTTCGCTGAGCTTCAACTTTATGCAACGAGAGTTACTGAAAAGCCGTCTACTTCGCAGGCGATCCTGCGATCAAGGAAACTCGACCCAGCTGATATGAGCGAGCCGGAGAGTCCAGTTATGTTGACATGCTACCTGAGGCTACTAGAGCATCTGAGTAAGCAGAGTGCTACGATACGAGACTGGCTGCTTCACCACCCTACGTTTAATGTCGTTGGCACGTTGTTGACACTCTGCAGTGGGCCCATTCCTACGCATCTGCGAGCAAACGTCTTTGCAGCGCTTGCGGCCCTGATGACAGATAGAACTTCTCACAATGGGAACGAAATGTGGCTTTCTATTGACCAGTGGATTTCCGGGGGTTCTATGAGTGCTTCCAACCTAGGGAAAGTCCCGGTCGTTTCCAACCCGCTTGTGTGGCATGAACAACAGGCCTTCCAAAGGATTGGCGAGAGTTTCGATCAAGCCAATGCCTTCGTTCGTCTCGTTTATTCACTCATCTCCCCTGCCCTCGATTCAGCTGATTTTCACCTCTCCTTGCCGTTTCCCGAGAGCCTGGGTTCGTCCTACCGGATGCCAGGCATTGAACCTTACATAGACTTTGTCATGGGTCAGGCTCTGTCCAGGAAAATTCCGGATCTGAACGAACGGCAGACCCGCTTCTTGACTTACAACTGCTTGGATTTCATCGTGACATGTCTGCAGTCTTTCAACGAAAGCCTGGTTTCCGTTCTCAGCCAGCCTACGGTATCCACTGATAGTATCGTCAAGCAATCTACATTCGTCACCTACATTCGTCTCCATCCTTTTGCACGGGTCACGGAGTGGCTTTTCAATGAGGATGTGATCAAAGCTATCTTTGCTACAGCCCATCAAGATGTTAATGAGGTTGCAAAAGCTTCGTCGGACTCCGTCCTCGTCCAGTCCTTGGTCCGGAGCTTGGAAGTCATGGACATGATGATCGACCTTCAATCGACGTACTTTAATATTGTGAGGCCGGCGATCAAGGCCCAGACCGGCACGAGCAGAACAAATGTGGCGAACTCTGCGCTGTCAGCTTTTGAGGATAGCATTCTCAACAACTTGTCTATTATCCCTGCGTTGTGCCTTTACTGCAGCACGGGGCATCAGCAGCTCACCGTCACGTCTATGGCATTGCTGGAGAAGCTATCCAGCTCGAGAAAGCTGAATAAGATCACGTCACCAGAGTTGTCCAAGTGGCGTTCACCGAACAAGATCGTCGAAGTTCTGAGTGCTGAGGTAGATCTCAACAGTGTGTCACGTCCACTTGTGTCCCAGATGCAACCCGAGTCGAGAGAGATAGAAGCTGGCCCACAATCTCCGGGGTACATTATCAGGGAAAGCCTCCTGGCACTTCTCAACAGCTGTCTCAGCACGATTAATGACCGACCCACGATAGCTCACCTGCTCCTTGGGTTTAACAGCATCGGAAACATACTTGATATCGCTCCCGACAGCCTGTTTGCTGATAAGATGTCACTGCTCCATGCTGTCATCGGATTCTTGCAGAACTACCCTGACGCGCTGGATGGCAATATTCTCCCATGGCTGGTGCATGTCAAGCGCATGGCCTTTGGAGTCCTGAAACACCTTTGGTCTTCTAAGCTTTCTTCCTACTTCACACTCGCCGAGATGCGTGGCAGCCGCTTTCTTCTCAGTATGTTCGCGTGTCAGCCGATCATAGGGCCAAACACACCCTGGGATGGATTTCTAATCGGCACGCCTGAGTTCTGGCTTTCTGAATCAACGGCTGGTCTTGCGGAATTTCTTCTTTACAGAAGCTATTTGTTCGAGTACGCCGCGACTGAAATTCGCTCGGCTACAAAGCTCGGGTCTCCAACTCTTCAAGCTGAAATAATTTCAACTCTATTTGGAAACTCTGTTTCGGAAACTGGGGAGACCATTGTGAATCCTTCCGTCTTCGACCTGTTCGATTTCGCGGACCTGGACACTCAACATCAGTTACAACCACCGGCCCTAAGCTTCCTTGATGGTATTGAATTTGACGCGTGTGCAAGACCGGAAACGGACAGTTCTCCAATTGTCTACAACTTGGACGAGATAGTAGAACTTGTTCAGGTCAGAAAGGAAGAATTGTCATTGAGTGGACATCTACGACCTCAGGACGAAGAGCTATTCCAGGCCGAGTCCGAAAGTTTGATATTATTCATACGGTCCACAAACCAAGCAAGCCAGATCGCGTTCAATCGTTATTTGGCCCTACGGTCCTGGACACAGCTCATCACCACGATGCTCACTTGCTCTGAAATCGATGGCGGAAGGAGAGCTACCTTCATCCTGCATTCGCTCCAGTTGATCCTCCCCAAGCTAGAAATTGCTATTGAGGAAGACCTACCGGAAGGCTTAGAATTGGCACGACTGGCCGAGACCTTGGTTAGTAGACTGGAATCTACGAAGCCTGGTTCTGGTAATCCCCGCAGGAGTGGCGACGTTCTTGACGAAAAGCTTCATCAATTATTTCAGGTCTGCGTGAGAGGTGTAACCTTAGCAAACGGAAATGTGAGCATCAGGGAGACCTTTTACAACACTTGCGCACACTATGTCGCTGGTATCATCTCAACAGAGCCCGTTCATCAGAGTATGAAGTTCCAGAGCCAGCAAGTAATCAAAGCTGCAGGCCATGCCCTGATTGAGGCCGTCTGCGATGATGCGTATGCTGGCCAGGAGACATGCCGAGTATCTGCCCTTTTGCTCCTCAATCTATTGGCTGCTCTGGATAGGCAAGCGGATGGATTGTTGGCCGATTCTATATCCCAGTCCAACTATTTGAGCCTCTTCTTGGACACCATCAGGTCGCTACCTATCGAATTGAGAAACGCCCAGGCCAGTGGTAAGCAATTTCGAAAGGAAGAATACACAGGGAAAACGCATGTCTGACCGTTTTGATACAGATACTCCTTTGCTGTTGTCCTACTACCAGTCGCTCTTGTCTCTTCTTCAGGAGCTTTGCCAGACCAAGAATGGTGCGACGTATGTCCTGAAAACTGGCCTGTTCCAGGCAGTGCGGGACTCGCAGCTATTCGCAGCCGACCCAGATCTCGGCATCGGTTAGTGAAGTTCCTCCCATGCCATCGATACAATAACAGTTCTGACGGGAATAGATATTGATAACCCGGATGCTCTTCGAAAGTACTATGACCTGCTTGACTCGGTCCTCCGAGTGGTTGTCGCCGCCGTTTTCTCCCGAGGGCTGCACAACGAGCAGATGCTGGAGCAAACTCGAGTCTTCCTTGCCGAGAATAGACAAAGCATGGTTGGCATTTTCAAGAGATTTGCCAAACTTGGCGGTGCGGGTGCCGCAGATCACCATGATGCACTGCGGAAACTCACTAAGTCATACCTGGCACTTATCACGGCCACGGATTTTCTGGATGTATGCTTCAACAGTCTTTTACCCACGTCACCCATGCTAACTTAAGCTTTACAGTTCGAAGATCAGGAAGTAAAAGAGCAGACGGGAATGAAGTTCTTTACATGAAATCTATTTTCAGCTACAAGGGGATATGGAGGGGCGGGCAAAAAGCATGGAGTAAACTGGTGGGAACGATGTATATTGAAGTGTGTCTAGTCAAAGACTTAGATTATGTGCGCTATTCGGCCCGCAAATCCTTTGGGGCGAAGCAGCATATGTGACTTTGGAGCGCTTTTAATGATCGCACGTTTGTATTAAGCGCATTCATATTACCTCGTTCGTAATACCAGCATGCTCGGGTGCATGTACTCAGTTAAGGTAGAGGGAGAAACCCGAAGAGAATCCCCGTCCAATCATGCGACAACCCGGGGAGGCGGACGTATTATCTTATCTCCGGCTTCTTTGGGCGCCCGCGGGCAACCACCAACTCAACTCACCTGTCGTACCCTTCCAAGCTCCAGCTCAGACCCAACCTCGACGACGCACCCTGTCCTACTCCGTCACTGTCTCGCTGTCATCAATATCCCCTCCACGGTTGACGAGCTTACCATGTTTGATAGGATCCACATACTACTTGGATCCTTCCAACGCTGAGCGCTTCTCTCAACCTCACCTCCTCTCCTCGGACGAAGCCGGGTAGATGCAGCAGAACTCGAGAGGCACCACCGAGCAGAGGAGCGGTAAGCGCAAGTCTATCGGGAAGAGGAAGCTCTCTGATCAAGAGGAGGCATTGCAACAACCCCAGCAGCAGCAAGCGAACATTTCGGAATTCCTGTCTCGGAACCATACAACCCCCGCCAGAGGTCATCACCAACAGACGTCCCCGACGAGCAAGCGTCTACGACTATCGCCACCCTCATCGGACTCTGTCCCTTCGGCTTACTCGCGAGATCGCAGCGCATCCGACAGGATGTACAATTTCGCAAATGCAGAGTCCAGGCCTGGCGCGCCGATGGGACAGAGTGCGAGCGGGGCCGATCTTCCTAATACAACCACTAAACCTCGCACCTTTAACGCAACGTCGCGCCAAAACAATTTCACTCCCCACACTGGAGCAAAGCGGTTGGTCGTGAAGAATCTCCGCACGGGATCACGGTTGAACCAGGAGTCGTACTTTGAGAAGATTTGGGGCCAACTTGATGCTGCGCTGTCGGCGATCTTTGGTGGTGGAAAGCCCGAAGTTTCGCTCGAAGAGCTTTACAAGGGTGCCGAAAATGTATGTCGCCAAGGTCGAGCTGCAGTTCTAGCCAAACGGCTCCAGGATCGGTGTCGAGAACATGTATCTGGGAGATTACGCGATAAATTGGTGGCAAAGGCTGCAGATGGGAGCAACGTCGATACACTGCGAGCGGTGGTAGAAGCATGGTCGCAGTGGCAGTCAAAGCTGGTATGTGATTTACTTTGGGTACAGTTGGGTTCTAAGGAGATACTGACACTATAGTAGGTAACCGTGCGCTGGATCTTCTACTATCTCGACCAGTCATTCCTCCTCCATTCCAAAGAGTTTCCCATGATACGTGAGATGGGCTTAATTCAATTCCGGCAGCACATATTTTCCGATGCCGTATTACAGCCGAAGATCCTACAGGGCGCTTGTGACCTTGTCGAGGCGGACCGTGGCGAAGAACAAAGCGTGGTGGCTGACTCGTTATTACTTCGAAATACAATTGAACTGTTCCACGGCCTTGACATCTATACAACTGGCTTTGAACCGCTTCTCATATCGGAATCCAAGAAATACTTTTCTTCATGGGCCCAGCGAGAAGCAACAGGGTACTTGGCTACTTTTGCCGAGAACAGCCACCGTATAATTGAGCGGGAAGTGACTCGATGTGAGCTGTTTTCGCTGAATAGAAGCACCAAGCAGATGTTATCAGAGCTGCTGGACCGCGCCTTGGTAACAGAACAAGAAAATGTTTTGCTCAACCAGCCCGATATACTAGGTCTACTACGTGCGGGGAACAAGGTTGCTTTAGAAAGGCTTTACTCACTCCTTCAACGGAAGGATCTCGGTGCGAAGTTGAAGGCCGCTTTTAGTGGTTATATTATTGAGGAGGGCTCTGGGATCGTCTTTGACGAGGATAAAGAAGCAGACATGGTGGCTCATCTATTAGAATTCAAGCAGCAACTTGACGATATTTGGGTCAATTCTTTCCATCGAAATGAGGAGTTGGGCCATACACTCCGCGAAGCTTTCGAGACGTTCATCAACAAAGGAAGAAAGTCAGAATCTACTGGAGGTACCGACAACCCCAAGACTGGAGAGATGATTGCCAAGTACGTGGACAGGCTCCTCAAGGGTGGGTGGAAGCTTGCACCTGCGCGCAAGGCGGAGGACATGCCACTTGCCGATGAAGACGCCGAAATCGACAGACAACTGGATCAGGTCCTGGACCTGTTCCGTTTTGTCCATGGAAAAGCAGTCTTCGAAGCCTTCTACAAGAATGATCTTGCTCGTCGGTTGCTGATGGGCAGGAGCGCCAGCGACGATGCGGAAAAGAGTATGCTGGCAAGGCTCAAGACAGGTTTGTACAACTCTTGTACACTGCTTTTCTCAACACGTTACTAATATATGAAATTAGAATGTGGGTCAAGTTTCACACATAACCTGGAGTCCATGTTCAAAGATATGGATGTTGCCCGCGATGAGATGTCGGCATACAGCTCAATACAGCGCGAACGGCGGGACCGTCTACCGGTGGATTTGAACGTCAGCGTGCTTTCGGCATCAGCATGGCCAACATACCCCGATGTTCAGGTGCGGATACCGCCCGAAATTGCGACTGCCGTCGACGATTTCGAAAAGTTCTACAACACCAAATACAACGGGCGCAAGCTCAATTGGAAGCACCAATTGGCACATTGTCAGCTGCGCGCAAGGTTTCCCAAGGGAGATAAGGAATTGGTGGTCAGCTCCTTCCAGGCGATTGTGCTGTTGCTCTTCAACGATATCCCGGAGGGTGGAAGCCTCGGGTATGCACAGATACAGGAGGCGACCATGTTATGTTAGTTGCACTGCCTCTCCACGCCCCAAATCTACGCAAGTTGGGCCTCTACTGACAATGGTCGATGCATAGCTGATCAAGAACTGAAACGAACGCTGCAATCGCTCGCATGTGCGAAATACCGTGTTCTAAGCAAGAAGCCGAAGGGCCGGGATGTGAATACGACAGACGAGTTTTCATACAACGCGGCATTCACCGACCCGAAGATGCGAATTAAAATCAACCAAATTCAACTGAAAGAGACGAAGGAAGAGAACAAGACCACGCATGAGCGGGTGGCTGCCGATCGTCACTATGAGACTCAGGCAGCGATTGTGCGAATCATGAAGAGCCGCAAGACGATCACGCACGCTGAGCTTGTAGCTGAGGTTATCAAGGCAACCCGAAGTCGGGGAGTGCTAGAGCCGGCGGATATTAAGAAGAATATTGAGAAGTGAGTTCTCCCAATTTTCAACACCAACATAAGGTATATCGTAACTGACGCAATGCTGTGCAGACTGATTGAGAAAGACTACATGGAGCGCGAGGAAGGGAACCGGTATCAATATGTGGCTTAGTAGATTTTCAGCAGTGTTATGTCGGGTACAAGGGATTGGGGTTCGGACGATGTGGTACTTCGTACAGTGTTGATTTGACAGCTCAGAGACCGTCAGAACGAAATGGCATGATAAAGAATGCACTAAGACAGTCATGTGTCCATTCTGCTTTAGAGGCCTTCCCTTCCTATGCACAGTCGCAGTCAGCTAGCCGTGTAGATACAGAGAGTTGTCGTGGCCCTTTCGGGCGCTGCCTGCTAGTAGCGACGGTCAACAGTGGTAAGTGGGGTGACCGGAATGTCGGGAGACAAGAGAATGGAGTATCAACTGTAGCTCCGCAGACTAGCAGCATTTTGATCCCTGGCATGGTTGCGGAGCATCGCCGGTCCCACAAGCCTACTTGGGGGACCCAAGGAGGTAGCTTCCATGGGGATCCGTCGGTAGTACGTAGTAAGGTCGTGTGTCGCGAATCTGCAACTCTACTTGCGTGCGTTGTATAGGATCTCTCGGTATAGTTGCCTATTACGAAGACCAACCCCCCATTCCTACCGACCGAATTTGGGGGGGGAAACTGTTGAGGAGCGGACCGATCTAACGTGCCTCACGTGTACCTACCTTCCTTGTCTGTCTCTACCTAATTAGTAGATAGATGGTAACTAACAGCAGACTAGACTACTTAACACGCTGCAGGATTGGAAACGACTAGAATGTGTAGTGGATAATTGATACAGCAAGGTACATCTAGGACTCTCCACACGTAGGGGTGAGTATGTGGTATGAATCGCAATTGCTGCATTCACTCAGACTGAATGCTCATCACAGCTTTGAGCCCAAAGAGAGTGTGCAGCTTATCCTTCTCTCGCCCGAGAGACACCCGTCGGGCTCTCGGCAGAGAAAGGCAGAAGCCAGCAATGTGAGGAAAGGCCGAAAAGGGCAATGGAACGGAAGTGTCAGCCCGCGGAAGGTGCAGCAGCTCATCGATGACTGCTCGAGCCGAATCGGGAAGGGGACGAAACGGTCTAGAGCTTCCGGGGGACCCATCCGGCTTACTATCTATGGAGTAAAGTTAGGGGGGAAAGCCTGGGAACTTTCCATACGCTCACGTGGATGTCTGAGCTTTTCCTTTCCTTCAGGGACACGGCCGATCCATCGCCTATCCATGACCCGGCGACTTTGAAAATGAACTATAGTCATCCTTAGTCCTTACCGTAGATAATCGGAGAAACCTTTCTATTTTCGTTTTCCATTTCTTCCACGTATCAATATCCCGGTTGCCTCTCGATTAAGTAAGGATTGCTGTTTCATACTAAAGATCTGACAGCGGAGAAGTGGTGGCTTGCACAATCTAACTAACCCCCTTCCTTCATGTTTCTTTTTTGGTGTTCATTTTCTGAAGGTCCCATGATCGCTTTTCACTTACTCATCATCTGTTGGGAATTGGTTCTCTGACGATCCGTTGTGCAACCCCCATGCGGCTCGGGTGAGGATGGTCACTTCCATTACTCTCCATTACTGTGTAGTTATTTGCCTTGCACATCATTTGTTGAGAATTTTTGCTCGTACTCCATACATACCTGACCACTTGTTTTATCCTTTGCCCGAAAAATTGGAGTGACTACGTACTACAAAGCACGTAATGTACTACTACCACGACACCAATTCTGGATGCCTGACTTTCTGCAGCGGTTGCCAGCAACAAAACATGCCGCGACGGATGCCTAAGCGGCGGGCACGGCAGCAGAAAGCAAGCATAGATCATATGCATGCATGTATGCGGTGGTCAGGAATTATATTCCCATGGGCTTTGATATGCAACAACAGATTTATCGAGCTTATAGGATGGGGCTGGACTCATGTAATACTCAAACTTTACAGGCGGATAATTCATGCCCAGGGTACCTGGTTGAGTTAAGTGGGGTCATGGTCAATGTCTACCTGATGTCTACAGTAAATGGTACTACTATAGTCTACCAGTCATCCAATCCGCTATCAGACATCTTCACGCAATCAAGCATACCCCCCTCGCCATCAAGCAAGGCATGCTTTTGTGCCATGTTTGTGGCGTAGTTAAGCATACCAGGTAGTCAATGCCTACAAATCAAGAATTATCATGATTATCATTATGATTATTTACCCCGCCACTCAGTAGCGCCAATTTTGGAAAATCAATATACACGGTACTTTGTATTTGTCTTACTTGTGTAGAGGATTGTTTTGTGTCCAGTAAGCTGCAGGTTCTCGAACATCCTTGCGCGTCTCAGCGGCAATCAATGTATCCGGAATAGGAAGGGTTACGCACCCGTGACATCGCCTTCGTTGCGCCCCCTTCCCCCCATTCTGCCCTGCGTGCGCACGGAGTCGACTCTATCTGTTGGTATTACTAAGTAGTAGTAGATTGACGATCTCATACTCGACCCAATGCATCCAGTACCTACTGTATGTACCTAAATGTATGTATGCAGTAACGTATGTATGTGTGTATGTATGTATGTATGTCTCTGTTGGCAAATCTTCTGCAATGATACAGACAATTCGATTATCAATTCTCATCCGCGAACAGCGCTGTTCATCCCACGGGCTCAGTCGATCCCAGAACCATTGGAACTGGAAGAAAGACAACTCAACTCTGGTCAGGTAGATAGTGGATTGAGAGCCGAAGCCGTACCGATAATGATCAGGCCGTCAAGGGAAGATTGTCCAAGAAAATAGGCAGGCGAAGCGGAATTCCCACAGATAGTAAGCCGAAGCATCCGGAAAGTGACACCAGTCACGGCGGGTAATTTTGGCGGGTTCCAGACCCATGGGGTACAGCGCTAAGCCGTAACTGGCTGGGGCGTGGAGTCGATTACAAGCTCGAGGTTGGAAACTAACGACTCTGGATTTCCTTATCCAGAACCGCATGGCCGATGGGTCGGTCATGCGAAAATCAGAGATTGTTCATGTGAGCAGCAAAAAAAAATAATATTGGGAATTTTGGGGATCGGTTGGAAAATGGATCAATCAAGTTGCTACTGGTCACCGACTCGACTTACGACATCCTGAAGTACCCCCCAGCACGTCCACGATACTCCGTGTCCGGTTCTTCGTCCTATTTATGTCCAGCTCTCGCACTTGGTCTCTGGGGTCTTCTCATCGCTTTTCCTATACTACTCATATAACAACCTTCTTCTCCCTCAGCAATTGACCCTTCCCGGCTTGCTGTCCGTCCTCCATTCCAATCAGACTCTCCTCCTGCCCTCAGATCCACTTACCACATCTTCCTCCGTGATCTACAAGGTCATCCCCATACATCTGAGGTTATCCAGCCAATCGACCGATCCCCCACCTGACAAGTGACCGTGAGTGCGACTGACAAATGATAATCCCTTCTTCTTTGCCATTCTCCAGTTTTCTCGATGCACGAAAATCAGTGGACTGACAGCTGCCGCTCAAACAGGCGAATCCGACTTCTCCACTTTTTCCCCGCCTTATCCGGATTGTATTCCGAGCCTACGCGCCATCCCCAGAGATTGCTATTGTCTGCTTTGGTACGCTTGAAGCGAATTATCCCGATGCGTGTGAGGGGGGAAACTGACAGGCCAAGGTCATTTAAGAACCGAAGCTCTAGCGATAAAGCGTATATAAAGAGTCGAAGCAGTCGCCTTTCTGGAAAGTCGACCCAGCCGCGATCTCAAGTGTTGAATCTATTGCGCTTATACCCGTACTTCGTCGAACCCCACTTTCGAGCCGGATCGTGTTCCTACGCGCCCGCCAAACGTCATACACCATCAAGTCCCCAGTTTTTTGTTGCGATCAACCCTTAGATCTCCCTCCATCATGCAGAGTATGTTCCACACACACCTCTTCTCTGGAGATCTTCTCTTTTTCCTGTTTGCCCTTTGCCCCAGAATTTGTGTCCCTCTGCGTCAGACCATGCAATCCAAGATCCGGTTTCCACAGCCGGCATGAAGTCAGATCTACTCCACAAAATTTACTGGATCAGACACTGTCCGATACATACGCTAACGCGGCCATCAGCCAAACACTTCTTCTCGGACCCTACCCATCTGGTCCAGACCGCCCTGAACTCCCTGACTCTCACAAACCCTTCTCTTGCCTATGACCCCGAAAACAAAATTATTTTCCGTCGTCCGGATACGACTTCAAAGTCCAAGGTCGCGATTGTGTCTGGAGGAGGATCCGGCCATGAGCCTGCCTTTGCCGGCTATGTTGGCAAGGGTTTCCTAGATGCCTCGGCCGCCGGGACCATTTTCGCCTCTCCTTCCGCAGAGCAGATCCGTAAGGCTGTCATGGACTGCGTCGACAACGAGAAGGGTGTCCTCATCATCCCCATGAACTACACTGGTGATGTCCTCAACTTCGGTATGGCTACGGAGAAGGCCCGCGCCGCCGGTATCAAGACTGAGTTCTTCGCCATCAACGACGACGTTGGTGTCGGCAAGAAGAAGGGCGGCAAGGTCGGCCGTCGCGGTATTAGTGGTGGTATCCTAATCTTGAAGATCGTCAGCGCGCTGGCCGAAGCTGGGTAAGTTGAGCCCTTTGAAGTTGTGAGAAGCGTAGACTAAGACGACTGACTGTACCAGTGGATCTCTCGAGGATGTTTACCGCACCGCTCAGTTGGCAAACAAGAACCTCGTCTCAGTTGGCTCTTCTCTGGAGCACGTCCACGTCCCTGGCAGAGCTCCGCCAACGGACACCATCCCCGATGGTGAGGTCGAGGTCGGCATGGGCATCCACAATGAACCGGGATCTCACCGGGAAAAGTTCGAGCTGACCGAACTGGTCGCTACCATGCTCCTTCAGCTCTTGGACCACAACGATCCCGACCGCGCCTGGATCACTCGCAAGCCCGATGATGACTTTGTGCTGCTGATCAACAACTTGGGTGGTGTGAGCGCTCTGGAACTTTCGGGCATCACCGATGAGGTCTACCGCCAGCTGAACAGAGACTACAACGTTCGGCCCATCCGGGTGATCCAGGGAACCTTCCTCACCAGTCTGAACGGCCTAGGCTTCAGCATTTCCTTGATGAAGCTCGTGGACTCTGGATTGGGCGAGGGCAAGTCCTTCCTTGAACTCCTTGATGCCCCCGCTGAGGCGGTTGGCTGGTCTGCTCCCATCCGTCCTGAGACCTGGGAGCACCGCTCTGATGCTCCTGTTGAGCTGAAGAGGACCAAGATGCCCGAGGATCAGCCCAGCAACGTCAAGTGTGAGTTCCCGTATCCGGTCGATTATGGCCGCCTGTTCTCTCCGGCTTGAGCTAACGTGACTCAGTGGATGTTGATTCCCTCAAGAAGGTCCTGGGCAGTGCACTCAAGCGTGTCATTGCCGCCGAGCCCGAAGTCACCCGCTTCGACACCATCGTCGGAGACGGAGACTGCGGCGTAGGCTTGAAGCGTGGCGCCGAGGCCGTCCTTAAGCTCGTCGAAGACCCCTCGTCTCCGCTCACCGACGATGTCGTGAACGCAGTGAACCGCATCGTCAGCATTGTCGAGAACGTCATGGATGGAACCTCCGGAGCCATCTACGCTATCTTCCTGAACGCCCTGGCCCACGGTCTTCGCGAGCAAGACCGAGGCACCACCACCCCCGCCACGGTGGATGTCTGGGCTGCTGCACTGTCCTACTCCCTCACCGCGCTGTCCCGCTATACCCCTGCCCAACCCGGTGACCGTACCCTCCTGGACGCCCTTGTACCCTTCTGCACGCAGCTCCAAAAGGCCAAGGACGTGCACATCGCCGCCAAAGCAGCACAGGAAGGCACCGACTCCACCAAGAACATGAAGGCCAGCCTAGGACGGTCCGTCTACGTCGGCGGCGAAGAAGAATGGGTGGGCAAGATCCCCGACCCCGGCGCTTACGGACTCAGCGTGTTCCTTAATGGTCTGTCTGAGGCGTTGTAAGGGAGTTGGAGAGAGAAAAATTGTCACTTGCAGTTCTTTTCTTTTCTTCGGGGCCAGGGTAAATATATAATTTGCATCCGCTGGTGAGGATATTATGGGTTATTTTCTTGACTCTTCTTATCTTAATATAATTTCATGATGATGAATATGATGATAAATTGGGCGCGTTTTTGCATGTTGCTTCTTTGTATTTACTGCTTAGCTTTCAGTATTGAATAGTCAGGATAATGGTCGGGTCTATTTATCGTAAGTATATCGTATGTTTGCTAAGAATCGATGAATTAGGCACGTGGGTGATAGCGCCACGCAATGGTTTGACATACTTTAGATTTGACAATCCACTACGTCTTTTAGTGGTGTACTCGTACATTGTTTTATCGTGGTATTAACATTCAGAGTATATCCAACCAAGTCAGATACACTTCACAATCCCGGCTAGCACTATCTAGCTTTCACTCGAGCATCGAGTACGACCCGATTCATCAATGTCCTCCCCTACTTTTATCAAGCCGAGATACTCCACTTCAAATTCCTTTTTCTAGCTTTAAGAAAACAAAAGAGTCCGGAGAACGCCAAATCTGCCCCCGCCGTAAATCAGAGAGAACGGTGAATTTGAGATCGGAAAATAGCAATATATGAAATGAGAAGGAAAAGGAGAGCCAAGGTCCGGATAGGGCTGGATTAATTGGGCGGGGAGGCAGATTGTACGTGATGATGTAATCTAACATCCCGTCCAATCCCGCAAGTATCGCACGACTAAAAGGGTATCGTTCATTCGTCTGTGTCAACTAAAATTCGTCTCCGTCGGATTTCAGCTCGATCAGAGAGAAGCCAAGCCCGGACCGGCCCAGGACCGTTCGAGAAGGGAAATGAGCGCATCATGTGAACAGAGTTCAGCTGAGCAGGACGAGGATGACGGAGTCACCACGGAGGAACCTACAATAAAAGGTTGGGTTAGGATTGTTTCTGGCGGGGGGAGAGGGTGAGTGTAGGTAATGGCGATGCTTACATCTTGCTGATGAAGCGATCCTTGTTAACACCCTTGCCGTTACCACCCTTGGGCTTCTCGGTCCACATCTCCTTGACGTTCTCCAGAACCATGTTGCAGTGGCGGTCGAAGGCCTTGACACGGGCGAGGAGCTTGCGGTTGTTCCGGCATGAGATCAGGACCTGGGTGTGTGTGCGCGTAGCGGTTTGGAGAAGGGACAAAGGACCGGCAGTGAGCTCATGTTCCTCGACGAGGGAGACCTCGTATTCACTGAATGAGGGGCCAGGTTAGCGAATGGACGGCGATGATGGGTTGGTAGATAGATAGATATGATGTGGCGCGATGAGAATTAGGCGCGCGGGACACTATCCGGATATCATGGGTTGTGGTGGGCATGGGTAGTTGGACTGATAGGTGTGCAAAGGGGATCGGGCATCATGTGATAGGAACACGGGAATAGAAAGCTTTGATAAAAGCCGGAAAGAAGAGGAGGGGTTCGATAACGTACGTGAGCTCGCTCTTAGGCTTGTTGAGCAGGTCCCTAATGAATTGCAAGACAAGGTTAGCAATGAGGTCCGGCAGGTTGAGGAGCGGATTACACCATGACAAGAGCTAATGACTCATCGGGATGTAAAGGAGGGTAGGAAAAGAGGGGTAATTACTGGATCTTGGGATCGGTCGACATGGTGGGCGCGAGTATAAATATGGGGTGGAAGGTGCCGGTGCAGAGGAGGACAGCAGGGACAGGCTTGAACTTGATCGGGGACGACTTGAGAGCATCTCAATCCGCAGCTTCTGTTCTGGAAGCCTGGCTTGGCGCGGGTGCTGTCACGTGCCACGCGTGTTTGCCGTGTTTGAGCGGCGGAAATAGCCGAGCGCGCGATTGGCTGGGCGTCACGTCGCGTCCGACACGCTCGGATGCGCTCTCGTCCAAGCTTCATCACTTCTTCAAATGCAAGGCGTCTGCGCTTTTTCTCTCCTTCCACCCTCACCTCTGTCACTCCTCCTTTTTCTCTCTTCCTCCCAACTCGTCGGCCTGTGGTTAAAGGGAGCAACCTTCAGTGCCTCAAATTGATTTAATCTCCTTCTCTCTGTCTTCTAAACCTCCTTCTCTCTCCCATGCCTCAGGTTTCTCACCGCACCCTCTCCTCCTTTCGTTGCTCCGTGTCCCGCGTTGGCATTCCACAGGCTCTTTCCCCGCGACCTCCGTTGCATAGTACATCCACGCCTCGGCATTCCCCTGGCTGACACTCCCGCCAATTGGGCCTTTCTGAGTGGTCGATAACGCTAGACGCATATCCAACGATATTATTGCTATCCTACCTTGCTTCGATTTTCAACGGTCGATCTCTTGAACCCTGTTATTCCGGGTTACACCTTCGATACTCCCTTTTCGAATTACCTTCCGAGCAACCCGGGTGCAACCCTCTTCTCTTTTTCCTCTCTCCGAAGCCTTACAGCCCTCTTCATTCTACACTTTGGTTTTGTGATCCAGCATATGGTTAATTTCCTTCATCTGGTGGCATGGACTCTCAGGACGGGATTTCCGTCCGGCCTATGAGGCGTAAGTAATTTTTATTTTCCGTTGTGGTGTCAAGTATGTTCGATACTAATTGTGTGGCTCCGGAACTTGCAGTGAAGGTGCTCTACACGTTCGATGATGCCAACAGGACAAATTGCCTGGCCCGATGGCCCCATCTTCTCGACATTCAGACTGCTGCCCTCGATGAGAAGACACAAATCGGTGTCATCGAATTGAAGACCTGCATTCAAGCCATTGTTTCGGCAAGGTGAGTGCTTTCGCCAAAGGGTCAACCGACACTACGTGGATACTTATTGCAATGGTTTCATGTGACAGTCCGGAACTAGTTGCCAAACTTGGACAGGATTACACGGTGTACGCCTACGACTACTCCGAATATGAGACGCCCCTCGTCGGACAAGGGATGCTATCATGGGTGTTGGCTTCGGCTTCCCCGACCCCCGATGCACCAGCACATCAGTCGGAAACCATGGTCACCGGTCGTGTCTGCAAGAATGTTCTAGGTTTATTCTCGAAAGGTGCACAGGAAACATTGGAGGTTAAATTGCGATTGGTCCCTGTTCCCACGGTCATGCAGAGCGAGTACCTGGACAGCATGCAGAGATATCGCGAACTGAGCAATGTCATTCCCCACGATTTCGACGCACAGGCCTGGACGAATTTTCTTCGCCAAAACCCCGGTCTGCTGGGCCCTCGTCCTCAACAACCCGACCGCACGGCATCGCCTGTGGACCATGCCGGAATTGAGCGGTTCCATCGCCTCCTGAGTGAAGGCTCAACGCCAAGGGAGCTGCCCTCAATTGCCGCCAATGGGTCTGTTCGCTCGGTGTCGCCCGCACAGTCTGTGCTTGGTCATGCAAGCAGGATGTCCACCCCTGGCTGCCAGCCATTCGCGCAGCAGCAAGAGCAAATACAGGAAAGATCCCACACCGATGTCATTCGCCCCACCTCGAGTGCTTCCATGCGCGAGTCCGATCTCCCAATGCATGCGAGATATGCCAGCCGCAGAGGATCCATGCAGTCCGGCTACGGTAGTGGTGATGAATCTTCGGAACAGCAACCCCGGAAGAGAGCCAAGCTGTATCGTGCGGACTGGCCCGGCAAGTCGGATTTGAACATTGAAAGGCAACCCAGCTCCCTTCGTGTGGCCGCAAGCACTGCTGCGTCCGTGCGTATTCATCGCCCTACCCCTGTCAACCCCTCAATCGCTGCTGCTCAGAGCTCAAATGAGGAGCCTGTTCGGCCGCCAACTCCGATCTCTAATGCGAATGAACTGCCTCGCCGCGCCCGCCCCCGGCCCAGCCTCTTGCGTGAGCCGTCGATGCAGAGCACTCCTCAGTACACATCACCATACACTGCGGCCGATGATCATCCGGGTGACAATAATACCCAGTCGCCGGAGGAGTCCCGCTACCAAGGCATTTTTGAGCCCTCATTCAATATGCCGTCTTCGCCTCCCGTTCTCGACTGCGGATTCCCGAACCGATCCAGTCCAGTTCTCCCCCCCATGGCCACTGACCCGGATTCGGGCTTCATGAGTGGGGGTATGGACGATCTCCTGGATGAGGATATCGGTACGCCCCTGGAGGATTGCTCGAGGGCCAACGATGCAGCTCGGGGGAAACGAAGCGTGCGTCCTGCTGTGCCAGCGAGCTCACCTGTTGGGCCCATGAACCATGATACTTATCCCGCCAGCGACGCCCTGCCTGATCAGTCTGCCAAGGACAAAATATCTGCAATTCCTCGTGCTCCAGCTAGTACTGCGGGGTCACGGCCATCGTCTCGTGCCGGTATCAGACAAACTCCTAAGCCTCTCGCGCCCGCTCCCATGTCGCAAAGCGAATTGGAGCAGCTGATGAGTGCTATCCCGGCAAGTGATCCGGTAATGCCCACCCATGTGCATATGCCCAACACGCAATCCTGGAATGGACCGATGAGTGACTTTTCAGTCGCGGAAACGCCCGCCCCTCCACCCCCTACTGAGGACGGCAAGGTTCGCAGTGGTGCTGGTGCCAGACGAGTGCGGCAGGTTCAAGCACGTCTTGCCCAGTGCATTCGGGACGGACAGGCTCCTCCTTATTGTGAAAATTGCGGCTCGATCGAGACCCCTACCTGGCGTAGGGCATGGTCCAAGGAGATCGATGGTACCGAAGAAGAGGCCATTGAACTCGTCAAAGATTCTGCGATGTTGTTCTGGCAAGCCGTGGATCGCGATGACCAAGAAAAGGTCACCAAATTTAAGATCTACAAGAAGAGCCTAGTGGATACCGATAAGGACTTTGTTCAAGTCCTACTCTGCAATCGTAAGTAAACTCCAGTCAGTTTGTTCGTTACAGCCGCTAATAACATTCTAGCTTGTGGCCTTTGGCTCCACAAGTTCAAGTGCATGCGGCCAGAAAACAAGTGGAACAACAAATCCGGCAACAATAAGAGAAAGCGTCCTCCCAGGAACCGCAAGGGCGGCGGTCCGCTGTCCGGTAACCCTCCGTCGGCGAGAAACCGCGTCAGGGCTGAAGCCGGAAAGCCCGATGCCTCGTCACCCGGTGTATCTGATGCATCCTCACCCCCAGTGGACGATGGCACTACCCCCCGTGGTGATAACGAGAACGAGAACGAGAACAATGAAAACAACGATAATGAGCCGAGCAATGTGCAGGACAATGATGATGTTCAGGAGCTCCCAGCCAAGCGACGCCGCGCAAACAGCCTGGAACCGCGCAAATCAACCGATACTGCGGGAAGCCGTTGGCACGAGAATGATCCAGTGGAAGCCCTCCGAGCAGCGATCCAGTCTAGTCCAGCTAGAAATCTTGAGCACCGCAATGCTTCTGCTGCGGGTGAGAATGCTCTTACTCCTAAGTCTGTGAGAAGAGTGCTTTTTCCTAATTCGCACAATGAGGGCGGGCCGTTGCGAGCCTTAGGTGACTCCACCTTGAACAGCCCTCGGCGAAGCCCTCGTGTAACTGGCGGATCGGACAAGCGATCTGACGACAAGGAGAATCATGCATCTGCTGACCTGAACGGCCTCTTCGAGAGTCCCGAGTTTGACTTTGACCTGCCTACCAGCCCCACTCCTCGGCGTCGCAATCCCCGCGCGAGCATTCTGGGCGAGAAGCGGCACTCCCTTCCCGGCGATTCGCCTTCGCGGACCCGGAAGGGACTGAGCAGCGATGCGACGCCCACCAGGGTCACTGCGCAAAGACTTCAGCGGATTCAAAGCAGCCCGGGGCCGGTATCGCGCCACAGCAAAACGCCTAAGCAGTCACGCACGCAGGGCCTTGGGCTTCCCGCTTTGGCAGATGATGCCTTCAGCACGGACGCCTTTAGCGGAATAGACAACATGATTGTGGACATCTTCTCGGACGCACCTTCTGCCAATGCGGACGCGCTTTTCGCACTTGATGCGAACAAGGGCAATTGGCCTGACTGGATCCCTTCGGACTATGTGTCTCCCACGGGAACTGATGGCGAGCCAGCTGGTGAAGACTCCCAGGATCTCATCAATGCGCTCCTGTCTGATCCGGACCTGCAAAAGAACCCCCAATTCGATATTTTCAACTACGTTGACAACAACGTCCTGGACTCTGGCTTCTTCAGTTCCGACGCACTCAACGCCGACAGCTTAGCCCTGGGTGTAAAAGAGAAAGCGTCTGAAGAGGCAGCCAAGGACAAGGAACCCCAGACTACAAATGATGCTTAATGAGTTTCCTTTTTTGTTATGATGATGCCGACTTTCTCTTGATATTTCTTTACATTCTGTGTTCTATATTTTCTAGCGATGGCGTTGGATGGATAGGCAATGGTGATGTGCCATCTGCCGCTACAGTCTTTCTTTGGGGATAACATAAGGCTATGATATGCTTTTGTTGGAAGTGGTTCGAATTGGATGGATATTACGGAATGGAAACTTGGGAGGATTGAAGGATTAGAATAAGATACCAGCACTCGTTGCTTACACAATAAATGAATATGAATAATAATTAACAAGCTGTGTTTACTATACTAGACCGTAAAATCGATCGTATATCGTTTTGATATTCAGATATTGTAAATCAACCCAACGCCAAAGAATAACCCGAATACGACGCAAATGACACCTCAACTGCAGCACACATAAGGTGGATACTCGTAGTCACCCATAACAGCAAGGTATCTCACGGCAGCTCAACAAGTGCTCCTAAGACCATCCACTAACCCATTCATTTTGTACCACATCCTCCCTAACAGCCCACTCACTCATCATAAAAGATAGGCTTGAGCTTATGCGTAGCATTGACAACCTGTTCATAGATCGTGTAATCTGCAGCCACATCAACAACCACAATTAGCACCTTTTTCCTTTTACCCCTTCTCCATAGTCCATAAGAAAAGAAGAAAACCTACCGCAATCCGCGGGACTCCCCCAATCCGTACTTCCCAGGACTCTAATACCCACGCCCTAAGCGCCACATAACCAAAATTAGCCATTATCCTACCCAAGAACAACCCCTCATTTATAGCGGGGGGAAAAATAAGGTATTGAAACATACACTCCCATTATCCAGATCCGCCACCTTCCCAATAATCTCCACCAACTTGCCCATCTGCAAATGCGAATCGGGCTTCAAGATGAGCGTCACATCGCCGTGGTTTCCGCACGTCATAGTCGCCGTGTCGCCGCGCAGAGCAGTCACTGTTCCTAGGATACGGACGGTATGGGAGGTGCGTGGGCCGGCGGAGGAGGGGTGGAAGGCGTGGAGGTGGGAGGGGAGGATGCGGGGGGTTTGGAGGGACATTTTTTATTTCTTTATTCTCCTTCTGTTTATTGTTGTGGTGGTGGGGGTGGTTTGTATGCTGTTTCTCGTTTGGCAAGGAGGGTATAGTGATCAGGAGGGGTAAGTAATGGTGGGATTGATATTGATATAGTTTATGGTAATTGCTAGATAGTAGTAGATGGGATACGCGGCGCGCGTGGACGCGTAGTCATGTGATTATCTGGTAAGCTTTCTCTGGATCCCAAAGTCCGTCCCGATTGAAGGCGGAGAGAGAGAGAGAGAGCTAAGTATGGACTCCGACTCCGGTAATTCTTTTTTTTACAGAGTAATTTCAGAACAACGCCACGCGCTTCACTTCTACTTCGATCTCACTGCTAAAGAGAGAGATATATAGTTTTCAGCGCAATTTGTTATTTATCCCTTATTGAGAAAATTGATATCACCACTACGCAATGCCACCTCCCCTCCCCTCCCACCATCGCGGCATGACCGCAAACCCCGTCCGACCAAGCAGATACCGACCCGGCAAAGCCATCGCAGAGGAGCCCTCCTCGTCCGAAGAAGAGGATGAAGATGAACAAGAAGCTAAAAAGGAAGCCGAGCGACAGAGACAGCAGGAACGGCGCAGACTCGAACAACAGCGACGACAAGCTCCCAAGGCGAGCTCGTTTCCTGCGGGTGCGGCGAAGATTGCTCGGGGTGTGAAGGATGTGAAAATCGAGGAGGAAGAAGCAGATGAGGATGAAGAGGGGTTTGTGACGGAGGAGGAGGAGGAAGAAGAAGAGGCCAAGCCTGCGAAGGCGGCTGCTCCTGTTGCTGGCGACAGGGTGGCTGCTCCGGCGCGGACGGCTACGGTGAAGGAGATATCGGAAGAAGAGGAGGAGGATGAAGAGGAAGAGGAAGAGAGTTCTGAAGAAGAAAGCAGTTCCGAAGACGAGGCTCCGCGCAGAGTGCTTTTACGACCTACGTTCATCAAGAAAGACAAGCGCAACAACGCCCCCGGTCAAACACAGAACGGCCAAGCTGCGTCAGGCACAGTGGTGGATACTTCAGCCGAGACAGAGGCGCGTCGGATACAGCGACAGGAGAAAGCAGACGCCTTGATTCGGGAACAACTAGAGAAAGACGCCATTGCGCGGAGCGAGGCGAATCGGGCGTGGGATGACGACGAGCTCGAGGTGGGCGAAGAAGGTGCAATTGACGATACCGACGGAAAGGATCCAGAAGCGGAGTACGCAGCATGGAAGCTCCGAGAGCTGAAGCGCATCAAGCGCGAGCGTGAAGCGATCGAGGCTGCAGAGAAGGAGCGAGAAGAAGTCGAGCGGCGCAGGAATCTCACTGCCGAGGAGCGCGATCGCGAAGACCGCGAATACCTCGCCAAGCAGGAGGAAGAGAAGGAGGCTAATCGCGGCCAGGCCGGGTACATGCAGCGATACTTCCATAAGGGAGCGTTTTTCAGCGAAGACATGCAGCGCGAGGGACTTGCTCAGAGGAATATCATGGGTGCGAAGTTTGCGGACGATGTCTCGCGGGAGACTCTGCCCCAGTACATGCAGATCCGTGATATGACGAAGCTTGGAAAGAAGGGACGCACGCGCTATAGGGATCTGAAATCAGAGGACACAGGTCGTTTTGGCGAAGGGTTCCAGAACAGGTCTCGTCATCGCGATGGTGGAGCTCCCATTGGCATTACCGACGAGCGATTCATGCCTGATCGTGACCGTGATGAAAGACCCAAGGGACCCACTGGGGCGAATGCCTCTGCTGTGCGCGAGAGACGGAGGTCTAGGTCACGATCATACTCGCCGCGACGAGAGCGTCGCGATCGTTCAGCAGACCGGTATAGGCCCGATACAAGCAGTCGCAGGAAACGGAGCCCGTCACCTTACGAAGATCGGGAGAAACGGAGGCGCGTGAGTGTTTCGCCAGAACGGTGAAAGAGAAGCATGCAAATAGGGACATAAGGACATTCTATTTCTAATCGGTTCGTTGGGAAACTCTTGAGATCAAGGATGGATTAGGGTCATGATCGATGCATTTTAGGACGGATGTTCCAATCTTCCTGGCCTCCTAGGAGAATAGACTACACCTGCATGTTCGTTCAGTGGACGAACAGCAAAGTAAATACCAGATGTCTTGCTTGTTGCACATACAAGACATATGTCCATGTCCGTCCGCGCGACTCATCGCACCACCTCCTCACTCACATCCTCGGCATGCTGCTGGCGACTGTCGCATATGAACCGTGCCTCTTCCAACACCCAAACAGCCTAGCCCACAACACCACACGTCACGAGAACCCGTTCGCATTCTATAATATTGAAACAAAATCGCTGCATAAGAAACAAAGGCCGATCATGCACCGTAGAGCCAATGGATATATCAATCACATCCCATTTATTTATTTAACGCCAGCCCTCTCCAAAACCTTCTCCCTCTCCATAACGCTCTCCCCAAAGCGCAACAAGAATATCGTCCTCCCAGGCCACATCTCCGTGGGCTGATTATGAGCGGTGACCTTAGCCTCGAAGCCACACCCATCGCAAACGCCCTCAATAATACCCGCGACGAAAGCCGCGCAATTAAGCATGCTCATTTCCTTCGGCACACTGATATATGTATTAACGAGGGGATCATTATCCGTAATCATATATTCATTAGGCGTCTCGGGAGAGACAGAGTGCTCGAGGGCATCGGCAGGACGATTAAAGAGAAGGCGCCAGAGGGGACCGTGGATGAGATGAAGGAGGGGAAGGATACGGAGGGGTCGATTCGGAGGCGAGGAAGAAGTCGAGGAGGAACTGGATAGAGCGGAGGAAGTGGAACTGGACATGGTGCGGTAGAAGAGGAGGTCGAGGAGTCGGAGACCTAGGGGGTAGCCTTGTTCGTTCAATCTGCACCAGTACCAATCATCAGTATGTGAACGGGAGGGTGGAAGCAAGCAGAGTAAAAGTCCCATACCGTCGTTCTAAATCTTGAATCCCTGTTACTCGTCTCTGAGCATAAGTCACCATCTCCGCGAACAGAAAGGCGAAGCTAGCCCGGCTGAGCTCCGCATTGCGGCTGCGGTTCAGGTGTCGGTCATAGATGGTTTTGCGGTTTGACGGCACGCGCAGGCCCTGGCTTGATTGGGATTGCGTGTGGATGTGCTGTGCTGGTTGCTGTCTGTCGGCTGATGCTGCCACGGGGAGGTTTGGGCCGCTGTTGCTAATGGATAGCATCGCGGCGTGGCGGGCGGGTTGCGCCATGTTGATGGTGTGTGGTTGGTAGGTATTCAGGGTGGGTTGTGATGGATGACGGGAGTATTGGTTCACGCTGAGCTAGTCGGTCATTCTGGTGGGATTTAATTTCGAAGATCAGGCGAAATGCTCATGCTGGTTCGTAGGTGTATGGGTGGAATTGAATGGTCGACAGGAGTGAGCGAAGCTGTTGATAGATGTCCCTCCAGTAGGCGGCATGGGGGAATCTACGGGGAGGCAGGGGTGCAGTCATGCAGTTTCGGCGATGGCCTCAGGTGCATGGAATTAGGCTTAATTGAGCCGCATGGAATGACAGAAATCTATTGGGTCGTGTCAAATAGGAATTTGAAGGACTTTACTCTACTGTCCGCGGATTATACAGTTGTACTACTAAGAACTTTATGGAAGGAAAGAAGTAATCTCCGATCAAACAAAATATCCATTGCGAATAAATCTAAATAATCCCTTGGCAAGAATTGACGATGTCTCAACTTGCCCTTCCTCTGCTTGTGATATCAAGGCCTCTGTAAGGACAGTCCAAAGCTATGAAGCTACTGGGTAGAATAATCTGTTCTAAGCAAGCAATATTAGCATACGCTCGCGGTAAAACCAATGGTGATCAAAATCAAAAGATCGACGACCAAGTCAGACATCCAAGGAAGTATTGCGCACAGAGCCGTCTATGATGGGTTCATGGCGACGACTAGCGTGGAAACTGCGAATGTAGGAAAAGTTTTCATCATAAGAAGCCTTCGCCGAAGCGAAGGCTCTGGTCGTGTTGGGCAGAAAGAAGAAAGAAAGAAAGTTGCAGAACTTACCAAGTTAGTCGCACAACGCAATTAATGTGATAGAGAAAGTAAATGTCGCTACTGAGTGCTATAGCACTCGATGGGAATCATCATAAAATTCCAATCGACTAGATTTGTCGTCTGGGAGAGTTTCAACAAATTGTTGAAGTGCGAGAAAAGAAAGAAAAATTTCGGTGCGGGAAGACCCTTTTATAGTCGGCCTCAGGCTGCCCGGGAAACCCGCCGACCCATACGAAGCTTCTAGAGAGGCCGAAAATTCATCACCAGCCTCCGCTACGAAAGAAATCGAACGTTCGATTTCTCGCCAAGTTTAGCGCATTATATTGAATAGGAGATGGTTCTCCTTTTTCATGCCACATATGTTCATATTCAAGTTTATGGCAGTGTGCATAAAATCCTGTATTTGGTAATATCGTATATCGAATCGTAAACATGTCCATAATTCTCTTTGCATAGCCAGCAAGACCCTTTATCTATTTCGCTTCGCCTCATCCACCGGGTCGAGACTCTTCTGCCTCTGTCTAGAGTTCCAATTCAGTGTCTTGGATATAGTGTGCACCCAATCGTCTCCACGTCGACCCCGGGGTAGAACATTCGCGAATGGATATCGCGATGCGGAAACTGTCACATAATCGCCAGGGTGTAATTCAATCCTGGGTCCAGATTAGCCATAACCACATAGATATACACACACATCGTCAGCGTAACTCACCTCTCCCGGCCATCAAAGCTGGCCCATGAGCTCGCCCGAGCATCGTAAGGTACTCCCATACGGAGAACAATTGTATCTGGTAGGATTATAGGCCGGAAGGAGAGCGTATGAGCGCAGATTGCAGTGACGAGAATGACAGGGTTATCTGGGTGAGATAGTGACCCTCCAGCCGCGAGGTTATACGCTGTCGAGCCTGTTGGTGTCGCTATACAGACACCATCGGCAAGCAGTGTTGTGAAATGTTCATCGTCGCCAAACAATTCGATCGAGGACATGGCTATACAAGCAATTAGCAAGCATCTCCATGCGATAAGGTGGAAACGAGGACATACTAGGATTCGGCCCTCTATCAAGAACAACATCATTCAATATCTGAAGCACCTTATCCGGTCTATGCGTTAACGTATCATCACCTTCTTCCCCTATCAACTCCTCAACCAAGTCCCGTTTCCCACCAGGGGCCGATGAGCCCTTGGGCAACGGATTGCTCCTCATAATGGTGCACTCAAACCGTAACCGTAGATTGACGACCACGCCATCCTTAAACGCAGCCGACAGCGTCTTCTGGTATTCATTGAAGTCAAACTTGGTCAAGAAGCCCAACGATCCAAGCGAGAACGACAACACCGGCGGCACCACATGCTGGAACAGCCAACTCGTAAACAGAACAGTGCCGTCCCCTCCAAGCGTAACCACGAAATCAAACAAATGAGCCCTCTCCGCCGCCAGCTCATGATCCCAGTACTTCAGTCGACTTTTCGCCGACGGCTCCTCCCTCAATATCTCTGCTGCACCGAACTCCGGATCCGTCTCCAGCCGTTTCTCCACATACACATTATATTGCGTATCACGATCCCTCGACAAAAGCCACCTGGCAACCTCCCTCGTCGACCCGATCACCGACTGGTCGCCCGCCTTGGTAACCAGAAACACCGTCTTGACCGTGAGTTTCAACTTGATACTGTCCAGCTTCTTGGACAGTTTGCGCACGTTCCACGCCATATCGGATAGCTGCTTCTTCGTCAGGTGTCGCGACTGCATCATTTCCTTTTCCATCTCATCTTCGTCGTCCCCAAGCGCTTCTTCTTCTCCATCTTCTTCGTGAAGCTTGGTCCCCTTCAATACCCCCTCTAACACCTTCACTTTGCTCGTCGGGTCGCCCCATTCCCCTGCTATCAAAGAGTGCACGAAACACGCCGTCGTCTGGTCGGCATGCGAGAGATTAGGTCTCGTCATGGGATCGTCCACCATGACGAGGGAGGATTTGCGTCGATGGCTGCATTCAGGTTGGAGGACGACCTAGCAGAATATACGAGGGCTTGGGTTAGCTAGTCACTCGTTCACTGCGAGACTTCAGAAATCATACCTCGAGCTGGTTATGTGTATCTGAAGAATAACCGTCCGTTTCGCCGCGACTCTTTTGACTATGTCAGCTTCGTTCGGCGTTGGTTATCTTATGGATGGAATTTGCTCGACAACCTACGTGACCGTCGCGGTGTGACGCTGGCTCCTCCTCTCCAGTCATGGTGCGTGTGCGTGTATGTATGTTTGGGCAGGGATTGTATGTGCTCTCAGATAGTTTGATTCACACGGATCGTGATGATACTATTGCGTGGTCGTCATTGTAAAGGTTGGTGTGGGTTGATGAGAGGTCGCAAACGGTGAAAGAAAGGCGGCGGGTATGACGTCGTTGCCGGTTTGGCGGTCATGGTGCATGAATTCGGAGTTGATGTGTATGGAGCTGGTATAGGTGTTTGAGGTGTTGAAATCCGGTGATGAGGCTATTAACGAGGCATTCGCATGAAGTTTGGGATTTAACAGGGCTTATTGCGATGGTTTGGTGGTGATTGCTCGTGTGGTTTATTGCCTGTGATCATCCTGCCACAATAGATATATATTTTTGGGAGTTGTGACGGGCTAGGATATACCCAACATCATCTGCCCATTCCACATGACAACGTAAATGGCATTGAGTCCTCAGATCTCATACCAGTAGTAATAATCTGTATAACTACATTCTCTAGATCATAATGCAATACACAAGCAAATACTAATGATCTCAATATTCCACAGAAACATGTCTTCTGCTCAATTCAAGTAGTATACAGCCGAAACATACTAATCGAACATGTCCCACCAACAACCAAACACCAAACACCAAACTTCATAGTAAGAAAAAATAAAATAGTTATACAGTGATACAAACATCCCACGCGCTACGCAATAAACAAAGGTTCAACCTCAGTTATCGACAACAATTCAATTCCCGATGATAAGCGAACTCAACGCGCGTTACACAGATCGACCCCATGCATCACCATATGCACAACCATGACTACTCCTAGATATCACCATGTACCCAACACAGCATTCATGTTCCACATGTACCAAGTGAGGCAAGCTAGCTGAGCAGCTAGGGGAGATCCGATCAGCTCGGAGAGTTGCCTTCAATGTTTTCTAGAAGGTCTATGAAATCAATAGTTTCGTTCGGTGATATAATTAGAAATCTGGACCGGCAGAGGAAACGTAGCACCGATACTCCATAAGTAGACTACTCCGTAGATAGGCATCAATCAGTTCGGGGAGTTTCGCATATAGTCCCAGTTCATTGCGGGACGGACGCGAATGTCTAAAAGTGGCTCTTTGCTTCGCAAAGTAGACTACTGTAAGCTCGATGAGTGCAGAATGACAAGTATAGACATTTGGATCCTTATGGGGGTTGTGAAGACTGTTTACGAGGAGTGACACGTCCAAAGTATTGACAAGTACGGAGTAAACGAGGGGAGTTGTAGGTCTAGTTTCACTGCAAGTGGATGATGATACAGGATTGTCAATGAGAAGGAACAGTCAAGATGTCATGAGGCAGCAAAGTGGGAAGGAGGATGCATGCGTGGCACATGAGACAAGCGGACAACAGACTTTCTTAGCTGGCTTTGGGAAGTGGTTATTTTTTTCTCTTTGGGGCGCAATAAAAATACAAGACAGTGGGACACAGTAACTAACTGAATCCAGTAGTCATCGGGGTTAGGTTCAATAACTCATAATCCACGCCCCGAGGCCAGTTCGATCTAGGCGCGTTAGCAGCGGGCCATAGCCATGGTCACTCAAGAGTCACAACAATCCCAAGTCGCCGAGGCTAAATTAGGGAGCAATAAAGTGAGGTGATCAGCCCTTGGAACAACCGGCACACACAACAACAACGTGCCATGTTTGCCAGCCACCGAATAATCCGGGCTCCACTGCCCTATATGTAATAATAATAATAACAACAACCACCACATAACACCAGCAACAACAAACCGCCCGACAATCCCGCGGATCCCGTTTCTGCCCCTCTTCATGTATTTACGGTTTGCGAGGATTTAATGAATTGGATGGGGATGGACATTGCTAATCGATAGGCACACACACACCGTCACGGCGATGACTTGCCGTGTTCCAAAACTTGTTTTGCACATCCTCCCGAACTTTGCACACGGTCACAGTACGTGTAGATTACGGCAAGGGAACTTTTGTCTTTTCGTCTTCATTTCATCCTTATCCAGACCAGACGTCGATGAGAAGTCCAGCCTTGAGCCACAGACGCCGAAGGATACCCCGGATGATGCAAGAGACAATCAGAGAAAACTTCCACTGCCGAGAGAAGGTATCGACTATTGGGGCGGGACGAATAGTCAGCCATGTGGCTTTCCGAGCTCCAGTCATGGCCGGAACTCATATTGTCGTCCATACATCATCAATCATTGCAGGCCCAGGTCTCCATCAAGTGGAAGGGAACCATACTTTCTCGGTCCTTGAGTAGACAGTTAGTCCGCTAACCATTTCCCTACTCGGCCGAGCATGGAAATCCGCCTACGTAAAAGGTTAATCAAGAAACCGGAGAATAACTAATAACCAAGGCCGCTTTAGTCCGAGAAAATCTTTTTAGGAGACTTGAACAATTTGCGGGCGGCCTCAACGCATGCCTCCATTGGGAATGGAGGGATTATCGCCAACAGTTTACCTTTTTCGAGGGGAGGGTCAATCTGCATACCGCCACAACACTCATCCAGCTGGCTTTGACTTATTCCGTAAGGCCATGATGATACCAAGCCCCCGAGAAGGAAAGGATTATTCTTTCTTTAACAGATCCATAGTCAGGTAGCGTCTGTTTGACAGAATCCTGGACGCGTTATTTGCTCGAGAGAATTGAACTAGATTGACCCACCAACGGTCAGACATCGCTCGACAATACTTCATTGGTAGTAGCGATGCTGGTGGATTGTGGCAATACCCGCTGTTTGCCGATTAGCATCATGCAAAGGAGGCCACTAAGGTGCGAGGGGGAAGGGGGAAATCCGGATGAGGAGCGTGATGAGCGGATAGACAGCACAAGTAAGAATTAAATTGAAAAGGGAAGAGGAAAATTTGAGAGACCAGCTAATTTCCTTTCGTTCGGGGCAAATTTGGCTGCGGCAAATCGGGTACCTACCCCACTTATGGATCTGCCGTGAGTCCGTGACAAGTGCAGCAGCAACCAGCAACCAGCAACAAGTCGGGAATCTCAGCCACCGCCGATGAATAATCCCTAATATTGGGAAATCCTGGGAACTTAATGAACGGAGAAAGGTCGCTGTCTCGCGCTGACTGGTTTGCCAGTTCCAGTAATCCCCCATCAGTGGACCGCTGACTATCATTGACCGCAACTGGGTCACGGTGCAGTCGGGCCTGGTGCGATTTACCGCCGATCTTCTAATAGTGAGTCTGTCAGCCGGGTTATCTTTGCTGGTCAGCCCCTCTTAAGTAGTATGGAGTATCGGGTGTAGTATTAGTAGTAGTAGTTCTTTGCTTCGCTTCGCGTTGGAATGGGGATTGGGTCAGTGTTTCAGTTAATAGCATTATCCTGTTTGGTGGGTTTCCCTCCAGCACACCGCGGTGATGGTGGAGGTGGAGGAGAGTGCATCGCTGCCTGGATCTGATTGCCAGGGGTAGTGAAACGACCCAAGGCGCTTTCGTATCCCTAGACCACATCAGGCATCGTGCCCTTTGCATCTGCGGAGACCCTTTCGAGGGGCAACAATGATGGAAAGGTGATGCTGGTCCGGCGCACAGTACTATTATGTACAAGCCCCTCTCGTAGCGTCATAGGCTGAAGCAGCCGCCGGAAAGCCTTGCTACTAAAGTAGGCGATATGTGATGAGCGCAGCGCTATCATTTCGGCAGACTCACTGGTGCAAGGACGGTCATGTGGTTCCATTGCCTTTTTTTTTATTTTTTATTTTTTATTTTTTCCTTTGCGAGATGCAAGTCCGCCTCTTCGCAGAATCCATTCAATTCCCTGCCTGCATCCAAAATGCATGCCTGACACCGTCACATCTGGCCTTGCGGTGGTGGCCTGACGGCTATACCTGATTCGGGCGGTATGGTATGGTAAGCATCGGCCTCTCCCACCCCTCCTCCTCCTCACTTGCCCACTTTCATACACTAAGACTATGTACTACTGCTGCTCCTATGCTCTGGGTAGAATGTAACCGTCAGGCTGACGACGGACTTCAACCAATACTAGTGGCATGAGGCATTGAATCCAAACCTGTTGTAGTGTGTAGTAATCATAGCGTTCCAGACCCCAGTCCACTTTATACTACATCCAGGATTCTTGCCTCTTCCTTACTGGTTGGCTGACACGTAGGACAAACCTAAGCACAGGCCACATTCTGTGTGATACCTCCCCCCTCCCTTCAGATCTGAACGATGCAAGAATCCAGAATGCTGCAGTATCTGCCGAAATATGTGGTGGCAGCTGAAGATACATACGTACAGTAGGTGCCTACCTCGCATCGGCATTGCCAGCACGTCTGCCTACAGCAGATTATGCATGGTCCTCCATGTTTTACGACGAGATCTGGTTTGTTGTGTAACTCGCCGCTGCCCAGCCATACTCCACCTTATCACTCATACTATTGTTGTCTGCTGCATTTGGAGACGAAAGATTGAGCCCAAACATGCCCCATCATTGGCCGGATTGACAGCGCCCTATTTTGGTTCCCATGCATGCATGCATGGACCTACTGGCGGTATATGTATGTACGCCATTTTGACTCATGGCCACCTGCAGATGCCTCCCGTAGGAGCCTTGATTAGTTGTAGATAGATTAGTGAGTAGGGGAAAAGACTCGCGGCTGACGGCCCGCGGAATGGTATTCGCAGGATTGAAAGCAGCCTGGAAAACGTCTTGTCTAGAAAAAAAAAACTCCAGAACATCAAGGCTCATACTCCGTACTCCGCCTCGACTGCTTAGGTCTCGGACTGCTCCGTATTATGTCGCAACTTGCGTGTCGTTTCCGGTCGTCAAATGGCAGATGCAGCTTACATATGACCCACTTGGGTGGTGGTTTTGGGCCTTCTCGTCCAGGCTCCTCTCTACCTACGTAAGTAACTATGTAGGAGGGTTTCCGACTCTGCCGCGCGATCTGCTTGCGAGCTCAGACATAATAGTGGCGTCGGTGAGGGCACGCGGTCAATCACCGTCTGCTAGTAACTCTATCGTCGACGTTGATTGATGCCCGCGGAGACGAAAAGCTTTGCGAGACCCGTATCAACAACTGTGCCAGGGTGGGTTATGTGGTCGGCCAGGACAATCAGGACAAATCACACAGTCCAGGTGACGGCGGTATCTGGAATGCCGTGTCACATCCACCCTGCGCCGATGGCTTGATTTCACGGTCGGTTGCAGCCTGGCGCTCCAGCTCCAGCTCCAGTTCTAAAGTGGGCGAAGTAAGGTGCTAGTTACTGTTGGCAAGATCGCATCAGGAAGCATGGCTAGATGACGATTGTATGAAGGAGGCTTGGAGCCCCTGATAGCACAGCAGCGCATGTAAGCACTTTCGACGGCGACCAATGACGGTCAGGCGCTGCTGCTATGCTAGAAGATGCTAGTATCCAAGCCGGAGAGAGAGAGAGAGAGAGTCGGCTTTTTCCTTTCCTACGGCGGTATAACACAATTTTAGTTATCTAGGGGCTGGTGAATCAATGACATGCCACTAGAATAAGCCAAAATTTAAATTAGCGTCCAATGTTTTCCATTGTTGAGAAAGACCACTTTGAACGCTCGGGCCTAACCATGGTCTGATGACACGTTAATCCTCAGGCCGTACTCCGTAGTTAGTGACTTAGTGAGCGAAGGCGGCGAGAGCAGGATGAGAACAGCCGAGAGAGTGAGACGAATCCTGACATGCTAGCGAGGAGTGGCTTCGGAAAAAGAAAGCTAAGATTTGAAGGCGCGTTGCGAGTTGATCACTGGCTTGGAACTAATCAAGTAGTTGGTTGATCGCTACTCCGTTCTTGGATGACTTTCTCCGAAGCAAACTAACTAAACTAAGTGCTGCTTACTTTGGGCCTGTCTCGGACGGCGACCGCCATTTCGCTTACTTGGTTGCTGGAACGAGCGGCATACATTCAGCTAGGCGTCTGAATTTCTGATGGGGAAGCTAGGGTGCTATGCAGGCGCGACCATGGCCCCTGACGGATGGGCCCCATTGTCTATCATTATTACTGTGTATTATTATTATCATTATTATTATTTAGTCCATGTTCGTCCCATCGTAATCACGTTTAGCCCAAACCATCACTTTCTCCGCAGTCATCCGTCGTTTTCACTAAATTGTGGACGTTGCTTTTTGCTTTCTCTTGGCCCCATCACTCACACTGCAGGAAAGGCAAGGGGCCAAGAAAACACCACAATTAAAGAAGTCCAGCTAGTCTACTAAATAGATACATTAATACCCATAAAGCAGCCAACCTAAACCTTGCAAGTGGCTTAGGACGGTAAGACCGGCGCGTTGGGGGATTGTGTCCTACTAAGAGGTTTTACTTTTAGTCCTGATATCACGAGCCGAAGCCCTTGACTCATGTTGTAGTATCACTCCTAACGCCTTTCGTAACTGATCCGTGGCGCCATAATGATAGCGTGTGAACAGAGACACCTTATATTGAGTTCTAACTTTCTGATCTCCCAGGGATGCGCGGGTCCCGCCGGGAGGGCGCATCGCTTCGTGATCGTTTAGCCTTTCGCTCAATTATTAGCTAATGACATGTTAGCCGAACCTTGCTACCTGTTAGATACCATATCGGTGGCAGCAGAGGGCACGAGCTGTCGAGTCTATCCGATTGTTGAAAATCACCCCTGAGATAGTCTGCCTGAGAGGAATGGTGGCTGATGTTCATCCCTGCACCCTTGTATACTAGGAGGTGGACAAGTCCGAAAGTCAAGGCGTCGAGCACATCACGCACGCAGGATGTACAGTAAGTTAGGCAGGCACTCGGTGTTGTGTAGTCCTTACGGCGTATCCCCGTGAGGGATCATCATCACCACCCCTGGCAAGGTAATCCAGCATACCCCAAATGAGTGATCCATTCTCAGCCAGTATAGTATAGTATAGTATATAGTATAGTAGTATACTGTTGAAGCGTCGTTGGCTGTAACCTATCAGATCAGCAATAACGGGGTTTTATTGGCTGTCGAAAAGCGCCGTTTGCGAGCCTCGGCTGGTTGGACGGCGTGTAGAGCACCACTTAGAGCAGACGACCGGCAGGTAACGAACAGATCCTGGACCTCGCAAGCTACTAGACTAAAGCTAGGCTGAGTGGTTACCGTAGTACCATACAAAGCTAGCTGGTAGCTTACCTGACCTTCCTGCTCCCTGATAGGATCCCTGTTCAGCACAGTTTGACTCCGTATTCCCGTAGAAACGGAGATATGGGAGTCTGACCCACTTGGTCTGGGAACATCTTTTATTTTTTTCTTTTTCCTCCTGTTTTCTTTTTATTTTTTTTTTCTCTCCTTCCCTTTCCTTTTTTGATATATTGAATGATTGGAAAAAAATTTTTTTTTTTCCCGCCCCCTCCCTTTCCATTTTTGCCTCCCGTTTCCATTCATTGCATAACCCAATTGAGGGCTGATTTGGCCCCCAGGCCTTCTGGAATTTTGTTCGACTGGCCTCCATCTTACGGTTTCCAGTTTCCCAAGTCCCCTGCCGTCAGGTGGGCCTGCACATGCATTCCGATGCTTCCCCTCCTGTAATCTCCGGCTTCTGATTTGTAGGGCGAGCAGACGATGATCTCAACCATCTGATTAGTCGCTTTTTCGAAGATGTATCTTGATTAGTGGTGATTGTACCCGCTTAAGGCGTCGCACGGAGGTTTTTTTCTCGAGTTCGTTACCCTTTCGATCTGGCCTGCCACGCATCTGGCGCGGTTCTAGCACAATGGAAGGCTATCCGCCTCCCCGAACAGCCGGGTTCTGAACAGGGACAAGCATTCGCTGTTGTTTTCCCATAATATGTTATGTTGTGTCATTTTATTTGATTTTTTGTTGATACTCTTGCCAATCCTCCTCGAATGAATGCCCCGTTAGCAAACCTCATTTGAGGGCGTCAGAGGGATTAGAACGGCGTGACGGATGCAGTGCCACAAATCCCGATCGTCAGGCTGTCGTATATGTAAAGTGAGCCCCGGTGGCCGGAGCACGGTGGCCACATTATTGCTCTTACGGGGAGAACGTTAGTTGGATACATCCATACAGTAGTTACTTTACTTCATCCAGATTGGGTCCCTTTCTGGCTTCCTCTTTAGTGTTTCTTTTTTCTTGTTCTCTTGCGCCCCCCCTTCTTTGGCCCTATGCAGGTTTAGGCACATTCGGCTTTTCTCAGGACCAATTTCAAGGCGGCCGAGGAGACAAGAAGGAGGAGGGGCGCATGTAACTCTGACCCAAAGACGCACTAACAGTGACTCGGGCTCAGCCTTCAGGTACTTACTTAGGCTTCTCGAGGGGGCCACGGGGACTAACCGGAGTGGGTAGGGCTCTGCTTTTAGTCGGTCTTGCTCCGGTAGTATCCCTGGTTCTGGAAATGGTCCCCATGTCAATGGAATAATCCTCCGCCCCGGCTTCCTTTGTCGATTACATATGATGGGGGGCATTAGCGCTCCAGGCGGAACCCATCTGCTGTACGATGTACCTCTCTTCCTGGTGCAGCTGGACTCGTCAAAAATGCATTTATTGGCACCAGCCCACTCCATCCCAGATAAGCTAGACAGCCAGCCTGACCTGTGGAGTCTCTTGATACCGAGCGGTGTTTCCCTCTCTCTCTCTCACTGCCTCTTGCGACTTGCGTGTTGTAGTAGCAAAGTAGGAGTGCACACCCCACTCTTCTCCGGCCTTGAGCAAATTCTGTTTCTGAGTGCTCCGTACTCTCCGTATAACGCCCCTCCCTCCGATCCCTGAACCCAGTCCAAGTGTTGTCATTTCTAGCCGAACTTTCCGTTTCCTATCCCCTCTTGGCCCCCCCACTACACCGAGAGGTGGTCCGTACGGCAAAGTAGGCTTCCACTGTTCAGCCACCCAGCCAGCTGATCTAATCCGGCTCGTCACACGTATGGTTATGAAACATGTGATCCACAACGAAATAGATTGACCAGCAACAGGAAATTGATAAGCAAGAATAACGATCGGGATTCGGAACATACAGTTACTTGATCGTTGTACTATGGTTGGAGAAGTCTATAACCTGTCCTGGTGCCAAGGTGAAGAGGCAATCTTGGCCTCTTGTGCACGCATGAAGTATGGAGTAGCACGGCGGTTTGACCAATGAGTTGCTCATAGCAATCAATGATCATCAGCTCGAGACCAGAGGTTCACCGAGTCAGGCCTGGTGGGTTAGTCCATATTAGTTCTGGGCTAGTAATCTATCAGTGATAACGGTGATACCTCCCACCCCAACGCGGTTGGACAGCAATAGAAGCACAAGCACCCAAGGATTTANAAAGGATGGTCGGCGGGATGATGGGATGTGCGCCCGGGGATGCCGAAGGACGAGGATGACGATGACAAGGAATGGGACGGAAGGCAGCTTCTTCGACCATCCGCATGCTCCTTTCTGGCCCTTGTCGCGATCTATCGCCAGGCTGGAAGAGGATGCGATACGACGGCTACCGAATTAGAGTGTTGCTTGCTATGTGGATGGATGGTTGGATGGATGAATGTAAGTTATGTGCCTAGCTGCTGAGGTCGCCGGGTAGAGAACAGGCCCAGACCTGCTTCCGATGTACAGTAGATACGTACTCCGGACAGGGGAAGCAAGTCTGCCCGCCCTTGGAAACTTTCCGCATTATTGTAACCCTTGCGTAACGGGCGTTGTGACGCGTTGGAAACGGTGAACTTGTGGGGACAAGACTGGGCTTGAAGGGGTTACTTAACGAGGGAGGAGACGAAGGAGGAGTGGGTGGGGAAGGGGGAGAAGAGGAGCAGAGGAGGAGGAGGAGGAGGGGGGCAAATGGTGCCTAGTTAGTAGGTGACTATGTAATACGGATAAGGAAGAATCATCCTTTAGTTAGAAACAGAAACAGAAACAGAACAGATGGAATGGAACGGAAAGAGACTTGGGAGAGAGTGTTTGGCCGCAGGGTTGACGATCGGGTCGGATCGTGGGTCATTTGCCAGGCCAATATTACCGCTTCACCGCGGGCATTCCCATCATGACTAAGACCGTCGAAGGGAGTTGCGAGTGTATTACGATTTGGGTCCGGCCATCCATCCATCCATGCATGTATGTATGGAGGGGGGAAGACTGGTTGCACAGAGTCCTCTTTTGCCTACTACATAAATTACCTGCCTATTAGAGAGATACATAGTTACCCCTGGTACAGCGTGACTAATAGATCGCAAAATTCTCCCAGGCACCGCACGAAGGGCCATGGCACGGCTGCGTCATCGAGAAGGGGAGAGAGGGGAATTAATCTAAACACACCGGCAGTAGTTTAGTGCTACCTTTTTCTTGCTTTTGATGGGGCGGCGCTCTGTGAAGTATCATACAATCATACAGTGTAGTACCTCAAGTCTCAGCAGACCGACTTGACTACTAAGTAAGCACCAAGTCGCACTTAAGTCATGAATGTAACTGATCACCATACCTGTCTGTCGCATGTATAACCCAGAAAGGCACCCGAGCACTACTATAACTACTGCATTATTACCGAAATAGCACGTACTCCGTGGTATCTATCCGACAGGGAGGACAGGGAAATCAATCAGAATGCAGCCAGCGGGTGGGCACCTTGGCTGGTATGGTATGGTAAGAAGAAGAAAAGGATGCAGGAAGACGCAGTAACTCCCAAAAAAGTTCCCAGTTTAGCCCCAGACTTCCCATGGGGCTCTCACACGGGCCTTACTACTGTGCGTCGTATCTAGTGGAAAGTTTAGTTTAGTTTACTTTTAGTTTAGTTTCGGCATGTCCCAGGCAAAAGTCAAGGTCAAGTCAGTCACTCAGTCAAGTCAAGCCAGTCGTCACTCACTACTCATTTCGGCTTGGAAAGAGAAGAGACGGAGGGGGCATGAGAGGGCCCGGCCATTTTCTGGTTCCTTCTTTAAGTTCCATCCATGATCTTTGCTGCCTTTCCCTGGACTGGAGCTCCGATTTCAGTTTCCCATCCAATCACTTGCCGCCCTGCCGCATCTCCCTCGTTTTCCTCTTGACCCTCTGTTCCATACTTTTCCCCTCCCGGTGGACTGCAAGTCCATCAAATTCTTTTGCCAATGGGTCTGATCATCCCAACCATCGACATTATTATCCATTCCCCCATCGTCACCCGCCGTTAGCCACTAAACCAGCCCCAATCCCATGGGCCCAGGGCAGTCCAGAAGTCTTTTGCCAGCACAGTGTCAGAGCCAGGAATTGATTGCCCGCTTCGCAGGTCCCAGAGAGAGTCCTTTCGGAGTGGAGACAGCATTCGTGTGGCATGGGCTCATCTGAATCATCTTCATCATCATCAACCAACCTTCCTTGGGTCGGTCCCCTTCCTTCCTTTCCAATTCCTCCCCTTCCTGGTACCTAGACTAGACTCAGTCCTCCTAGTCTGAGCCCCCTCTTCTGCTCCTCCTGTCCCATCGTCCCATGTCTTGCCCTGTTCGGTTCCCACCAACTAGTCTGCTTTCGTTAGTGTCAACGTCGTGTCATCCCAACATGTGCCCGCTCCCACTAACCCATTAGTCTTCTTACTTACAGTAATGGATCGTGGAACTGGGGCGGATGGTAGATCAAGAAATGCCCATGTACATGCGTCCCACATCTCCGTGTATCACCCTCCTGTAGGGCCTTCCTTTTTCTTATTTTATTTTTTTCTTCCCCATCTACTATTAATTTATTAATATTATTTTTTGTTTTTTTAATTTCATCTCCCCTTTTTTCTATTAGCCTTTCTTTACTTTTTTAGACTCGCTCCTACTTTACTCTTTACCGCATAATCTACTACTCATCCCGAACCATCTGGGTCCATTACTCGACTAGGCACTGGGCTTGCTACTTACTTAGTACCGCACGCACTTACTGTACCTTGCCTCCACGCCTTGTGACCCTCACGCCCCCCTGTGTCATCTTTAGATGATAAGTCTCGAACCCCAGTCTTCGGAGATCCTTTACATATTCCTGCAGTCATCATCCACGGATCCTATCCGTGCTTGATACTCCATATAATCTAACCACCGCCCTATCCCACCGTTTCGTCTCACCCTACTATTACTATGTATGCTTATATCGCACACCTCCCTCCTCATACTTTCAATTGACCACCCACCTCCTCTCAGTCCTATCTTTCATACCAAAGCCTTTTCTCTCTCAACATCTTACTACCTTCTCAATGGCCGACTACTGGCAACCCCAGTCGTCCTTTGCGAACCCTAACTGGGTTCAAGGCAACCAGTCTTGCTGGCGCTCCTCGACATTTCGTGACTTGATTCATGCTTTCCCTAAACCCAAGCGGACGGGTCGAGTGATGAAACCCCGCAGCGCTGGGAATAGTCCTTCGTCTGCCGGCAGACGGCGCACAGCAACCATCCCTTACAGTTCGCCCATGTACCAAGGCTACCAGGCTCCCGTCAACACTGCCTTTGTGGCCTCTGCACTTGCCCGAACTGGCCAAAACCGTCCCACAAGTTGGCATCCGGCTTTGGAGCCTGTTAGCTATCCAACTGCCCAGTATGTGCCAGCTACCACGGCGTTGGATAACCTTGCCGCCATTGGCGTGTGCCCTCAGCCACTGCCCACTGCTCCTGCCACCTTCGACAACTCTTCCATGTTGCCGTCCTACACCCCGGCAGATATGCCATGCTCGGATCTGGGGTTCCCTCCCCTCCCCGACGCACAGCATCAGATGTCGCTTCAACAGTCTACCTTGCTCCAGCTGAACGACTCGCAGGCTGAGCCTGTCTCTTGGGACGCCAATGCGTCTACCTTGTCAATGGCAGAACCTATGTCTGACTGCTACTCCTTCGACATGTCATCTATGCACAACAACATTCCTCCAGTCTACGTCGCAGGTTCGAGTTACGAGAGTGTACCGTCCTCGGGCTGCTTGACTGGGCCTCCTACGCCCGACTTTCTACCTATTCAGCGGCCTGACGACGACCTGCATTCGCAGGTAGAGCCCTTGCCAGAGAAGCAGCATGAGGACGAGCTTGTTGGAATGGGTCTTTACAGCAACCCGGAGGCTTCGTTGGGAAACTCGCTCTTAGGGCTTTCTGGCAAGGGACTTAAGTTGGAGGAGACTTTCACCCCGTCTTCCGACAATGAAGCCGAAGACCAGGAGGATGATGAGGAGGACCAGGACGATGACGACGACGATGATGACGAACAAAATCAGGAGAGCCCCGTCAACAGCAAGGGCACTGACTTAAACCCTAAGCAGTCGGAAGCTGGGACTTTTCAACAACCGATCAAAGCACCTGGAAACATGATGCAAAGATCCTTTTTCTTTGATGACGACGACCTCGAGCAGCATGCCGTGGTCGATTCCCAGCCATTCATTAACATGGCCAGCCAACCCTGTATGAATTATGGATATGGATGGATTTGATTCCGACACTGTCGCGTTTACTGCCTCTGATTATTGCTCTTTTCGGTTTTCGGGCTACAGCATTGCATAGCGTGGAGTTATTGTTTTCGGGAGGCGTTTCATTTAGCATACAGTACAGGATACCCAGGGAGGATTGGTCGAACTTGAAATGCATGTATTAGACCAGTGAATGTAACAACTACAAGACTATCTTGATAAACACACATTGCACCAAGCATGAACAAACTGCGTAGCCCACACAGTAGAGAGTACAAAGTTGTAAGGTAGTTTCAAAGAACGAATCAACGCAGCCGAACCGATAAGGAGTCGCATCGGCGGGAACAACCTTATTCCGGGCAAACAAAATCACTGTCGACGAAGATGTACAGTCTGGCCCCGGCCAGTGCAGGGAGGCGAAATCATCGCAGTTGATATTGCTAACCCGATTAAAACAAAATGGCGAAGGTCATTTTTACACCATGGAAGGAGCACTCGCAATTACTCGCGGTGCGGAGTCAATTCTACCCTGCACCGTTTTATGATGGGCCCGACATGCGCTCCAAGGCCTGCGCCACTGTATGCGAAAAGGCACCCTGAAATAATATAGCTATCTTTACTTGACCCTAACATGATTTACAGGTCGCGGCTTGGAAGCTACGAGGGAATCTGCCACATCCAGTCGAGGCCACGGCCTTGCTAACGGATGCTATCCTTCATGATGATGCCCTGAAAAATTCCATCTTCTCCATTCGGGCTACATACTCGGCTGCGTTCTGTCGGTATGACTATCTGCTTTGATTCATCGATTACATGATTACGCAACAAGTGTAACGATCACTAACGCCAATTAGATTCGTGACGGGGCTCGTCGACTCCAAGCTGAACGGGCAGCGTAAAACCATGTTCCAACGAGCCATTGATCTGGGCCTACCGGCCTCATTTGTGGAACTGCGTCACGAGGCGACGCATCGTGAACTGCCTTCTCTAACAGTGCTGCGCAATGCCACGCAGCGGTCCCTTGAGTGGCTGTGGGACTACTACTGGGCCAAGACTGATCTGAGTGCTGATATGGTGCCCGTGTCAGAACCTGAGGCATTTGACGGTGCTGAAGATGACGTCGAGCCCATCAAGGCGGCTTTAAGAACTGAATTCGAGCACTTACTGGCTGAAGAAGATTCGTCAGAACCGCCGCGGAAGAAGAGGAGGTTCCAGCAGAACGTCTCGTCTACGTCTACGCATTTGGTCTCGATATGCAAGTCTTCCAGTCGTGGGGCGTCTGCGCTAGCAGGCGTGATCGTGGAGGACTCGGTGTTGGTTCCTGCTGGACGGAAGTGAGTTTTCTTGATATTCTGATCGTGTATGAACATCTATAAGCTGACTTGGTACAGGATGGGTGATTCCATGACGGGCATGTTCGCTAAGTGGGATTCATTATTGCAGATGCTCGCGGAGGGCCATCCCCCGGTCCTGGCATCGCTGACGGAGGAGATGGTGAATGTACTGGCCTTTTCGGGCTCAAAGAACGTGAAAAGCGACCCTCAGCTCGAAGGATTATACATGTGGCTGGACCATATACTTCAATCGCCGGAATGGGGGTCTCGAAGACGACTACTGTCCCACGCATATCTTCTTGCCGTTTGCGAGCAGAGTTCCAACCACTGGACGACGCTTCTTAAGGAAAGCTTACAGCAGAGGGCGGACGATTTAGCACCTAGCAAGCAGTCGTCCACGTCAAAGAAGCAGTCGAAGAAGGACGGATCTGGTCTCAAGCGGACTGCAGATGCCGACGATTTGAAAGAGTTGAAGAAATTCGGATGGGAGACGGTAGATACGTGGGATACGCGACCGTTAGGGATAGTATAGACAGCGGATACGATTTCAACCAAAACCATGCTGTGCAACGGCTCGAATGCCCAGCGTAAAGCAACTCCTGTTCACTCCCAACAAAACCCCAGTAGCATCTAACAATCTCTTGAAGGACAAGGGGAAAATGTCACGACCGAAAGCAGCCTAGCGTCTACGCCACATGTGGCTGAGCCTCCGCGGAACGAGCCTATGAGGTAATCGCCAAAAGACTGCTTACACAGTTAGTAAGTATGGCGCAGGTGGCATAGCTTAGCTCTTAGCAATCAATGTTACCACCACCCCCGCATTCATTCCAAAAAGTTCAAGCACGAGCACTTTCGCTATTCCCTTATACTTATCCATGTGCCTCGCCAGAGCTGTCTGGTCTTCCGTGAGGTTTCAACCCGTGAGAGCGCAAGCGCAACAAATCAGAGCCATGCATGTACAGTCGATCCCGATGTGTAAGTAGTTCCATTAACTTAATGAATAAACATTTGAGACGTGCCCCCAAGGTACTTGCTTAACATTACTTCCTGGGATATCATTTGCTAACGAAATTGTCGTGCCAGGGACCGGAAAGGGCAATAATTATGCCTACCTGGTCACGGATGAACCGACTAAGGAGTCTGTTATTATTGACCCGGCTAATCCGCCTGAGTATGTTATTGTTTGCTAGTTCGTCAAGAGATGGCTTGCAAAGATAAGTTGTGCTAAGATTTTCCAGGGTGGCCCCGACGCTGAAATCTCAGATCGACGCCGGGAAGATCAAGCTTACATCTATTGTGAACACTCATCAGTATGTGTTTTTCATAGTATTTATGCCGATGCTAACTATGCCAGTCACTGGGATCACGCCGGTGGTAATAATGAAATTGTAAGTTACACGATATACAATGACATCTCTCGAAACTAACTGAAAAAAGCTGAAAACCTTTGGCCAACTTTCCGTCATTGGCGGCAAGAACTGCCAATCCGTCACCAAGACCCCGGCACACGGCGAAGTCTTCAAGATCGGAGAGCGCATCTCCGTCAAGGCGCTGCACACGCCCTGCCACACGCAGGACAGCATCTGCTACTTCATGCAGGATGGAGATGACAAGGTCGTCTTCACCGGTGATACTTTGTTTATCGGAGGTGAGCTTGGCTACTGCGTGAGCGCATTCGGGACCAGACTAATGGGCTACAGGATGTGGCCGGTTCTTCGAGGGCACGGCCCCTGAGATGCACAAGGCCTTGAACGAGACTCTGGCTGCGCTCCCAGATGATACTAAGGTTTACGTGAGTTGTTCGGTGTGACCCTTATTAGCATTTACTGATGCTTTGCAGCCTGGACATGAATACACCAAGGGCAACGTCAAGTTCTGCCTTGCCGTGTCCCAGTCCGAGCCCATCAAGAAACTAGAGGCATTCGCCAACGCGAACCAAGAAACCCAGGGCAAGTTCACGATTGGTGATGAGAAGGTTTGTTCTACCTCTTATGTTGTTGGCTTGAGACTGACAAGGTACAGCTTCATAACGTGTTCATGCGCGTCAACGTGAGTCTCCACCCCTTAATTTGGACGAGAGATCCAGCTAATATGTTACAGGACCCCGAGATCCAGAAGAAGACTGGCAAGACCGACCCAGTGGAGGTTATGGCAGCGCTGAGAGAGATGAAGAACAATATGTAACTTAGCCAATTTATGGACCATAGTACATTGCAGTAGCATAAGAATGAATATGAATCCACAAATCCGGAATACCCCAAACTTAGCTCAGAAGCTCGTAGTCAGCCATTGAGATAACAATGACATTCCTCGTATACATATAACCCATCACCAAAACGATCATCGTGACGTCAGATGCAACTTCAGATAAAAGTAGTATAGAAACCCATCCTCACCCTCAATGCCAACTACCAACCAAACTACTTCCCTAATATACCTCACTTCTCATATTCGTTTACGAAAAAAATGACCACCGAAACAACCGACGGCCTCCCCGGCACCGCCAAAACCACCAAAAGCCAAGTCCTCGAGGCCGGCGCCAGCGCCATCCAAGACTTCACGCCCGTGAAGCACATCTGCGCCCACCTGAACGCATTCCACGTCTACGCCTCAGACAAGACGCGCTGCGTGGAAGCAAACCACTACTGTTCTCACATCACAGAGGGTATACCCTCCCTCCCCCCTCCTTTCATCCCTAAACACATACATACTCACACACCCCGCCTCAACATTTATAGATCTACGACAATGCCTCCTCTATGACAGCACCGCGCCGAACGCGCGCCTGCTAGGCATCGAATACATGATCACGCCCAAACTCTTCGCGACACTACCCGCCGAAGAGAAGAAACTCTGGCACACGCATGTCTACGAAGTCAGCAGCGGGATGCTAATTATGCCAGCGCCGGCGACGGTTCCCAATGCCGTATGGGAAGCAGCCGAGACGGCGGAAATGAAGGATATTGTGCCGTTGTATGGCAAGACGTATCATTTCTGGCAGGTGGATCGGGGAGATCCGGTGCCAATGGGGGCGCCGGAGTTGATGGCGAGTTTCACGAGTGAGGAGAGGGTCAAGCTGGCTTGTCCGGGGGGATTGGGGGAGTTGGTGAAGGGGAGGGATGAGAGGTTTGGGACGGATTACAGGGCGAAGGCGGAGAAGAGGAGGGGGCTTGAGAAGGAGAGTGAAGGGAAGATGATTGAGGGTGAGTTTATCCCTTTCTATTTGTTTCTTTGTTGGGTTGGGTATGTGTGCTAATCGGTGTATAGGTGCGGATGGGATGTGGGAGGATTGAGCTAGGATCTTATGACATGATGTTGGCTACGTATGAAGATAATGATATCAAGGTAACAAGAAACTGCAATTGCATTGAACTATCAACAACTACGATTTGTAGGTATGGATGTGTCCCATCGGTACCACCCAGTTTTCCATTCCCATAATAAAATGGGGTCCAAGCCGGGCTATCGTTCAGGGAATCCCACCATCAAGTGATGAGATGTATATTCATCTTGCTTCACTGTCCACACTCACGCGCTCTGGTGTTTAATTTCGGCAGCGGTGAGCTCTAGCAATTTTAGAAGCGAATAATAGCAGAAACATAACGCAACAAAAAAACAACAGTAACAATAAATAGCAATGGGATAAGATAAATCCAATTAGCTGCATTAAGCAATCAGATCATCATCATTGTCATCATAGACATAGCATAATCAATCAATCGACCATATCGATCAATTGAAAGTTTGCCGTTGGCGTTGGCGTTGTATCGCTCACAAAAATATCTCAAGAAGAGAAAAAATTCCTCCCGCACAAAACCCTTTATATACCCTCTCTCCACCGACCCAGTCACATGACCTACCACCTCCGAAGCTCTCCGCCGTCATACCAAGCAAACCAAACTAGTTTCCATACAAATCGCAATAATAACCTAACAAACGAATTGAACGACTACCATGCCCCCCAACCCCATACCCCAATAACACCAATCACAAAGAAAAAACACAAGAATCTACAAAAATGGACCGCTTCCTCCGCTACACCCTAAAACGCAGCACCCCGGGCCATCTATTCCGCTTCGGCCTCAACAGCCTGGGAGTGTTCTGCGCATGCACACTAATCTGGGAACACCTGATCACTGTCCAACTGAGCGAAGGTCCATCAATGTACCCGACTTTCAGTCCGCGAGGCGACTACCTTCTCATATCGCGAGTGCACAAGCACGGCCGGGGGATTCAGGTCGGCGACGTGGTGCGGTTCTATCATCCGACGTTTTTGGGGGTGAATGGGGCGAAGAGGGTCATTGGGTTGCCGGGGGATTTTGTGTGTAGGGATTTGCCGTTTAGTAGGGAGGTTGGTGGGGAGGGGGAGATGATTAGGGTATGTTAACCTTCCTTTTTATTGCTTTCGATTTGAGGGTTGGGGTTGGGGTTAAGCTAATGTGGTCTGTGTTTGGTTGCAGGTTCCTGAAGGGCATGTCTATCTTGCTGGGGATAATTTGCCGTGGTCGAGGGATTCCAGGAATTATGGCCCTATACCGATGGCGCTTATAAATGGGAAGATTATCGCGCGGGTGTGGCCGTTGCATAAGTTTGAGTGGGTGAAGAATACGTTGGAGACGGCGGATTTGTCGGAGTGAATATTGTATCATATGTGCTTGATGGATAAAAGGTGGATAGATAGATACCCTTCAGGTATACGGCATGGGAGTCTGGAGTTGGTGGAATTTGTGCATATTCATACATCTTCTCTTGTACAATACAAATCTAAGGCCAAAAAAAGTTGAACAGAAGGAAAAAAGAGGCTGGTTTACCGGAACGTGGATGGGTTTCTTCTCTTGTAAGGAAGAGGCTCGACCCGCTTCCGACGGAGCTCCATGTTCGCCTCGGGGAAGCCAATCTGCTTCATCACCTCATACGTCGTTTCGTCCCATTGCGTGCGGAACAGGTGCGCGCCAATCGCCTTCAGGTGGTACCGGGCCTGCAGGGTGCGGGGCAGCAGGTTCTCGCGGTTCGTCTCCTTCGCCTTGACGGCAGCAAAGTCCAATGGCTTGGAGTCCTTCTGTTCGAGAATGAACAGAGACAGTCGGTGGTAGGGGCTTCCCTTCTGAGCTACAGGGGGCTCCCAGGGCAGGACAACCTGCGACTCAGCCGACAGCTGGGCCAGGTCGACCTTGGTGTTCGTGGCCGAGATGGGGACGTTGACAGCCAGGTAGTGCATCTTGAAATCGAATCCATCCTTCTCAACGTTGGGAACATCGGAGTCGACCACGGCGATGGTGACGAGCTTCTCGCCGCCCTCGAAGAGCTGCACGTCAAGTTTAGGTGCCGTCGTGCTGACCTTGGCGTTGACGTATTCTCCAGGCTGTACCTGGCTGCGGTTGAAGTAGAGCTTGGTGTCCACGATAGGGTCGCAGTGAGGAAGGACGTCGGGAATCACCTTCATTTGCGTGATTCTTTGGACGAGGATCTTGCGACGGTATTCCCTCCATTTCCGATCGGCCAGGTAGCGGTAGATGGGCTTGCTGAGGTCACCTAGACGAGGTCGGTTAGGATGCGGTGATGAAGGCAATTTGTAGAACGTGTTGTCTCACCTTGCCCATCCTCAAACTTCTTCTTGACCAGCGGGTCGTTGACATCCGCAAGGATCTTGAGGTGCTCCAGATGGAGCTCCATGGCCCGGAGCTTGGATTTCTTGACCTGCAAGCCGCCGGCCTCCTCGGTAGGAAGGGCCTGAAGTCTGGCAATCTTCTCGCTCATCGACTGGATATCGCGCACCTTCTCTTCCCGGTCTGCGATCAAAACCTTGCGTGCCTCCTGGAAACATTGGAAGGGAAGCTGCTCGAAGGGAATGTTGGATGAGCCCTGGAGGGCAGCTCGACGTCGACGAGATCCGACGGGGGCGATTCCCTGGCGTAACAATCTCCGTTCCAGCCGGGGACTCGTTACTAGGGCCGGATCAGGCGCCTTGTGGAAGGGAGCGCTCTTGGCCTCAGTCTGGGCTTCCTCGCGAGCCAGAGCGGTGGACTGAAAGGCGCGGGTGGACTGTAGCTGGAGGCCTGGAAGACCCTTTGTGTAGGTCTTCTGCAGGCATTGGAGCAGAGGCTTGGAGGCCCGCTCGCAATGAGCCATGGCGAGACGAGTGACTGGGGGAGGACGGGGGGATAAAGTGGTGGAGTGGTAGGAAGAGATTCCCCAGGTTAGTCGGGAAGTCGAAGTCGAGGTTCCTGGCCGGACGGAACTTTTTTCGTCGGGTTGGCCAAGCCTCAGGCGGCTAGCGCCAGACCACCCGAACTTTTGCTACTCCTCCTCCAAAGCATCACCGAGATCCCTCTCCCATCCAGGCTACCTTCCGGGGCTTAATCACACTCTTCCAAACACAATGCCTGGAAGTGACGCTCTTCGCGCACTCAAGTTGCTCTCTCGCAGCTCCGGGGGTCTCCTCTCGGGCGCTGAGACGACCACGGTAAGACCGACGTTTTTCGATTCCGCTGCTAGTCTTTTGCACATGGCCGAATGCAAGATACTGACCATTGATGCCTCGATCTTATAGCAACGATGCCTGGCGAAGACTTTCTCCCGCTCGATGGCCACCGAGGCCCAGTCTCCCGTTGACAACCTCACGAGGGAGGTTCCCAAGCCCGTGTGGAATCCCGAACCCGTCAAGGCGACACTCTACTCATTCCCCTCGATGGAGCCCCTGCGCTTCGTTGAGTATCCTCGCAACCACCTCCTGATGCCGCTACGCAAAGACATCCTGCACCGAGCCGTCGTCTACGAGGGTGACATGACCCGACAAGGTACCGCAAGCACCAAGTGGAGAGATGATGTGCATGGAAGTGGCAGGAAGTTGCATGCGCAGAAGGGTACTGGCCGGGCCCGTGTTGGCGACAAGAAATCCCCGATCCGGAGAGGTGGAGGTGTTGCTTTTGGCCCTCATCCCCGCGACTTCTCTACGGAGCTCCCTCAGAAGATCTACGACCAGGCGTGGCGGATAGCCCTCAGTTACCGCTACAAGCGCGGCCAATTGATCATTGTCGACAACGAAATCGCCCTTCCGGAAGGTGCCACTCCCCATATTGTTGAGGAGATTTTCAAGGTCAACTGCTGGGGCCGGCACTATGGACGGTCAACATTGATCACGGACCAGCCGAACGAGGAGCTGTTCGAGACGGTGCGTCAGGCTGGCGAACACGCGAAGATCCTGGACCGCCGTGACGTGGATGTGAAGGACCTGTTGGAGACTGGACGCTTGATCATCGAGAAGCAGGCGCTGGACCGCATTCTGTCTCAGCATTCCAAGGATCTGAAGAACAAGCCGGCCAAGGCTTTGTACTAAATTTCTTTTACCTGGCGATGGGGTCTTTTACTGGTTAGCTTCGTTCTGTGTTTTATTTTGTACAAATAGATTCGAAATATGTATGATGGCATTACGGATTTTCAAGGATGAAAGTCACGGCATTCTTAGCAGAAACCTACGCCAAGCTGCCCGGTTATTCGTAAAGATCGATGTAGTTGGAAAGCACATGCCAGAGCGAGGTTGCCGAACGGAGATCCTCCACGGTATTATAGCCAGGATCCATTTAAGACTTCGAATCTGATTCAAGAAGATCCAAAGTATCTTAATCAATAAAAATTTAAAGCCTATATACTACTACTAAAGAGTCCTGGTTACTTCTGGTGGGACATCCCAACTCACGGCCGTTCGGCTGTTCTCCTCTTCAGCGGCCGGCGAGGAAAATCATTCCGCGAAAAACTCCGAGGTCAAAGCAAGCGGAGAACCGACGAGCTGCTCATCCTCATACTTAATCCCCTCATCCCTCCATTCCTTTACCCCGTCTCCTCCTCCACAACAGGCTGTGGTCTGCCTGATGTTACTCCGACGCAGTATTTGCCGGTTTTCAACACCGTCGAGCTGGATCTCGCGGGTTTCACCAGCTACCATGCCTCTCCGTGCCAAACTCACAAACCCAGCATTCGGGGCCACTGCTAGTGTATGTCTTTCTCTATCTCATGCTTCACCTCTCCCATTGACTGACGGTTACAGATGTCTACGGCACCTATCCCCAAAGAACTCCCCGGAGACGAGCCCGACGATGTCCTGTTCCACTCTCACTACGGTGTGCGGCTGATTGAGCTCAACCGTCCCAAGAAGCTCAATTCCTTGAACGGCTCGATGGTTCGGAAGATTGTGCCTCGACTGAAGGTTAGCTTGTGGCTGTGACCTATAATTATACGTGTGGACCTGTTGCTAAGCGATTGGGGTATTTTTCTAGGAATGGGAAAAATCCGACCTGGCCAATGTCATCATGCTCTCTGGCGCTGGCTCGAAAGCTCTGTGCGCCGGAGGAGATGTGGCTGCCCTGGCTCTGCAGAACGAGAAGGGCCCCGAGGGCCAGCAGGCCTCGTCCGACTTCTTCGCCGACGAATACCGTCTCGATCATCTCATCGCGACCTACCAGAAGCCCTTCGTCTCCGTGATGGATGGTATCACCATGGGCGGCGGTGTCGGTCTCAGTGTCCACGCTCCCTTCCGGATCGCCACTGAACGCACCGTGTTCGCCATGCCCGAGACCACCATTGGCTTCTTCCCGGATGTTGGCGGCTCCTTTTTCCTGTCCCGTCTCGATGGAGAGCTCGGAACATACCTGGCCCTTACCTCGGAGCGCCTCCACGGCGTTCAGGCCCTGTATGCCGGAGTTGCCACGCACTACTTGCACTCCAGCGCGCTGGCCAACCTGACGGCCCGTCTGTCTGAGCTCGTCTTCCGTGACTACTCCACATTCCAGGACCGTCTCGCTCTTGTCAACAAAACTATGGCCGAATTCTCGACGGGTGTGCCGTCCGTGCGCGAGGAGCCTATCCAACTGGCTGGCAAGCTGCGCAGTGCTATTGATCGCTGCTTCCAGTACAACACGGTGGAGGAGATCATCCAGGCGCTGCAGAAAGAAACGGAGATGAAGTCGTGGGCTGAGAAGACCCTGGAAACCCTGTCGGCGCGGTCACCTACCTCGCTCAAGGTTGCCCTGCGCCAGCTGCGTGTTGGCCGGCAGTGGACCATTTCCGAGACCTTCCAGCGTGAGCACGCCATCGCATCCAAGTTCATGAGACACCCCGACTTTGTGGAGGGCGTGAAGGCCCGTCTCATGTCGAAGCCTCCCCGCCAAGCCACCTGGCAGCCGGCGACCCTCGAGGAGGTCTCGACCGAGGCTATCGATCAGTTCTTCGAGATTCCCGAGTCTGCATCGGGGCCTGAATCTCGACTGAGTCTCTACCACTACAAATCCCCGTACACCCAATACCCCTACAAGTTCGGATTGCCTAGCGAAAGCAGAATCGAGGCTTTCGTGCGTCACCGTGGAAGAAAGGGAGACCTGACCCTCAAAGAGATTGTTTCGAACTTCGACAGCAAAGAGGGTGTGAAGGAGAAGGTCGCCGAAGTTCTGGCCAGACGGACTGTCCGGGACGAGGCTGGTCTTCACTGGGTGAACTGATTTCTTTGGTGAAAGAAAGAAGAACATAAAGAATGTAAAAGGAGTCCATTTTGTTCCTGTTGTTGTGTTCGTTGGGTCTGTATATTGGGTTAATATTATCAACATGTATTTCATATAAAGTTAGACACGCAAGCAACGGTCCCTTCTTCAGCCTAGCATCATTTGTATCCAACTACCCAGCATTGTAAAGGCATCCACCATGCCTATTAATTTGGTATAGAGGCGCCGTAGAGCGCCAGAAGACCAGTCCAATCAATACCTACGGAGACGAAGCTGTAGAGTGTAGTCCAAGCTGTGATATCGTCGCCGTTGTTGTTGGGAGCCCGTGCTCTTAGATCGTCTGTTGTTGGCAGACTCTTCATCGATCAATGATCTAGGAACATGGATAACCAACCAGTGGCCTGATAGTTCCTGAAAAGTACATATCGGAACAGTAGTATTATTCCGTGAAGTTTGTCGAGAATTCTGGGTTTTCTATGGCGACTGTAACATATTCCCGCGCATACAGATGGGATATTGACAATCTGGGGAAGGGTAGGATAATAGTATAGTCTCATGACGGAATTGTCTGCCATCCCGCCTCTTCTACTATTTGAAGATGGGTAAAAACGTGCATCTTCTATGCTTCCTGATAGCAGTAATAGCATGTATTGTAAACACAGCGTGGTGGGGATGGATCTGTAGTACTCCTTGCCGAATGAGGTGAAGGTATTCATCTCAGCCCACTCGGCTCCGCTCCAGCCTGGCATCCATAACTATCCGTCGGTCCCTTCGGCCGGCAATCATAAATTAATTCCCCGTCTTCCACCGAATCCAAATTCATCGTCCAAGCATGCAACTTTCGGGAATCTAAGTATCCATCAAAAGTCCTATCATGGCAGAATCACCTTTACTCCAGGCTCACACAGGGCCGCGAACATCTTGCGATTCGCAAGACCCGGCAGAGCCATTTCTACCCCAACCCTCGGCCCCCGGGTCCTCAGTGCATCAGAACCCAACCCGAATTCTGTTCCGGTTGTATATTTCCCATTTTCTATCAACATGGAACTCGCGAATGTTTGAGTTTGGCGCCGTCTTGTTCCTGGCGACTATCTTCCCGGGAACACTGCGGTATACTTCGGTTTATGCTTTGGTTCGATCGCTGTCTGCGGTGGTCCTGTCATCATGGTTGGGATCGGTGGTGGACCGAGCGAATAGGTTGAGAGCGATTCGGCATTCCATTAGTATGTTGGAGTAGCAAACGCAGAGAGGGATATGGTTATGGACTGACACCGTCTAGTATGGCAGAGAATCCCTGTGGCTGCCTCGTGCGCATGCTTTACGGTTCTCCTGGCCCCGACTACAACGGCGATTACCTCGCTCGTGTTCGCGGGTACGGTTTTGCTCGCTTGTGTGGAGAAGCTCGCTGCTACTGCGAACTGTGTTGCTGTTGAAAGGGATTGGGTGAGTTGACCGTTCTCCTGCTACGATACCTGGCTAATTTGAAAAGGCCATTGTTGTGTCGGATGCCCTGGATATTCCTCGACAAGGTATGCTACGCATTGCTGCCTGCTATAGTCAGTACTAATTGAGCAGACCTCAATGCGTCTATGAGACGGATAGACCTGTTTTGCAAACTCTTAGCTCCGGTGGTCATCTCCGTGATTGATGGGCTGTCGACTAAGATAGCCATATGGACGGTCTTGGTTGTAAATGTGTCTTGTGTCGTCCTTGAATACATTGCAATTGCTCAGGTATTATCTTCCCAGGTTGGAGACGTCTGTATGCTTACCAAGCCCAGGTGTATACGTCCATTCCTGAACTCAAGCGTTGTCAGGATGAAAGCAGTGAGATCGGAGATGGACCTGGACTTGAGCCGCAAGATGGGGGCAGTGCGCCAACCGCAGCTCGTCGGATAGCGCAGTATAGCAGAAAGGCTCTTGCTCCGTGGCGAGAGTACGTGGCTAGCTCTGTGTTCCTGGCCTCCCTTGCCTTGAGCTTACTTTATCTCACGGTGCTTTCTTTCGGTACTACCATGGTTACGTACCTGCTACATACTGGGTTCACCCCGCTGCAGGTCAGCGGGATGAGAATCGGCGCTGTCATTGCAGAGCTGTCGGGGACATGGGCGGCACCCTTTATCACGGGTAGGATTGGGCCCATCCGGTCAGGCCTGTGGTTTTTGAACTGGCAGTTTGCCTGTCTGGCCGCTGCAGTGGCGGCCTTTGCTTTCCTCGACAACCAGTCTCAAGTGGTTGCCGTTAGCCTGATTGTCGGAGTAGCTCTCAGTCGGATTGGTCTCTGGGGCTTTGATCTGTCGGTGCAATTCCTAGTCCAAGAGGTAAGTCCTACTGTTCGAACTGAATCTAATGATCAAGCTCTTACTATGATAGGGTGTGGACGAACGTGCTCGCGCGCGGTTCTCATCCACAGAAATGGCTCTCCAAAACATCTTCGAGCTCCTATCCTTTGCGACGACCATTGCATTCCCCCTTCCTGAACAATTTAAATACCCAGTATTCATCAGTTACGGGGGCATTGCGATAGCAGCCATTTGTTTTGCGACGTATGTGCGGAAGGAACGGGGACATTTGCTGCATACATCCAAATGTTTTGGGGGAGACAAGAAGCGGATCGTCCCTGACCCGCAGGATGTCCTCATCCAGCGCGCATAATGAGATAGAATGCATGTAGTGCCATGAGATATGAATCAAAAACGCTTTCTGACGTAGCTGTTCCTGGGAGAGTCTAAACTGTATAAACACAACTAAATATAAGACGAGGCGGACCGCTGCGGGGAGCCGAGCATCTCGTTCCTGATTCCCCCCAACAATCACACCATCTCAGCTGCGCAGCTCCTCTTTCAACCATGCCTTCCCCACACCCATCATGGAGGTAAACCCGCATCCCCAAAGCCTTGATACACTTAGAAAATGCACCTGCTAACCGAGCGAAAGGCTCCTCGAGCTCGCGGAATGGGCCGATCAGGACCCCGACGCCGCACGGGCTGTCTGACCTGCCGGGCACGTAAAGTCCGTTGCGACGAGGCTAAACCCACGTGTGCCAATTGCACTCGCCTGCGATTGCAATGCACCTACAAAACCACCATTCAGACGGTCATCCCGCGACAACGGCATGGCAGTCAAAGCTCAGGCACAGTCGCGAGCGCAGCATCGGCCCCCACCAGCACCGCCAGCACCACCTCATCCGACCGTCCAGACGTGAACTTCTTCCACACCGTTCTCTGCAATGACCGACTTTCAGCATCGAATTCAGGATCCCCGCAGCAGGTCGGTCCCAGCAATCGCCCTCAACAACAACAGCAGCAACCCCTAGGTACGGATAATATCACCTCGTTTGATATCCTCAGTTTCATCGGCGAGATCACCTCCGACTTCCAGCAGAAACACCTCGATTTGACTACGAATGGCCTGGCGGGGTTCCCAGCGGGCTCGGTCCCGGCGGCGATCGCGAACGAGGAACTCGACCAGAATGAACGGCCGATAAGTTGGGACGCGGGCTCAGTTTCAGTCATCCACGGTGATCGTTCAGAGCAAGGGTCTTCTTCCGATACAAGCGGTGGTGGTAGTAGTGGTGGTGGTGGCCCTGGTCGGTTGACGTATGAGGATCGGTTGTTTGCACATTTCGTGGAGGGGGACCCGCCGCCTACGATATTTGGGCCGGTGGATTTGGATTGGGAGTACGTGCGTGCTAATGTTGTTGCACAGTCGCGCGATAGTCGCGCAGTTTTACATGGGATTTATTGCTACGCGGAGATACATGAGGCGTTGGTTGAGGGGAAAGCGTGGAAGTTGGCGTCGAGGTATCATCAGCTGGCCTGTTCGGAAGTTCAGTCGTGCTTGCTGGGTGAAGTAGGGGAGACGGTACTGAAGAGGGTGTTTACTACGGTATTATTGTTGATGCTGGCAGAGGTGAGTGTTTCTCAAGTTTCCTCTGATAATCCAACCACGGCTGAAGGGCTTACGAAACAGCTCATGTCTACCCCTGATCTATGGGGCTCAGGAACGTCCTTTCTCCACTCTGCATATCTTCTGCTGCAGCGGTTTCACCACCGCACCAGGCTGTGGACCGGTGTGAGCAATGTGATTGTGTCGTGGGTGTCATTGCTGGATGTCAAAGCACTGATAGCTGGCCGTGATGGCGACCCGCTGATCGACCTGGGCAGCCTTTCATCCAAGGCAAGCACTACGTCTGAACTGGCCACGGAAGACAAATGGGCCGACAATAGCGGCGACGAGGAGCCACCGAAGCCTGCATACCTTATGCGTGAAGCCATCACGGGCCCGGCCTTTCGCTTCTTCCTGCAAACACAACAGGTTATCCGACGGATTGTGTGCATCGACCTGCATCACCGCAGTCGCGGGACTGTCAGTGATGAGTTTGAGGTGCTCCAGATAGCACACCAGGTCGGGGCCGACCTCGAGACGCTCTGGAATCGGCGTCCGCGCGTGCTGGACGTCTACAGTACGCCTGAGGACCTCTTTAATACTCTACAGCCTGCTGTCGCGATCGAAATCTGCCGGATGTTCCGACAGTACATCGCCAACTTCTTAGCGATCTTTATCTATCTACATCGGGTCGCGTTCGCCATCTACCCACGGACTGACCGAGTGCATCGCGCAGTGGATCGGATCATTCAATTGGCAACTGCTGAGGTGGAGTCCGGGGGCAATCAGCAACATTTGCCCGCCAGCTTTGTATGGCCGTTATTTGTGGCTGGTCTCGAGGGATCGTTGGAGCAGCGAAGATGGATTGTGAAAGAGATGCAACGGATTACTGGCAGCTGTAGTAGTGGCTGTCAGGATCCCGAGCGCATCCGTGGAAGCTCTCGTACGGCGCGACATCCGCATGCGGGGAAAGCATTGCTACTGCTGGAGGAGATGACGCGACGACAAGATGCGTCGCGGACATGGGCGGACTCGCGGTGCGTGCGACGGGAGCTATTTACTGACTTCTTCGTGATGATCTAGAAGACAGTAAGTAGCCGTAGCAGAGGAAAAGTGGACACCAGGAAGGGATGCAGAACACTCAGGAGTGGATGAACATCAACTCGAAACGCGTCGCAGATCTCCTGACCACGTAAGCGCACGTCATCTGATTCCCCGCCAGTCTCCATCGGCCTGTTATTTACTTCCTCACTTTCCATCCTCACATCCCCTCTCCTCTCCATCTGCAGTCTTGCATCTCTGCCATTGTGGCTGTCGCATTCTCTCCCTCGCGACATGGCCCACAATGAGGCCCTACTCCGAACTCCCCCAGGATGCTGATCTCCACGATCCCAGCCATCATGATCCACCGCCGTCCGGCAGCCAGAGCGCCTTTCGCCTTTACTGGCTCACGGCAATCGTCTGCTGCGGTGGCCTTCTTTTCGGCTATGACTCGGGTGTGATTGGTATGTAGTCTCCTGAAGACTCACCGCACGCCATGCTCATCAATCAAATCCAGGCGGAGTTCTCACCTTCGACTCCTTCCATCGCTCCTTTCGGTATACCGCCGCCGATGAGACACGAGTTAGTGCTATCGCAGTAGGCGTCCAGCAAGCCTCTGCGCTGCTTGGTTGCCTGATTATCTGGCCTTTCACAAACCGCCTTGGTCGTCGCCCGGCCATGGCTGTCTGCTCCCTCATCTTCTGTACGGGGGTCATCTTCGAGCTCCTCGATACCCACTCGCTATCCGTCTTCTACGTGGGCCGCGTCATACTGCGGACTGGGGATCGGCGGCTCCGCAACCGTCATCCCCATCTATCTCTCGGAAATGAGTCCCACCGACAAGCGCGCCCGGCTTGGAAGCTGCTATCAGTTCGCCTTCACTATCGGCATCCTCGTCTCCTACTGGATCGACTATGGCATGCAGTTCGCTCCCGCCAATGCCCTGCAATGGCAGATTCCGTTCGCCGTACAGCTGATTCCCGGCGCATTCATGGGGTTGGGGATGCTCACGCTCCGCGAAAGCGTGCGCTGGCTTCTCTCACACGACCACGACAAGAACGAGTCCAAAGCATGGGACAGCCTAACCTGGATCCGCTCATCGAACGGGCCACACGTGCGCGCCGAGTACCAGCAAATGAAATCCAGCATCGAGCGTGACGCGCACGCAACGGCCGATTTCTCTCCGAGAGAGCTCCTCAGCAAGTCCAACAGCCACCGACTCGCTCTAGCCGTCTGCCTGTTCATAGCCCAACAATCTATGGGGCCAACCGCGCTGGCCTACTTCGGGCCGCAATTCTTTGCACTTCTCGTAGGCAACAACGCCCACCTGACCCTCCTCCTAACCGGCATCTTCGGCGGCCTGAAAGTAATCGGCTGTCTCATCTTCATCGTATGGGTCGCCGACCGATTCGGCCGCCGACCACTACTGATCCTGGGCGCGCTCGCCATGTCCATCTGCATGATAACCACCTCAGTGGTAGTAAAATCCACCAACGTCCCCACACCCCACCCATCCACACATAACTCCGACACCACCCCCACCATCACCAACAGCGGCCTCCTAACCGTCTCCCTCATCTACCTCGCCATCGTCTTCTACAACCTCTCCTGGGGCCCCCTCCCCTGGCCCTGCACCGCCGAACTCTTCAACACGCGCATCCGCGAACCCGGCGTCGCCATCGCCGTGGCCGCCCAATGGCTCTCCAACTTCGTCTGGTCATTCTCGACCCCGTACGTCCTAGCAGGTGCCAAATGGGCCACCTTTCTAATCTTCGGGATGCTAGACGCCAGCTTCGCTGCCTTCGTCTGGTTCTTCTTACCTGAAACGCGCGGCCGAACCCTCGAGGAGATCGATGCGCTTTTCAAAGACGAGGATAAGCTCCACGATGACTCACTATCGTCCGCCCTGCTGGTCGGGGAGCAGGAAATTGACCGTGAATACGAACAGGATGATATTAGTTCTCCTGATGATGCGGGGGTGAAGACGAATGAGGAGCGGGTGGAGGTTTAGTTATTCACCCATTATATATATATATTCCCATGTATGGATCATTCATTCATAGAGTTAGATGGTAAAAAATTATTCGGGATGTTTTCTCTGAGATTTTTTGTTACGAGATAGATTAGCTGGCTGGACGAGTGGCTAGCTGGCTTTTAATGATGGTGTTAGCTGGCTATAGTACTATATCGCTAGCAAATAACCAGATGATTGATAACTGAACGTACTATTTTTCAGAATTATCTAGACTGCCCCCATAGTATGCACATGAAACGAGTCTAAATGCGGAAACTAGTCCTAAGTGGACATAGAACCATCGATCTATACTCTTCATAGGTCCGCCAGTCATGTGAGCGCCGTCTATCATACTACTATGTCTATGCAGTATACGAACAACTTAAAATAAACCCTCATTGAGCTAAATATTGATTATTATTAGCTACTGGGAACCCACACAGCAACTAGCGTACACTCGTATCATCGTAGCAATTCGTGTTCCTTTGCCCAAGCAGTTCCCAAAACGCCCCCTCCCCGCAAGTGTTAACACAACCATGTTGGTTTCGAAACCATACAGAAAACCTACCTAACTGAAACATCGCCACAGTCGCCAGCTACCTGAGCGAGAAAAAGAAACAAGAATATTACCTGAACCAGCAATCACAAGGTCCCGCCCAAACCACGTGCTTTTTGTTTGGGGGACTTAGCAAGAAAAGAAAGAACGCCGTCATGCAGTCGCCAGTCATTTGGCCATCAAGAGCTGATGGTGAAAGACAAAAATGAAACGACACCAGCCGCCATTGAGCCCACGCATGGTGTTGGGCAATGTATAGAGAATTATGGATATAGAATCTAGACATCGAGCAAATCCTCAAAGGCGTCATTGTTGGGAGTCGAGAAGGAGAAGGACGCGTCACTCGCCAGGGTCTGCTCTGAGTCCCGGCGAGGAGTGGGTTCCAGGGAGCCCATCTTTGAGGGCATCTGGATGGGGCTATCAAAGCCAAAGGAAAGGTCCTGCGAGCGGGTTGTCCGACTGGAGCTCGAAGGGGTCAGAGCATTTAGGTCCGTTTTCAGGTCGGACGCCCCCAGTGAGTCCTGCTGGGTGATGTTTTTCACCATTGTGCTGAGGTGCATCGAAATGGCCTCATCATTGCACTGGGCGTGCTCTAGTAAGTAGTTCTTGTACAGGAGGATCTCGCTACGCAGGGCGTCAATATAACGAGTCAGATAATCCTTCCTCTCGGAGAGTAATTTGAATTGATCTCGGAGAGTCTCCGTCTGCTTCTTCTTCTTCAGGCGACACTTGCTCGCTGCCAGTCGATTGCGCTCCAGCAAATTCTCCCGCTTCGCTTTTTCGCTCAGCTTGTCACCGGAGTCGGGTGAAGACGAACCGAGTGTGCCATTAGCCTTGCGACGCTTGGGCGCTGGTTGAGGCGCGTCCGAAACGGCCGGCTGACTGAAGCTCGCACGGGGGGTGGGGTTGGCATAGGCAGCCCCGTCATACGGCTGGTGGTATTGAGACAAGGAATAGACTTCGTCGACCCCATTGACACTCTTGTCGTCGAATGGCGGGGGCGTGGGCTGACCGTTGCGCACATGCGAGTTCTTCAAGCCTCGCTCTAGACCCGGATTGGTGAAAACCTGCGGGTCATTCTTCGCCGACCAGCCCTGCAGCGAAGGAGACACGGGGCTAAATGCAAATAGAGTCTGTTCTTCCCCGCCTTGATAAGACATGGAAAGAATGTCGGTCGTCATGTAGGAATTAGCGATGGTGAACTGAGAAGGAGCCGCGCTGACGGTGCCAGGCATAACAGCTTCGTTGGACACCACAGTCTCGCCAGGAACAACCGGCCGGCCGAAAGAGGCCTGATCCGCCATGTTGAGGATAAACCTGGTTTAGACTAAGCCGAAGGCAGAGCAGAACCGATTGCAGGGAAGATCAGAATTTATATTTAGGAGGGAAGAAGGAGAGAAAGAAAAGTAGCTATTGAGAGGTAGTAGAGGATGGTTGTGGCGAAGGAAGGGCAGGAGAATGGATGGTATTTTAAAGCTCCAACCGCGATGCCAGAGCAGACCGGAAGCACAAGACCGAAAGTAAGTGAGCAAAGCCGCTCCAAAGCGCAGACTGGCACCTGGAACAACGGGTCCTAGGATCCTGTCAAGCCCAGGAGCAGACAAGGGTGACCGAGGTGAAGATGACCACGGCAGGTACGAGTGATGGTAGGCAGCTACCACGGTTGCGAGGACGGGAGAGAAAGCAACAAAGGATGAACAATGCACTGACAAGTCAAGAACAAGCGGGAAGGTAAAAAGCTGGAGAACCCCAACCAGTTCAGAAGGAAGGTTGGCCAGGAGAATATATCCCGACAGGACCGAAGTGGGGGGAAAGTGTTGGAGAGAGTGTGTTGTCCAGAACGGGGGCTGGCAGTAGGGGTCCCTTCTGGAGACTGGAGCCAGCAGCGGAACTGGACCAGGAAAATCAGGGAACCGGGCGAGACCAGAGTGGAGCTGGGAGGGAGAGAGAGAGAGAGAGCTTCGTCAGGCAATCTGCAGGAGATCCAGAATCAGAAATCAGAGTCAAGGGCAGAGGAGGGGTAAGGTGGAAATGTAACGGGGAGGTCCACGGAACGGAAGAGTCGGCAGAGTCAAGAGAGGAAAGAAGAGCTATAGGGAGAGGAAGACTGGGAGGGAAAAGGAAAGAGGGAGGGAGGGAGTACCACGGATAGAAAAGAGAAGGAGGGGAAATCCGGATCGAAGTCAATGTGGGAAGTGATACGAGGGGAGGACAGGAGATGAAACGAGAGGAGAAAAAGGAAAAAGAGAGAAAAGAGTTGGGGAGGGTGAGGATGAGGATTGGATGGAAGAGAAGAAAGAGAGAGTGAGTGAGAGTAGCACTTTTACTTACTTTACCAACAGGAAGCTCCCAAGTGGTTGCGCAAGTGGCAGGGAATAGGCTGTTGTGGATGGTTGTGTGGATGCAAGGTCGGGGAGGATAGTACAAGCAGCAGTTGGTGTTTTGTATAGGACTCGGAGTCAAGTTGAGAAAGCAAGAGAGAGAGAAGGGAGGAGAGGAGACAGATGACAGATGAAGCTTCAACTCCCCGAATAAGAATATTTTCGTGATGATTGGGGCAGTTGAAGTTCCGGCGTCGGGTAGCCAAGAGAAGGCATCCAGTGGACGAGACCTGGCCAGAACCGGCAAGTTGACATCATGGGAGAAGGAGGAGGGGTTTGAACTGGGTGGACTGGGTCAATGGGAAGATGGAGATCTGGAGACTCCACGAGAGAGCATGCGAGAAAAGGCGAGAAGCAGTAAGGATGCGACGATCAGGGGCAGGACAAGATCCCTTAGCGGATGCACGATTACGCAGCTGGTGGACATGACAGATGCTGCCATCCCAGCTGAAGGGGTTGGGAAGAAGTACTGGAGTTGCAAATGTACTTTGCATCTACATCTTACACTAGATGATGCTAGTAAGTACCTGGCGAATTGTTCAAGGGAGCTACAGTTATCTAGATGGTTCTCCTACTAAGGAAACTAGTGGCAGCTACCTTAGTCTCCTTCTTGTTACCCCAGAAAACTTCGATCATAAAATAGCCATCCCAAGTGAGATTCTGAGTATGAATCAAACCAAGATCAAATTCCACACAACCACCAGATCAGCCCACATCATCGTCTCCGCCGACAGTTCGCCGAACCCGAGAGAACCTTAATAGAGTGTTCTTTCTTGTCTGATATCATCATCATCAACCAACGTCATCCATTCATGAAGGAAACCCACTCATACCCTGGCCCTTAAAGAAGAGTACAGGGTTCCGTCTTCCCCGTCCGGTTCCACCAGCAAACGATTTCCATTCCCAAATCAGCCAGGGGGAAATTAGAACATGATCGGGAAGTATTTCACAGCTAGTTAATTCAGTTAATAAATTCTCAATTAGTCATTAATCTTGTACTTGGTGATTAGTTAGTTATATCCCTCATTCATAACAAGGAAAGACTACCTACCTGGGGCTGGACCAACAGTAGGCCTACCGTTGCCTGTAGCTTGCCTGCCTGTTCCAGGATCAAAGTCACAATTTTTGGTTTCATTATTTGTTTCTTTTTCCTTTCGCTTTTGTGTGTGTGTGTGTCATTCTGCTTGCTGCTGCTGATATCTGGATCCTGATTTGCCCCACTTTCTTCTTTGGGTGGGAGATATACTAGAAATAATACAAACTACTTGGATATACCTAGTTACCTACTACCTACTACTACTAATACTACTCCTCCTCTACTCTGATAACTGCAATAAACACAAAACTGCTATCTTGTTATGCTACTCCATACAGAGTACGATTGTAGTAGACACACGATGTATCCGGTAAAAGGTCCTGGCCTTAATCCAGTCCTGCCACGACACAGTCCCCGCCAATCATCCCCCATTCGGAGGCTTATTATGCACTGCTAACAAGGATGCTTTCAGGTTCCAGCCGCCCCGTCCAAACGGTCGCCATGCTGCTTCATGATTGCTCCAAAACCTCCCGTCGGGCCCAGCAATGAGGTCTCATTTTTCGCTATCGCCGACCCTACATGGCTCCGCTCTCTCCACTTGCCCTGCTCCCAGAACCGGATGCTGCCTCGGCTCCGCTGGGCCTGTGCCCCATGTCCCCGTCGTACTATCTATCATCCACCTCCTTTCCTGCTTTCCCCTCCCCCCCCTCCGCTTCTGTCTTCTTCACTCTTCCTTGCTATTCCTCTTCAAACTTTACACAAAGTACTCTCGCCTACACAAGGACACACTATCATGCTGGATCACTCTGGTCTCATCCTCACACCTCCGCCGACCCGCTAAACGTTCGCGAGAATCCGTGGTGATGCGCTATGGCCCCTCGATGCTCCCAGATCCGCAGCTGTCGACTCACCCCCCGCCAACTTCCGATCAACATCGCTGCAACCCGCTGGCCCTCAATCTCGCGCTGAATGGCCCGGAACGTATCCTCATGAGTCTCCTCCCCCTCGCGTTCCGTCAGCAGTGGCGCCAGCACTCCACTCAGTCGGTCTAGGTTCAGCAGCCCCGACCCAATACTGGCCCGGCAGACGCTGCCCCGAAAGCCCTGGCGTTCCAGCTCGATCAGCCGCTGCGTCTCATGCAGCAAGAGCGCGCTGAGTCCAAACACTCCACAGATCAGGTTCAGCTGCATCGAGTCGCTGAGCGCCAGAATCGCCAGACTCATGGCCTTGACCTTGACGTAACCTCGGGGCGAAAGCCCCCCGAGGCAGCTCCTCCGCCGCTCCATTGGCTCACTCGTAAGGTGGCCCTGGCAAATTTGGACCAGCACTCGATAAAGCCGGCCCGACCCTAGAATCCCGCCTGGAAGCCCGGACAGAAGAGCCTTGAACGCCCATGCCACGCTCAACACTCGAATGGCGTCGCCACTATCCCCATCCCGGTTCAGAGGGTCCACCACATTCGCCGGCATCGTGCCACTCGCAACCGTCATTTGGATCTTGTCTTGCTGCTTTTCCGCCGAGTGCACCTGATTGGCGTAGTAGTCGTACGTCCGCGCCGCTAGTTTCGGATCCCCGGCGTCGACAAAGACGTTTCGTACGGTAGGAGCTATATATGACGTCAACAAACCAATAGCCTGCGACGGATAGAGTATCCTAGTGGAGCATTGTGGATTCCTACCAAAGCATCCCAGATAGGTGATAATCGCCACAAAGCATACGGGTAGCCTCAATTTCGTAGGAGCAAAGTCGGCCGGAAGACTGAGCAGATTGTACCCTCCCAGTCGAGCCAGGTCTTCCAGGGGTTTGCCCTTCAATGAAGTCATATCGGCCGATCGGCGCGAAAGGCTGGCGAATGTCCTCATCCGACGCAAGGTTCGTTTGCGGGGTGCGTCTGACGATCCGAGCTGGAGCGTCGACCGCATGGTTCGTATGCGTCCGTAGAACTTATCCCGACGTCTGGGATGATCATCTCCGGTGGCTGTATGAGATTGACGACTATCAGGAGACCGTTCAGCTGCTATGTCGTCAGAGACTTGTAGAACACCTGTTGATCTTCTGCTTTGGGGCACACAAACCTGGCACCTGACCCCATTCAGCACCTCCATGAGTACTAAGAGTCTCGTCGACCTCCAGCGGCTCAAGACGCAATCTACTGGCCAGCTCATTGAACGCTATAATAGCCGCGTGGCGATCCCCTTGTGCCAATGCGTAACTGTCGTCAAGCGAGGCGGCAAAGTCCGAACTCTGCCTTGATGAGCCCCGTGATCTGTAGGATCGGGTGTGCGTAAAGGGGTTCTCTGGCTTCTCTGTAGTCCGAATGGGGCATGTCGACAAACCACTCGCACCACTGCGCTCTGAACTATGCTGTCTGCTAGAGTACGAAGTAGCCCCTTTAAGGTCCTCAAGATTGACACTGGACTGGGCTGTGGAATGAGACGCTTCCTGAATATCACTATAAGGATTATGATGAAGACAGTCCTGATCAACCAGGGCAATGGGCATAGACGTGCGCTTCGACGGATCATGGCAGACAGTCACACTAGTTAGATCCGAACTGAGCGAGTACACCGTCTTATCACTGACCTTTCTATCGGCATCTCCTTTCAAGAGGTTGCTTGACTGTGTGACCTGAAGCCCGACGGACTGCTGATTCTCCAGATGGCCAGTAGCCGTATGATCCTCATTATAACCTTCTTCCACCACAATAATAGGCTTACCAGACAAACCAGACGAGCCCGACTCGAGTCGAAGATGCTGCGACTTGCGCGAGCGAAACAGCGTTTTGAGGCCTATCAGTCTGGAACCCTTGTCTGCTGAAATCAAGTCCTGGGCGGGCCTCTGGGGAGCTGCCACATCCTTTGGCAAAAGAATCGTATTCCTCCTACTATCATGATGCTTTGCTATATCCCTTACCCCGAGAGAGGCAGCTAGCCCCGCATTCACTGACGAAAATGGCGCGGAAAGTGATAACCTCTTGTTCATGGATCGCTTCAAGCTGTCGCTGGGGGTTTCCAAGGTATCCATCGCTGCAGGAGGCTGCGCAAGTGATTAGGTATGGTAGAGCAGGAAGATGCAATAATCGTTACAGAGGTGAGTGCTCGGTGTGGTGTGCACTGGGGGGTTGCTATATCAGTGTGAGGATCGCTCTTTCCTCTGTTGTTCGGTGATAGTAGGACCCGAGAGGAAGGCTTCATTCACCAGGCCGACTCATTGACAACGCGGACTGGCCGGGGAGGCCGTAATAGATGTCCACATATGTGAATGTAAATCACGTAACTTGGACAGGGAATATACAACGCTAAAGATTGATGGTGAGCACTTTGCCTGTCAACGGCAGAAGCCGCATGGGTTTACTTGCTATGACATCTGCAACAGCCATGCTCACAGTTAACAACCGACTTCTCACGGCGAGCTGCCCACATTTCTACAGCTGAAGTTCAATGACAATGTCTAGATGTATTGTGTACACGAGTGCCTTTGTAACCGGGATATAGACCTTTGCGCCATAAAGTACCGTCTACTTTTGCATTTCAAACAAGACGGACAAAAGCCCAAGTGCTCAAATACCAAGAAGCAATATAAGAGGGTAGAACCGTATAATAAAGTCAATATCGTGCAAGTGGGCTACCGTTGCCAACCAAGGAGGTCCCGGAACCGACACTGGCACGCAAGAACGCCTTTCCATGCAAGTTGTAAATATGCGTAGCTGCGCGACAAGCGCAAAATACATTGTTCATGATGACTCGTCATTCTCACCCTCCAAGAGGATATACTGGAGGATATCACTCAAGGTTAGGACACCCTTTAGCCGAAAGTTGTCGTCCACCACAACCAGGCGGTGTACACGGGATTTGCGAATCGTGTCGAAAATGGTATCCAGACCATCGTTCAGGGAGCATGTGTAGATACCGGGGAAGTCCTGGAACAGTGAGCTAAGGGTACCAGAAACCTTGATAATAGAACATACCGGAGATCGCTTCTTCAACGCCTCACCCACAGTTAGACTCAGATCATCATATACACCTCCTTTGATCAACGTTATCACGTCGACAGCCTCGAAGACGTTGTACACAACACCTGCGAAAATAAAGAAATCAGTACACATACATGCGCGTTTCAACGTAGTATCGCCTACCTTCAGTGTTGATGATGGGGACACTTGATATGCTCCGTGAGACGAGAATGTGAATCACGTCAATGACAGGTGTATCCATCGATGCGACTGCGATATTGTGATACGAGCCCAGCAAGATCTCACCAAGGGGTTTCCGTAACTTCTGCGTGTCATTGACGTTGACGGCGACAAACTTTAGGATGCGGTACTGGGTGAGAACACTCAGAACGAGGGCTCGATCGGTCTGACTGTCGAAAGTAACCAAAGGAATCCTCCTGGCGCGAGACTCGAGCATGCGCCGACAGGCCTCGTAGAGTGGCCGCTCTGGGTCAATGGATATCGTTTCGGGCGGCGCCACATGGAGCGCCTTTTCGACCTCTGGAAAGGAATGTCAGCCTGAGTATACCCAGCTGCAAAAACACAAGGCGCACCTCGTAGACTATCCAAGCGGAATTGATCGATCTGGTTCAAAGCCTCGGGATTTTGGTAGTAGTACTGAATGACATTGATGTAGTCGGATGTGGTAAGGAGGCCGGCAAAGGTCGACGAAGTAGAATCCCATAACGGTGCCGAAACGATGCCTGTATTATGTACCCTTTCCAGTCAGCGAGATTGCACTCACGGTGCGCATAGCCCACGGAGGCGCGGGAAGCGGGTGGGAGGAAGACTTGCCGTTCTGTATGAGGATGTTCAAGCTCTCCTTGACAGACAGCGACGTATCGAACATGATAAGTCGAAAACTGAGCGGAAGGACATCATAGCTGGTACGGACTTTGAGGAAGTTGCGAATGGCACGCTACAGCGATTAAGATGGACCAGAATCTTATTAGTCAATCCGTTTAATTTCCTTGTGGAAACAATTACGAGCAAGCAGATGCCAGCCAAGGTCAGGGCACATTGGCATTGAGCGCACGCATGACAGACCCAGAACCATGGCAAACAAAGTGATACAACAGGTTTATGTACGAAGTGCAGTGCGGACCAAAGAGGGGTAGGGCGCGTTGGACATCAGCGGCGCAAACAGGAAGATTGATTTGAGGGGAAAAAGCAAGCAACGGGGAGAAGAAGGGAAAAGCAAAGCAAAGCAACTCACTAGGGCCTGACGCTCTTCCCGATCGATTGCCCTTTCGGGCTGGGCGGGGGGCATTGGGTGTGATAGACCTCGCGGCCGGAGAAAGGAGGCGGGATACACGAATCCTCCCTCGTGACCGCGGACTGGACGACGGTCTGGAACAGGAGAGGGGATGGGCGAGGGATAGGAACCGGTGGAGGAGGGCGGGCGAGGGTAAGGCTGAGGTGGAGTGGACCGAGGAGAAGCAGCAGCAGCAGCAGCAGCAGCAGCAGCCGTGCTAGTCAGCGCAGTGATGGTGGAGGTGGTCGAGGTGGTCGTAGTGGTAGTAGTAGTTGTGGTGGTGGAGGTGTCGTCGGTGGTTGAAAGCGGCCGCCCGGAAGTGTTGCTCATTCTGCCCGTGGGGACTACGGGCACCCGCTGGGGAGCTTCCTCCATCTTGATTGCCCAGTGCCGCTACTGTCGTGGGACCGCAAAACACATCCAGACATTCAGAATGGAGGAGAGGTCGGGTTAACTGTGGATGGAAAGGATCTCATAGGCCTGTAGGAGCAATAGCAGCTCGAGGATTGATGCAGTTGACAGGGGTAATATCCCGCCGCTGCCGCTGGGATAACTAGTATTCCTATTGATATGGATAGGCGGGGAGGAAGAGAATCAGTATGGAATGTCGAGAAAGGAGGGTGTCTAGGATCATCTGAGAAGACAGAGCGCGACGAATCATGCGCAGAATGCTTGGGATGATGCATCACATCTCCTGATTAATTAAGCTGCCTACTATCTTAGTTAATTAAGACCCCAGTCGAACGGATATTGCACCTGAGGGAGTGCACTAGGAACGATGGGCATCCGAGCCGGGCATAGAGGGTGTCCATTCTCCAAACAGACATTCTGACAGGCTGAAATATGTGCAGTATGTCAGTCTCAGGCTGCATTCACTACATGCCGCAGCATTCCTTAGCCAGCATATGTATTGCTGCAGCTTCAATAACTGGTGGGAGGTTGTGGGATACATGCCTGAGGCATAAAATGCCCCGCCATCCCCACACGTGACAAGGACACTGCGGAGAAAGCTTCGAGTCGCTTGACTAGCTCCGGTCTCTACCTACGCCGACATCAATGCCTCCTTAATATTAACGCGACAGGTTGAATAACAAGCCAAGGTTGCTGATTATATTTGGGCCATGTGTCTAACTACACCACAAGACTAACCGAGAGCTCGAAGAGAACGGTGCCAAAGAATTATAAAGGCGTATCTATGCTTTATGCCACAGCCATGCAATCGCCGACGCTCGAAGAACACTGAAAGACAATTTTTACCCGGAAGTCGCACAATATGGGAAGTTTCATGCCGTAGGCTACGCGGTGCCATTCGCCCCCTCTGTCTGGGAGAGACTCGGGCTGGTGCCCGTCTTCAGATAGTTCTCAATCTCACCAACACGTTTCCCGCCCTGAATCCACCGCTCCTTGTATGCTGCTCTGCGCTGGTCGGCAAGCTTGTTGAGCGTCGGCCAGTAGATCGAATGGTCGTACCGGAACTCGACTTCACCGCCCATGGACTTCATCAACTGGCCCGGAGGCACATGCTGACCCAGGTCCTCGTTGAACTTGAGTTTTTGGCGGGTCAATGGATCGATGAACGGAGTGATGATCTTGAAGAAACCGAGGATCATGAACGGCACTGACGTGGTCAGAGGTTATCGCTTGCATAAGATAGGGACAACTCACTGTTAATTACAAGGGCGCGACCCATTCTCTCTGGGTAGTGGTTCTGCAGAAAGTTGAGGGTCTGCTTGGCCTGGCCGATACTCGCATTCTGACCCGACTTCGTCTCCTTGTAGTTGACAATCAATGCCAGCGTCTCCTGATCCGGGCCCATAAGGTCGATGACGCGCTCAAGCATGAAGACCAAGTGTTGGATCTGACGGTCGCTCGTTTCCGTGTTCTGGTTCGATGGCAAGAGGTACAGACATGGACGCCCGTGAATGTCATACCCCAGAATGACCTGCTTGCCCGTCTCGTTCTCAACTGAAATGTAGTCGGCTGTGAGCTTTTCAACGCCGTACTCACGGCGCCAAGTGAGCGTGCGCTGGAGGCGCGCAATTGCTTCGGAGACATTCCATTTGGTTGCGCGCAGGTACCGCAACAGACATTCGCGGGTCAAGAACATGCGCTCATTGTCGGTAATGGGTTCGGTGGGAGAATTCTTAGCGGACGTTGTCGGAACAGTGGTCCATTCCGACACAGCCTTCAGGACATCCTTGTATTTTGCTTGTTGGTCGGAGGTGAGCTCTGCCGGGGGTGTCGGCTTGGCCGATTCAAGGGGGCGGGGGAAAGGCTTCTGGATAAGGCCGTCGGCGGCGGACAATGGCAACTGAGACTCAAACTCGTCGATTTCCTTGGCTTGCTCGGTGGATTCTGCGGGTTTAGTGGTAGTCTCAGGGGTAGCTGCGATCTCAGCAGGATTCGAAGGTGATGGGTCAGAAGGGGTGGTCTGTGAGGTGTCGACAGCAGGCGCAGGGGCCGGAGAATCTGAGGGAGCGCTCATGATGAAGCAGCTTGCGTTGGATCTAGTGTAGATGGATCGTGTGTATATGTGTAAGTGTATGTCTTGTCTGAGAAGCACCAACTTTATAAACCGCGAGACATCAGCGAATATATTAAAGGGGGAGAACGGCAAGCAGCTTCCCGGGTGTCCTTTTTCACGCCGTAAGATTGAGCAGGGCGGAGTGTTGATCGGCAGGCCCACCGATCGTCAGCTGCAAACCTCCGATGGATTAATCAATTGCAGTCGAAAATACGTGGTTCCCGCGGGTCGTGCTGCTGTCTCGTTTGGGTAGGCGGTCGCAGTAACCAATTTGCGCGTCTCACGCGTCGCGCGTCATTGCAGTTCCGATAGCAGAGCCATATTGGTTTACTATCCAACATCTCATTAAGCCAGGGTTAACCAACATGGAGGACTCTGTCGCAGAGCTCAATGAGCTCTTTGCTGCCGCTGCTCCGGATGGGCTACCCAAGGATGTCCTCACGGAGTTGCAGTCAATCCTGCGCATCCACTCCATCTCCGCGCAAGAGCTCTTCTACAAATGGGAGTCCTACTGTCTGAAAATGGGCCCGGATGAGCTGAAGATGGACCTGGGATCCGTACGACTGTTCAAGAAAGATGTGCAGGATACATTGGAGCGAGAAGCCCGCGGCAAAGCAGGCAGACAGATGGAGAGGAAACCAGCAGTGCCGGCGACCCCGCGCGCTGCTACGTCGGATGTTTTTGGCATGTACGTTGAGTATCAATGGATTGATGGACGAAAACTAATGATCCAGGCTTGACGGATTAACACCAGGTGCTTCTGGTCGGAGCAATGCCGGTTCAGCTAAGCGGAAATCCGACTTTGCTTCGCCATCAATCTCAAAGATCGGGAGAACCGACCACAATGGGTCTCCGATGAGTACTAATGTGAAGCAGACAAACGGTGATGGACTACAGTACGTGCGACAATCACCTTGGAAGATTGCAACTGACCAAACAGATCCATTCCATTCTCCCAGCGCCAGAATGCAGGCGAAACGATCGAAACCATCAACTCTCATCTCCCACAAGCAGAGGCTCCTATCGCGCCATACTCCGAAGCCCGCATACGACCGACGGCAAACACAGACCTGAAGAAGTTCGGATACAAGCCCATGGCCATGCGACTGGCCGAAGCATCGGAGATCCTGGACGACCGCATTGATGAATTCATGGCATTGTTTGAGAAACAGTACGGCAGCGACGAGATCACATTCGGCAGCGCCGCCACTCAGAGCACCAGCGAGATCGTGGCCGTCGGCCGCATCGCATCCGATAGTATGGAAGGGAAGCTCAACGCGGCATCACTCGTGCTCGAGACATCAAGACGCACAGGAGCAGGCATCCGGGTTCCATTGAAACTCGAATCCGTGCCCTCAGCCAACTTCTTCCCGGGCCAGATCGTGGCGCTGCGCGGCATTAATGCGTCCGGTAACTACTTTTCCGTCAAAGAGGTCCTCCCCACCCCCCTTCTCCCCCCGGCCGCCTCATCAGTCGTCAACCTCGAAACCATCAACCAGAGACTCGAAGACGCCGGACCAGCGCCCTTGAACATCCTCGTCGCAGCCGGCCCGTACACAGCAGATGATAATCTCGACTACGAGCCACTGAAAGAAATTTGCCGCAAGGCAGCAGACAGCTACGCGGACGGTCTCGTCCTGCTGGGACCGTTCCTGGACATCGAGCATCCCCTGCTGGCCTCGGGGGATTTCGACCTGCCGGAGATCAACGGCGTGGACCCGGACACGGTGACGCTGACGACGGTATTCCGGCACTGCATCTCAGCTCCGCTACAGCGACTCGTGGCGGCCGTGCCCAGCGTCACAATCGTGCTGGTCCCGTCAGTGCGCGACGCAGTCAGCAAACACGTCTCATGGCCGCAGGAGCAGCTACCCAAGAAGGAGCTGGGACTGCCGAAGCAGGTGCGCATGGTGTCGAACCCGGTGACGCTGTCGCTGAACGAGACGGTGATTGGGATGTGCTCGCACGATGTGCTGTACGAGCTGCGGCGCGAGGAGGTACTTCACGGCAAGCCGACGGAGGGAAACCTCCTGACGAGACTGCCAAAGTACATGATCGAGCAGCGACACTTCCAGCCAATGTTCCCGACATCAAGCAGAGATATGCTGCCACGAGCGGGGACCGGCCTTGCAACAGGGGGGATGGTAGATGTGAGCTATTCGAAGCTGGGCGAGTGGTGGAATGTACGGCCGGACGTGTTGATAACGCCGAGTATGCTGCCGCCGTTTGTCAAGGTAACCACCACACTCAGTGATCTGTATTCTGTATGATGAATGCTAACAACTACACAGGTAGTAGACAGCGTAACGGTGATCAACCCCGGCACACTCTCCAAGCGCCGCGGCGCAGGCACATACGCACAGATGGCGATCCAGCCACGACGGATAGAAGACGAAGAGAGAGAACAGAAGCAGGTCAGCCATAAATTGTATGAACGGGCCCGGGTAGACATAATACGGATATAGCGCAGCAGCAGTATACATGATAATGATGATTCCACGAAAGGACTCCATACCCATCCATATCCACATAAGCATAAAGCATAAACGCAGGGTATAATAGCCTAGCCTAGCCTAGCCAAGCCATAAAAATCACCACAACGCCATCTTTCCCTTTCATCCCCAACCCTAGAAAAACATTTGAAATGGATCGAAATCACCTCAAACAAACCACCCTCCTCCTCCCACCCATCAACCTCCCCTCCCCTCTAACCCTCACCTTCGCCCCTCCCCCTTCCCCAACCCCAATCCCCCCTCCAGTACCACTCCCACTAACCAACCCCTCCAGCCCCAAATCCCTCCACGCACCCTCCCCCCTACGTCCNTGAAGCGCCATGGCCCTGGCAATCCCAAACGCGGCATGCTGGTCCGGCACAACATCGTCCTCGTCTTCCGGGTTAGGCGGCTGATACTGCGGCGGGATGTAGATGTCTTCGATAGGGAGGAAGGAGGGTGTCAGGGTGGGCGAGGTAGTTGCGCCGTTGGTCATTGTTTGGTTGTTTGTGGCGGATGTGTAGGGGTTGTTGCTGGTGGAGGTGGTGGTGTGGTGTGGACGCGTGAAGTCTTCGAAGTAGTCTGCTAGCCGCGGGTGGTGCATGTGGATGTGTGTGGGGGTGGAGTCTTTGCTCTATTATTTTTTTTATTTCATGTTAGTATAGGGGAGGAGGATGAAGAGGTGGTGGTGGTGGTGGTGAGGGGATGAGATGGGGATGGGATGGAGGGGAGGTACCATTTTGAATGCAGAACGCGGATTAGAGTTGGAGTGGAGGTGAGGTAGTGTGTAGTGGTATGTTTAGTGTATGGTTGAGTATTATTATTGTGGACTGAATTGAGACGTGATGTGTTGGTAGTTGGTTGTTGTGTTTGTGACGAGTGTTGGTGTTGAAGTTGTTGCGATGAGTTTACGGAATGGAAGTCCGGTGTGAAATCACCGCTTTCACCAGCTACGGAGTACATCCAGTCACCAGAGAAACCATGTTGCTAACCCATTATCTAACTACCGTAACTAAAAACCTACATATTCGTACTCATCCGATGCACTATAGGTACTGCACTCGGCGGCAGACTGCCCATCTCCGTCACCACCATATCCACATACTCCGCCGGCGTCACATCGTACATGATATTCAGCAGCTGCAGATTCGCCGACTCCTTCCAATCCTCCAGCGGCGACGACTTGCTCTGTGCCGCCGTGCTCGTCTCCACCGGCGCACTGCTGGCCTTGCCGCCCTTCTTGGGCTCTACGGCCGGCTGCGCTGCGGGATCCGGCAACCCGGTCACCTGCTGAACTGGCTCGACCGTAACCAGCTCATCGGCGTCCGCGATCTCGTTGACGACGATACTGTCCAGCGCGACGCGGTCTGTGAACTTGACTGTCTCGCAGCATACGATGACGGGAACCTCGACGCCGCCGGCGCGCTCCTTGGCTGACATGGCGACCAGCGCGGTGCCGACGCGCGAGTACAGGCGACCGTTGCTGGTCATGGCGTGGGCGCCCAGGAACACTTTAGTGGCGTCTTTGATGGCGTGGCTGATGCCGTTCATGAGGGAATATTGCACGTCCAGACCGGCGTTGGCGAGCGTGCGCGCCAGGTTCTTACCCTCGAACAGGGGTCGCGAGTCGATGATGGAAACGCGGAATTGCTTGCCCTCCTTGTGTGCTGCCAACAGCGTCTGCTTCACGATCGAGCTGCCCGCAAATGTGACGATCACATCTCCATCCTGAATCTTCTGTGCTGCGCTGCCGGCAATGACCTGGTCGGCGACGGTGATCTTCTCACGGATGAAACTGTCGATGAAATCGCACAGCGAGGCCTTGGCGGTGGCTTCGGGGACAGACGGATCAATGGAGGAGATGGCGAGCTTAAGGGCGCGAATAGCGTTACCCTGACTGATAGACAAGGGACGACATGTAGAGAGGTAGGTAATCTGGTGCGAGAGGTGAGTAGTCAAGTGGCGGGCGAGAGAGGTTCCCAAGGGGGTAGTATAAGCTTCGATAACCTGACAAACGTTAACACATCCTGAGCCCCACAGCATATCAGTAGAATAAAGACATACCCTCTTGAAAGCCAACAAAGTAGCAACACATCTGGCACTACTACCACAAACCACATAATCTCTCATCTGCATGCCCAGCGCCAAAACCGCCGGATGAACTTCTTTTCCAGCGCCAGCAATCGTAGTCCTGCGCTGCTGACCATACAGATGTCCAAAGACCGAGACATTCTTCTCTTCCTGCTTCTTCTTCAACTCCGCCGCCCCCAGCTGGCCGGTCGCCTGCGCCGAACCCCGGCGAGGCAACTGTTTCTGATGACCACCCTTCTGAGGCGTCGCAGCACCAGAAGCATCCTTTCCACCAGCCCCGGCACCACCAGGACCCGACGCGCCCTTCTTACCACCAGCAGCTGACTGACCCCCACCGGGCGCAGCAGCACCACCACCGGACTGTTCACGTTCGGCGCGTTCGCGAGCGCGACGGGCGGCCTTTTCAGCTTTGGCTTTCTTCTTCAATTCGGCGGGGGAGAGCGCGGCACCATCTCCACCAGCGGCGGCAGTATCCTTCCCTTTGGATTGTGATTGTTGCTGTTGTGATTGTTGCTTGGCGGGCTGTGATTGCTGCGGTTTAGCGGGCTTAGCGGAGGCGTTGGCGCCGGCGGCAGCAGCGGCAGCGCCTGGGGATGATGAGGATTGCTGGGATTGCATTTCAGCCGGGGGTTGTGAGGAGTCAACGGGGGTCGCCATTATGAGAGGAAATGTGTAGTAGGAGGACGGAGGGGGAGAATCGAGGCGATCGGGAGGGGCATTGGAGACTTTTTCGGCGGAGGAGGAAGTGGAAGAAGAAGTGGATGTTGTGGGGGGAGCCGGCGATGAAACCCGTTCCCGTCGTTGACTCACGCTTTGCTGCTGCTGCTTCACATAAGCTGCTGTCACCACCACTAAAACACCCAAGTATTGCACCACGGTGCTTCCCAGCATAAGGAGCTTCTCTAGGAGTAGCATTCCACTGTGTTACTTTACTTCACTAGTAAAGAACTTTGTGGTGGTTGGGAGGGGCGTCATGGGGGGTTGCTGAGACCGGATCTCACCGTCGTTGACTAGGAATTGCTGTACCAGACGATATTCTATTTATCTATAACTGACACCATCATGTACCAATGTATACTAACTATAGCATGTACCTGAGTTAGAGCTGGGCAGACAAACGATCAAGCCACAGCCGATGTGCATCCACTAATCACAAGGTTTCATGGTATTCGGGCATCAAGCATCCTTGTCATCCTACCATACAATCATGTCATCGTGCCAGAAAAGTAAAAGCTAAAGGCCAGAGAAAAAAAAGAAAGCAGCAAAGATATCATCGCAGCGAGACCCAGTTCAAATCAAACCAGCGTCTCCAATTATGTGCATCCAAGTCAATTCATCAATCCATCCAACGCCATAATCACAAAGCCACCCACGCTACCCAGTCCAGTCCCATCCCATTCTATTCTCGAAATTGTCCATTTATCGATTGTTGGCCCAAACATCGCCCAGCGCTCGTCGTCGCTTCCGCCCTTCAGGCTTCCAGCTGGGTCGGAATCGCTCGTGGTCTGTGGCTAACTTGCGCTTGAACATGCTCAGGTCGTCCAGGAGATTCTCCATGTGCGTCTGCATTTCCTGCGCTTCGACATGGCTGGCTTCGCTCTGCATCGTGTCTTCGTCTTCCCAGATGAGGTCCGGCTCGGGTTCGGGCTCGACGTCAGACGGAGGCGATCGGGCACGGCTGAGCCGCTTGCGATTGGACGGAGAGCCATCGTTCTCATTCACACTGTATAGGCCACTCCGGCGCTTATGCACCACCACCGGAGGGATCGGGTTCCGGATACTGTCCAAGGCCAGCTTGAGGTGATTGCGCAGGGCCTCGTTCTCTGTCTGCAGCTGCCGGATCTTACACTCACTCACCATTTTCGTCTCCTCCATTAGTCGCTGAAGCTTCTCTACCTTCTGCTGATAATCTTCGAGGCGCTCGTTCTGCATCTCATTCTCCCGTCGGTTGGCTGCTGCCAGGCTGACACTCAGCTGGAGTGTGCGGATCGTTTCCGCCATCTCGGCGATCTGCTTATCGCGTTCGGCAGCGGAGAGATGGTCCTGATTAACGCGGGCGCGTGTGCGAATGCGCTTGGCTTGGTCTGCGTATCGTAGGGTGGAGAGCGTTTCCTCGTAGTCACTGGGGGAGATACATGCTATCATTGCCGTCTTCGAATTGCCCCCGAGACTATCCTTCAACAGCCAGGTCAAAATTGAATCGCGATACGGGACCACATCCTTGCCCTTGCGTTTGCCGCCTCGACCCGGTTTGGGATCTGCCAGTGCGGCAATGACTCGGCCTAGTGTTGTCAGGGACTTGTTGATATTGGACCCCTCGCGCAGTCGTTGACCGGTTGCTTCCGTGGACTTGGCTCGTTCTGAACCTGCCAGATCGACGAGACGTATTCGTGCCGTGCGTTCAGTGGTTTCATCGGTCGAAAGGTCGTGGTGGATCTGTTTCAGAGTAATAGTAAACACTGCGTGTGATCGGGACGACGTATCATTCATCTTCGTGCTGGCCACAGTGCGCGATACGTCGCCCTTGCGCATGAATTTCATGAGTTCGTCGAAGCTCTTAACTGTCACCTCCGTCAGGTCCTTGACGTACGGGCCTTCCAACGGGGACTCCCGAATACGAAGGTAGTGCGGCGGGTCGCTCCGAGGGACGAGCAAATCGCGCACATGTTCATTGTAGACTTCAAAGTAGGAGACGCGCACGTTGAAACTGATATCCGGAGATTCGGCGCTCTCAATCCGTTGAAATAAATCTTCGCAGGTCCGAGGGATCAGTCCAGGCGCTTCCGGCGTGCCCATCATGGTGTAACTCTTGCCAGAACCCGTCTGGCCATAGGCGAATATGCAGGTGTGGTATCCTTCAAAGTTGTGATCCAGGAACTCTTCTCCCAAGCAATTATAGACGTCTTCTTGGTGAGCGTAATGAGGGTCTCTTTCGTTATGCGACCAGAAAGAGTTGTCAAAGACGAACGATTTATCCTCCAACACCTTTCCGCGCGCCTGCGATTTAGGCTTTCCTTCGTCTTCCGGGCTGATCTGGGGTGCTCGTAGCTTGGTCGTCTGCGTATGCGGATCCATGCTGATCAGACATTCGGCATTGCGGTTAATTTCTATGCTCCCAAGAATGGGATGACTGTCAGCTTCGCTTTCGTATACTCTTTACCGTTCAGCCAGACGTACCTCTGGGAAGGAACTTTCTCACTCGGACGACAACGCGCACGTTGCCGCCGCCGGAAGGACTCGACATGCTGTCGACTCGGTGGTGCGCAGACACGGCTACGCCCTCGCGTGCGCGCAGCGACGGACTGGACGCGGTTGATCGTAAGGTAGCGGCGGAGGCAGTCATCGAATGAGCCGAAGGACTGGTGATGCCGGTTATCGCAGAGACCCCGGATGACGAGGCGGAGGACTGGGAGCCAGGCCCGGAGCCGTGGCCGATATGGTGGTAGAAACGGGGGTCCAGGGCCATTTCGTGACCGTGATCCCTCAAGAACTGTACAAACTGAGTGAGGTGTTCACGATGGCGTTGAAGTAGGCAATGGTACATACAGGCAACTGTACCACCGAATGGTAGGGACCGAGAGGCGGGTTTTTCTTATCGAGGAGGGATTGATATTAAGGGTATGGGGGGTAGCGGTGGTGGCTGCTGGGTTAGTGGACCCAAGAATGGGCGTAGTGCTCGCCCTCGAAGGGGGGGAACTAGACAAGGAGGATATCCAGAATGTATATGCTTGCGCGGTGCGTCCGTCTGCAAGTTCAATTGACATCCGGCACTAGACAACAGAGCGATTCCACTCTCAACATGGGGTAAACAGCCGGGCAGTCGGGGGTTTCGGGAAAGCTCCTGCGATGGAAGGTGAAAGAGAGAAACATGCAGTGGTACGCAAGGGGATAGAAGACAGTACACACACACCCCCCTCTCAAAGAAGGCCCACGAGGAGATGCAGCGATCGAGGAGGGACCAGAAGCGACAACAGAGAACTGGGGGGTTAAGTCATGGGAGTTCAGATGAATGAATCGCATCGCCATGATCTCGTTTGGGGATTTCCCGATCGGGAATAGTATGGAGCCTGAGGCAGCGCATAGACCTTCTGGCAGCGGGTCGTTGCCATGGCAATTCTACGGACAGCCAGGGACACGAACTCACGATAAGGAAGACTTACTGCTGTGTCCGGAGAGACACAGACCGCCGAGGATGCAGGATGCAAGGATATGTCTCGATTGCATACAATCTGATTGTTTCTGTTGGCCCGGTGGTCAAGGAGTGTACCACCGGGAAATTACTAGCACTATCCACATTTACACATTGCATGCACTCATGTCTCAGCATCCACCGCTCTTGTCCTGCAAAGAGTGACTGACAGCATCGAACATTCCGCATGGTCTCATATCATATAGCCGCGTTGCCCCCTCTATGGACGCCTCCAGCGTCATTCTTCCCATCGGGCTTGACTTAGTCAAAGTCTTGATTGGCGGCGTCAAAAACATCTCCCTCGTCTGGACCTTGTCGTTTTTGGGTCATTTTAGGCCCATCGATATACGAGATGGCATCGGGTACTGGATTGCCGTTCTTATCCAACGTGGTCTCGAACATCTCCTCCGGGGTCCAGTTTTCGGTGGGATCCTTAGCCTTGGAGGAGGTACTTGGCGCAACCTTCTCCTTGGCGGCTTCCGCAAGGCGCGAGACGGGATTCGAACCTCTTGAGGTCATGGTGGTTGTATGTTTTCTGTAGAAAATCATTAGTTGATAATCTGGCTGAAACTGCTGCCCATCTCCATGGCAATCAAGTACATCTGCACTCCCAATCAAGGAAAAAAAACAGCAAGCGTACCAGATGGTAGTACAATTGCCAAAATGGAGTTCAGTTCAGATGGTTACATTCACATTAGCATACGATGAAACCAACGACTGAAGCGAACTGGGGCACGGGCCCGGCCTGATATATGGTCCAAATGTGGCGTTGATGATGGGATGATGACGATGGGACTCTCCGCATGATGGACTTTACTCACAGGCGGCTGTTGCTCCCAACCGCGACTCTCTGGTCTCGAAGCGTTATGATTGCTTGGTTTTGGCTGGGTGAAGTCATTATGAAGTTTAAGCGGTTCGCATCATTGGTTGAGCCTTCGTAAAAGCAAGGTAGGACCCATGGTAGGATGCATTATGGTTGCGTTGTGTTCGATTGTTGTTCTATGGGGTCCATGGTACATTAATTGGTCTCATTAAGACGCATTCCAATCATGGTGATTTGTGGAATGTTTGTATAGCCGATCTGTCCAACGTACCCGCGCGGGGTTGGATTCGACCCCACAGCCTGGGGTAAGCGACGACACAACAGTTGCACACTCCAAGTTGCTCCCACACCCATTCCGATGGTGGCTGGCATGCTGGTAATACTAGCGCAAATAATGTCTCTTAATTTGACGACATCCGAGCAATTGCTATTAATCAACCATCGCCAAGGCCAATTCTCCCATAATGGCTAAGCATATTGTGCCGATATCTCATGACTTGGGCGGAAGCCCGTCTTCTCATCAGCCATCGCACTCCACCCTTGAATTACTATTTTATAACTGCGTACTAACACCTTAATATGCTCTCAACCGTTACTAATGGGGCTGGGCCTTCTTCCTAGTAGGAGTGGGAGGAGTTGTAATTGGGGAATAACAGGTTAGTTGAGATTGGCTTTATCTGTATGCCTACAGGCTAGAGACAGAGCTTGAAACTTCATGATAGCTGTATGACCTTCCTCACATCAAACCCGCTGTCTGCTTTCGGATCACTCCCAGGCAACACATACCCCCGTTGATTGCTCACAACTCGTACCCCCTTCTCCTTGAAATCTGTATTATAATGAGTGTGCCCAAACACCCAGACTTTCACCCCGTCCGGAACCTCTGACAGGATATTAGTTCCAAAGGCAACACTCCAAGGACTCTGAGCGTGTTTGGGGTTCGATGTCCCCTGAAGCGAAGGCGCATGGTGTGTTACAACGAGAATTGACCGTCGTTTACTGTCTTTAGCCACTGTTCTATTCTCCGCATGTATCGAATGTACCTCCTTCATCAACCAGGAATAATCAGAACCATGGCGTGCATTATGGTCATCAACCGACCAGTCTGAAATTCTTTGAAAATCTTTCACTTTTGACTGGACAACTTCGGCCGTTCCTGGGGTACTTTTGACCAAAGCGTGCACCCAAGTATACTAACATTAGAACCTGGAACATCGTATCGTTTCTGATGGAGGACAATCAACCGTCCATCAAATGCAGGATCCTCTTCAAGTTGTTTTGCCATCTCTATTCCCGTATCAAACGTCTCATTATAGAACTCATGGTTCCCAAGTAAGAGAAACACTGATCTAAACCGGTCAGTCTGTTTCTGCAGAAAGTTGCGGTAATCATTATAGTCCGTTAAGCGTCCGATATCACCCGCGAGGATAAGATACTCTGCGCAAGCGGGAATTTCATAAGATGAGTATTGTTGGTTAACCTCCAGATGGAGGTCAGAGAGGATCTGGAATGATACAGAAGATCGATATGACGAAGACCATACTTTCCGAAGCATTGTGGTTACTTCATAACGAGTGAGCGGTTGGAGAAGGCGGAGCTACTCAAACAGGAAATTCCACTGGACGAAAATACATAATCACGTGATTATTGACAGTTATCGTAGTATATACTAGTGCAGCAAGTTGGACTAATATTCTGGAGTTGATGTTCAATTATAAATGTGGGTACTTATTAAGATTCTCTCTGTATGGGATGGAAATAAGTATATAATGACGGTGGGACTCTGAGCGTGTAGAATGAAGAGCGAATGACACGCTAGAGATGCTCCCTTGCTTTTCTTGTTCCTTCAAGTCGTCAACAAAGGGTACAAGTAATAGTGTCGGTTTTACATACTGTTGTTAGGGAAGTTCCACAATAGGTCATTAGTAGCTTTTCCGGGAAATACTTGTTTATGGACGCAATGACAGCAAGCGAAGAGCTGCGCCGTATTTATGCAGAATATCCGACAGCCTTTATGGCCTACGGCTTAATATAAATATGTAGGTTTTCCCCAATAATGACTAAACGCCTCTCTACTAACAACTAACTAACCATCTGGTAATATATAGTGGAGATCAGTATTTGTTGGACGTTCCATATCCCATATTAACGATATTTAGTTAAGTATCTGCTGAGAATTGTAGTAAGACGATACCGCTCTAGCATATACACCATGGTATACACCATAACGATATCTGAAGCCTAAAGACGTTTCCTATACCTCTAATATCCTCGTATGAGGGACCAACGTGGGGAGTAGTAATACGGTTCGGTGGCTTGCCAGGTACTTCTGGCCGTCGGCGTCGTTTCTCTCAGGGCTACTTTTACGCCAACAGCATATGACCCTCAAATGAGTGAATTGATAGTAGAGGTAGCCATAGTAAAGGTATGCGTAGATTGCAAGGACCAGCAAACTTTGTTTTCTACATGAAGCTTAGATCATGCATCATGTCCATAATCGTCAGCGGTATACTTGTGGTCCAAGATTTCCAGAGTAGTGTGGCTATCATTATAGCCCACCCAAAAAGTGCCAGGGTTTCCGAATTGGTCATAGAAAATAAATCGGTAATAAAAAAGAAAACCAAAAGTCCAATCAAAGTCATAATTCTGAAGATGCATATGAGTAAAGCATAGGGCGTTGCTTTCCTCATTCACGGTGATCTCAATAGGAGCCCCAGAAGCGCCCCCCACCCTTCGTGTTTCTTCTGGGCCCATCGGCCAATAGTAGAAAATATCGAATTCATTGCTGGCGGAGAAGAAGCAAGCCATGGCGTTTTCCAGGTAAGAATTCTCCACGCCCTGATCCGTGCGCAAATTATCGCCATTGACATCTGCTTTTCGGAGTGGGTATTTATTGGTGGTAAGATAATAGTTTGTACTAGACCATTTCTGCGAAGCCACGGTTTCGCCAGTGCCGGATGTAGTATCGCCTTTTCGAAGATTGATATCATCCAATTTGTACGTCACTACGTCCGTGCCCGTAAGTGTAGCTTTGGAATCATAGGGGTCACCCGCGGTATGGACAACAGTCCCATTGGGCTGTTTGATGCTCGCGGCGACTCTCTTGTTCTCCACCTTTGTTGTCGTAACCCAGTAGCGCTTCTTTTGGGAACCCCCATCTGTTAGAGATAGGTCAGGCTGGAGGGCCTTTTTGGATGATGGCAGCGAGTGGTCGAACTCGTTTTCTGTGGTAGAATAGCTCCACGATCCCGAAAGTTCCGTGGGAGGGTCGTCATAGTCGATGAGTTTGATTGTCTCGAGGTCCGATTCACTCAATTGATAGGAAGTGTTTGTATCTGGATCAATAGTCTTGATAACAACAACCACAGGAACTTGCATGTTGCCATTGGCGTAAAGACCATCACTTGTAGCGCTGGGCGTGGTGGTCTGAACTTCGAGCGAGGTAACCTCCCAGGAGACGGAAGTTGAACCCATGATGAGGAAGAGATGAATGATAACTGATCTGAATGATGTGGGTAGCAAAGACCTCTGAGCAGACAGTGATTTAAGGGGTTATTATAGATTTCTAAAACGTAGACAGCAATAGCAGATGCCCATCATGTCAGTTGTATCACTCCGATATCAGCTCTGGATCACACAGGTCCTTCGGGATTTGGTTAATTGAGGAGACCGAACCCTCTTCTTTGAATCCACCCCATCTTACGAGATCCTCCGGGGGCTTTTGACCAATGGAAATCCTGCCTCATCGATCGTTGGCCACATGAAGGTTACAATGCATGTGTAGTGCTATATAGAATGAGCTTTCAGCTCACTCCATAGTGGGTCAGCCAAGTCAAAACGGGTTCGAGCATTTGTCTAGGATAGTGCATAGATAGTACTGACATGGTACTTCCCCTCAGCGGGTTCAGCTGCGCCCTGGATGCATATGCATGCTGATTGCTGGGCTTTGCCACACTCCTGCAGCCTGCTTGATCGAGGAGCGTTTAATCTATTGTCAACGGCGAGCGGAACCTATCAGTCGGAGTCTGGGCCCTGATTTCAACGACGATCTCTAAATGAAGTCACCTTCAGGATCGATTCCAATCCTATCCATGAAGAGTAACAAAGTACTGAGCTAGTACTGAACCACCACCAGAGCCACTGCATACCTTCTTTGTTGGCATTAGTGATGGTCTGCGCAGAGTGTCCTCTTCACTAGTGCTTCCGCTAGCAGGGGTCTGTAACACTACCCATCTACTAGACTAACACCGCGGCAAAATGCTACGATTCATCTGCGACTGGCATCAAGCTGATTCTACCTAGTGATTAGTCGAACTGCTCGAAGATCTCTTGCCACCACAGCACCACCAGCAGGGTGGGGTGGGCTTGCCATGACCCAGCAGGCATTCCTTCAGGACTACACACCCCCCTCCCCCGAGTCATTCTTTCCACTGAATATAGACCAAATGAATCAATAAAATTTTTATTAAGGGATCACCGTACCCGGGATTTGATTGTTTTTAAGGTTACGGCAATCTGCGGTAACTTTAGGAGAGATGCAGTGGCTCGTGCCATGCGACGCGGGGCCAAGCGATCGATGAGGCCCTATGGCTACTTCCTACGAAAATCGGGTGCGCCTTGACGCGTCTTCCACCTTCCATAAGCGATAGAAGAGCGGATTCATTCAATGTAACATTAATATGATAACTACATTCCTAGTATTGCCCAGACTCGCTTCATAACCCCTCATACTACTAGTATCCAATACTAATCCGCCTCGGGATCCATCATCTCGGAATATATTCCCGAGCTGAGATTTCAGCTGGCAAAATCGAACAATGTGAACAACTACTAGTGGCCATCAGCTGGTCTTTTTAGCAGTTGCAGCACTGCAATAGTACTGCAGCATCTCGGAGAGTCCGACAGACATGTAATCATACTGTATTGCAATTGGGAGTCTGGGACTTCAGTATGTACGGGGTCGTAATCAATGCATGCTATATTGCCACCATCATGGTGTCAAGCACGATCCGAGTGAGGCCTACTTGACGTGCTGGGCCAACTTGAAGCGGCAACAGTATTTCGCAGACGGACGAATGCTCATCATCATGTTCCACCAGTAAGACATGCATGTGTAGTGTCGAGACCTGCGTTTACGGGTTGGAGGTGACGAAGAAAACATCGATTGCTACACCAACAATTCAGTCATCGTGCTCCTGCCCCTCTTTGCAAATAGATTAGAAGCATGTAGTCATTTATAAGTGTGCATTTAGTATATATAGGGAGTTGGATATGGCTCAAAGATCCAGCTTCAACTGCCCTTGTTCACAATCCTTCCGTTGCAAGAATCACAGTTTTATTGGATATCAGAAAACTGCCCATCATGTCTTCCAACCCAAGTGATCTTTACTCCCAAAGCTTCAATTTCCAAAGTTTTCTGCAGAAGGGAGTCGATCCTCGTACTGGACAATACACCGTCAGCATTAAACTCTTTGATGCACCATCTGAGACTCGCAACTGCCCGTCATTCAATCTATCGCTGAGTTACAATCCGCTCAACACCAAAGATATCGGTCTGGGCACTGGCTGGTCCTTTAATCTGCCCTCTTACGACCATCGCCAAGGCAAGACTTTGTTGCTCTCGACGGGAGAAAACTTCCAAGCAACTGAGACGACCAGTGCATTTTTCATTCAGGACCAGAAGCTCAAGAGCTTCCAGGCAAAAAGAACAGGATCATCGGCGGGATCTACTTATGAAGTGGCGTACAAATCAGGCCAGGTAGAGATTCTCTCTGGTTTTAACAATACCTACAACCAATCCGTTCCGATCACCATTTACGGCGCAAACGGTCGTCCACTCAGTCTGGAATGGACTCGCAACGGTGAACAGCCACGACTGAGCAAGATCCAGGATGGTGATGACGTTCTGCTGGATATTCAGTATTCCGATATGCAGGTGACCATCACCAAGGCCCCAGGAACAACCGCTGCCAGCACCTTCACCCTTATCCGCCGTAATGCGCAGCTAACCCAGGTTAAACTGCCACTGAATGACGACACGCCCCCGTGGCGGTTTTCCTACAACTCTCTCAGCAACGGATTTGTGTGCGTGTCACAAGTGACAAGCCCTACTGGTTTAGTTGAAGAGGTCAATTACAAACAAGATGGTCACCAGCTGCCCTCTGGAGCGCCTTATGCGAGGATTCCATACGTAGTGTCTCACGTGGCGCGTCCGGGGCGTCAGCAGCCTGCCATAAAAACAACTTACAGCTACTCCTCATATAACTTCCTGGGCTATGGAGGGGCACGGCAGTGGAGCAGTACCGGTGATAATCTGTATCAGGTGCCTGCGGAATACCAGTACACATCCACGGCGCAGCTTGAGGGTGGAACCACCACAACCTATACGTACAACAAGTTCCACCTGACCACCAAGATCGAGGAACAGCTGAACACGAAAAAGACCACGCAAGATATCACGTATCATACTACTCCAAATACAGCGTTTGATGATCAGCCTGCGCAATACCTGTTACCAAAAACGGTGGCAATCACCTATGCGGACACAAAAGCCTCCAGTCGGACAGAAACAACAACAACTGAATTTGACGAATGGGGCAACCCAACCACAGAGATCAAGCCGGGTGGTCTGATTACCACTCGCACATATCATGCCCCAGACGGAGAGGCAGACTGCCCGGCTGACCCTCATGGTTTCCAACGTTATCTGAAAACAGAAACAGTGACCCCGGCAGAGTCTTCCTTTACTGCACCGACCAGAACAGAGAAGTTTAGTTATTTGGAGCTCCCTACTTCGAGCAATGCGACTGTGCAGACAGTTGTCGTGCCATCATCACGCGTCACCCTCGAGGGGGACACGTCGCTGACCACTGCCGAATATACGTATGTCAACCAGCCAGACTCACGCGATCATGGACGCGTCCAGCAACAGAAAACATGGTTATCGTCGAAAGATAGCGCCACGACACAGACATATGCTTATGAGTATCTCAATAGCGATGAACTGAAAAAGATACTCAATACGGTCGGCTTTGATGGCGTTTCGGCCAAGTTTGAGACTGTCCATTCCTTGTCGTCTGGGCAGGTTACTGGGCAGACAGATGATGCGGGTATCCAGGATGTCTTCCAATATGATGCATTGGGTCGATTGGTGAAAGCCGCAACAGCGATTGATACCGAACAGGAAGCGGTCCGCTACAACAGTTACGCCATTCCTGACGACGGCAATAGTGGCATGGTGCTGTCAGTGACCGATGCCAAAGGTGTTCAAACACAATACATTTCCGACGGCCTGGAGAGAATCTGCCAAGTGAAGAGGCAGGATGATGATGGCTCGTGGGATGCATCTACCAACACATATTCCGGCACTTTTCGCTCACTGCAGGAGCATACTTACAATGCTGTGGGCCAGAATGTTGAACAAATTGACATTGACTGGCTGCGTACCAAAGAAGGCGATCCAACGGAACTACGAACGATTAAGAAACTAGAGTATGATAACTGGGGTCAGGTCCTGAAGACGATAGACAACAGCACCGGCGTCACGACGATTTCAGAGACGGATCCTATCAGCCTGAGCCAAACAGAAGGAATCGAAGGCGAAGGTCAAACCGTGACGCAGCTCAATCTGTCCGGCGTGCCTACTCAAATCCGCCTTCTGGGTAAAGATGGAACTGAGTACAGCAAGCTTACATACAACTATGATGGTCTTGGACGACTGGTTGAAGAAGAGGATGCCTTGGGTCGCAAGACAAAATACCAATCTGATTCGTTTGACCGAGTCACCAAGACCACCTGGGCGAGCGGCCGGGAAGTCAACGTCCAGTATGCCACCCAAAGCGCGGCAGCCCTCCCGACCTCACTCCAAGTCAACGACACAAGCCTTGGTGGGCAGTCTTTCGACGGATTGGACCGATTGACGCGGCGAACAGTCGGTGGACGCAGTTTGAAGCAATCCTATCAGGGTAGCACCCCAGAGCCAATTCAGATTGCCACGGACAAGGGCGACTTCAAACTTACATACGAGCCGGGTTTGCGCCAGTCGCTGTCCACAGTCAGTGGCCAGGACAGAAATGAGACATACAAGTATGACTCCAAGACGGGCGTTGCATTACAGCTCAAAGGCTCATCCAGCACTGCGGATCGTCAGTACTTCCCGTCAGGCCTACTAAAAAGTGAAGCGCTCGATCTCAGCGAAGGTACCGCGTCCTTTGCGACACAGTCGACATACTCGATGGCCGGGAAGCTGCAAGGATATACCGACGTCCATGGCAAGGAATACCAAAACATATATGATAGTGCTGGCCGTCTGAGTTCCTTGACTATAGGATCCCTCACGGTCTCTTATTCCTACGACAGCGCCAACCGTCTGTGTGGCACTACTGTTCAAGACAAAGAACATGACTCCAACCTGACCACCAGCCTTATCTACGATGATTTCGGTCGAGAAATCGAGCGCACCGTTTTGCAAGGGGACAAGCAGGTGTCTAAACTGATCCAATCCTACGGCAAAACAAGTCTTATCACCACGCGGCAATTGGAAGTTGATGGGAAGACTGTACGAAACGAATCGTTTTCCTATGATGAGCACAACCGTTTGGTCAAGTACAAATGTGAGGGAAGCCAACCTCCTAAGGATGAAAAGGGACATGAGATACAAACGCAGGAATTCACCTTCGATAACCTCGATAACATAACATCTGTCACAACTGGTTTCCAAGATGGTACCCAAAATACGGCGACTTACTCATACAGCAAGAATGATCCGACCCAGCTCAGTCAAATTGCAAACAGCCATCCTGATTTTACATCTCAAATCACCCTGGAATATGATTCCAATGGATGTCTCACCCAAGACGAGCAAGGTCGTACCTTGGAATACGACAGCGGCGGCCGCCTGGAGTCAGTCAAAGATAGCAGTGGCAACCTTCTCAGTCAATACAGCTACGATGCAGCTGGCAGATTAATTTCCCAGTCAATCCCCGACCAGCCAGATACCCAGCTGTTCTACCGACAAGACAAGCTTATAAGTGTCAAGTCCGGAGACCGCCAAGTGAGCTATATCTCTGCTGGCAATGAATACTTGGGGCAGAGTACCCAGAGCGGTGATTCTATCGAGATTCAACTCTGGGGATCAGACGCCAATGGCTCTGTGCTCAACTGGTTCAACACAGCACAACCAGACCAGATCCACCAACAGCAGTACACACCTTACGGCTTCGGTGCCCCTGATTCAGCCTCCTCCATAGGGTTTAATGGCCAGTGGCGTGATCCAGTCACAGGATGGTACCACTTGGGTAACGGATACCGAGTCTACAACCCCGTCTTAATGCGCTACCATGTCCCCGACCCCGGCAGCCCGTTCGGCACGGGTGAAGTCAACGCTTATGCTTACTGTCTGGGAGACCCAATCAACCGCGTCGACCCTAGCGGCCAGTGGAGCTTCTTCGGACTCTTCAGCTTCAGCTGGAAAGATGTGATTACTACCGTAGCCAGCGTTGTTGTGAGCGTTGCAGTCGGCGTTCTCACAGCCGGGGCAAGTGTGGCCATCGAGATCGGCGTGGGAATCGCAGCCGGAGTGGCGACCAGCGTCGCAGCCGGAGCGGTAGGAGATTTAGTCGAAGGGCGACTGCCCACCTGGAAGTCCGTTGGAATCGACGCCCTTAGCGGATTGATCGGTGGTGTGCTCGGGGAAGCTGGTGGCCGGGCTATAGCTTCTGGACTCAAATTCGCGACCAACTTCAAGAGCTTCATCGGACGAGCTGGCTCATATACGGTCAATGAGGTTACAAAGACGGGATTCAAGACAACTCTCAAGGAAAGTATCAAAGGGGCCGTGGAAGGTGAAATCGCCGGTCAGATTTCAAATGGTTTCTACGGTGATGCACTCTACAACGCGTTGCAAGGCGACGACTCTTCGACGCCCCAGCAGGCCACGAGCTCCTCACCGGTAGCTAGTTCGCCGTCGTCATCCCAGCGATCTCAGAAGGGCCAGGTGGCCGTGGTCCGAGAGGCGTCGCTGGCCAGAGATCCCATCAGACTTTCTCTGCGGGATGGTCAATCCACCGTTTCTAATCGGGACCGGGGATTCGGTAAAGAAGCCGGCAAGTCCATTCCGAACATCTTGAACCGCCAGCTGAAGTGCACGTTTGGGCCTGTTGGCGCATCGCAGGGCAAGCGGCAAGCGACGGGAAGTGGTGCGCTCGAATCATTGGAGAAGAAGAGGAGATTGTGTGCGTCGGTGAGAAGTCAGATTCGGGCTCAGGGTGCCTAATTGAGGAGATGGTATGAACTCTTGCTCTGAAGGAGAAGTTTGATGGATAGAAGATGAGTTGGCATTAGATGGTGTTTCTTACTTTTCCTAATTCTTCTTTCCCCTTTCAGTGTGAGCAAGTTCAAACAGCAATGTCATTCTAGTCTATCTAGCAACTATATACTATCACAATCTGAGAGATTCCTCCATAATTAGTAAGTGCGGCTGTAGTCAATCTAATAATGCCGTGACAGAATCAATGATGGTCTATGGCGCATGCAATCTGAAATGCTAGAGATAATCAATAATGAAAGTGTGTAAGAGAGTAAGAGAGTAAAAGAAAGCGGAAGAGTGTGTATGTATGAAAGAGTGTGAGTAATCGGGAAAAAAAGAGGAGTAGGGAGACATTAGTGAGGAAGGAGATATACATCCATTCCCTTATTTGACAATCTCAAATCGCTGGGAAAGGCTGTAGGTCTTCTGGAGGTATCCGGTGCAGCATGTTTACTACCCCCACCGGTGCGTGAGGCCCATCAGGATTGCGTGGATTCTCAAGACAGATACTCCACCGCATGAACAAAGATGTCCCGAGCTGGATTCTCCAGTACACCCGAAACAGATATTCGTGAGCGCCCTGCTGACCATGCTCCAAGCTCATCTCTGAGTCACGAGCAGGATCGGTGATCGGGTGCAAGGCAAGGCGGTGTGCTAGTTAGAATGAGGTGTTAGTCACACAGAGAGACTCAACGAAGGGAGTCAGGGCAAAGGAAACTAACTCTGTGCTTGCCGTATGCTACAAACTCTCACATATTGCTCTGGTGCAGTGACCAAGAACCGCATGCGGACCGGGAAGTCGTCCTGTGACGGGACAAGCCCCTTCGAAGAGCAAGCGGATTAGCGGAAGTTTTCTAACAAAGCAGTTGTTTGGGAAAGTCTAGACAACTCACTGGTTGGATAATTACATGAGCTACAGATTGTTCTCGTAGCTCATTGCCAATCCGTACAACAAAAGGAACCACGACTTGGATGGTGGTGTTGCTCTGGAAGCCGCGCACTCCCTGCAACCTGGTCGCATACAGTGCCGCACCCCGTGAAACTGCCTGCACACTGCCAGAGAAGTCAGAACCATACAGTTCATCGAATACAAGAGGTCGCGAGCGAAGACAGCCTACCTGTGTTGCAGTTCCCCAAGTAACCTGGGTCCGGTATTCTGGTAGGCGCGTGTGAGATCTCGTTCAACCCGACGGCGCAGGTAGGCCGACTTGCCCAGCCCACCCGCCAGAATGATCTTCGTAATTCTGGCATCCATTGGGGCGGCGATTCGTGCGTGTATGGCCCGAAGTATGCCTTGCACAGTCGGTGCGAAGGCACGGACCAGGTCATTGTGATAGAAACGATGGTCTATCATGAGGCGTCGCTGCAGCTGAATCCGAATTGCGTGCACCTCAGTCCCGGTCATGCCTGAAAATTGTTCCTTCACAGAGCTGATATCCTGCCGAGCCTGAGCAGCGCCTACCCACTGTCTGGAGTTCCGAGGTAGGTCCGGGTGGGCAGTCCGGAGCTGCTGCACCAGTTCCAAGTCCACATCAAATCCTCCGCATCGAATGCCTGAGACGGATTAGCTCCCCATATACAGGCCCCAGTCTTCGGCAACTCGGGGGTACCCACTGGTAGGATCTCCCAGGCGTTGGAAGGTGAAAGGGCGGTTTTCATTGTTGCCATTCACTCGTAAAACGGAAATGTCCTAATCGAGTGTCAGCTGGATGGTACAATTAATGACCTTGGCCTGGATAAGCCTTACAGTTGTGGAACCGCCGCAGTCACACACAAGAAGTATGTCACCATCCTAGTTATCCGACCTTGTTAGTTTCACGCCCACCCAAAGGATTCTTGCTGGCTGCTGCTGCTCACCTGCATGCCATTTCCGTTCCTGTACTCATCAGCAGCCCCTTCAGCCGCAGCTACAGCTTCAGAGACATAGGTAATGCGATGGTTGTTCCCAAACCATCCAACGCTCTCAACTGCGGACCGAAACTCCAAACGGCCGCGGTCTGACCAGCAATCTGGCTCGGTGAAACACCAGTGGACTTGCAGTCCGCGCTCTCTAAGGTCCATCCACAGCCTATCCCGCAAGTCTCGGAGAAAGTCACTGATAATTTTTCCGGTGCCAATGTTGTTTAGTTCCACGGTGCCGCCGAGGATGTCTCTCAGGTTCTGGTGTTGTGTGACCATATCTGGGGACCCATCCAGCATGAGTTTTACCCAAACGTACGGTTCTCTGCCACGGGAAGCCGCTGCCCCCCTCCCCCACATGAACTGGCCATTGCTGTTGTACTTGAATATCGAAGGAATTATGCCGTCATTGGCGCCACGAGTGGCCCATGTGGTCAAGATGCCTAGAGTGGTAAGGATGGTTATAACTGTAAAGTATGTTTGCGTTAGCAGGAAAGAGAGAGAGAGAGAGAAAGTAAGCAAGAAAAAGAGTAAGAAAGAGAAAGAAAGAAGAGAGAAAGAAATTAACCAAGAAACCAAAGGGAAGAAGCAACTTACTTGTTTTATATCCCCCAAAGTCTACGGCAATGAAGACTTGATTCTGTACCATGGTGGACAGAGGCGGGGCAATGAATTTGGAGGATTGATGAGATGAGTGACGCTATTGGAAGAATAAGGAATGTATTCAAGACTAGCTGAATATATATGCAGTGGAAACTGATGATAAAACTAGTATGAAAATGAGGAAATCAAAAGAGAAGTGCGACCAACTGGCTCTATTTATGTTTGTCGATATTCTACTTCAAAGTTACTACTACTCCTATTACACATGGGTTACAATCCATGGTGCTATAATTGAACAGCACCAGAATGGTGTCCAGTTCGCACGTTCATCTCATGACCTGGCCATGTCTCTCTCTGTCACTCTCACACTCACGCCGGTTCCTCCCCCTGTCTTAAATGATCTCCCAGTCAATTGCATGGCGACCGACAAGGTTTGTTGCGGCTGAAACCCTCACGCGGGCTAGAATTGCGGATGGGTTGACGCCTCACATCACACAAAGAGCCGGGTAGCCCTAAGGGCCAATGAGCAGCCAGGGAACTGACTGAATGGATGAACGGATGAAAGAATGAACGATTGAATGAAGAAATAGACCTTTGGTCACCTTTCCCCTTTTTTTTACCTTGCACGATTTCCCTCCCTCTACTGTCTCTCAGTTCCCATCACTCTCCTCATCCGTACTCTCTCACAACTCTGTGAGCCCCATACCATCTTCCGAACAGACTTCGAACGAAAAATACCTATTCTACCTTTGACCTTGCGTCACACTGCTCCATACCATAATGACTAGCCCCCAGAACCAACAGAAGCGGCTCAAGCGCACTTTTTCGGACAGGGAAGAAGAACCTACGTCAGACATGGAGGAGAAAGCTATGCCGGACATGGAGAAGGAATCTACACCGGACATATGGACCGAAGGGGGACCAGCTCTGTACCCCACTATACAGTACCTCTGTCAGAGAGAGGAGTATAATGAAATTTTTCAACATTTTTGGTCCATGTCCTTTATGGCATTACCGCACATGAGGTCTCTACCGGCAGATTTCAAGAAGGGACTCTTTAAAATCAATCTAGAGGTACACGGTTGGGCTTGGCGCTTTGGTGAAGACAAACCTATGTCCCATCTCTCCTGTCATGACAAGCAGGCCATTATCGCCAGTTTAGATGGATTCTGTGTCCAAGAGGACTGGGACAAGATTCATTCCTCACTTCCTCCTGCTGCTCGCTCTGTGTTTGGAAAGGTTTTGCTAGAGGCCATGCTCAATCAGTTCATCTACAAGAAGTTTGCCACCTCTCCCTTCTGGTTTATGGATGCCAAATTGGATGCTACGGACCAGCCCGGGGATGCCAACTTCATTAAAAGACTTGACTATATCTACCAGAGGTTCAAAGAAAGTATGTCCATCTCAAGCCTCCATTCTCCCCTCTTCCCTCGCTACTGCATATTTAGAAGTCGCTAACACTTTGCCTTTACATAGTATTGCCCACGAACGCAGCTTGGTGGAAGTCAACCCTCGTGAGCATCTGCACGGCAGAAGTCCAGTTTGCGGGTGGTGCCCGCTACTCAGCACTTGGTCAACCCATGCTTGAACATCGCAAAGCACTCGTGAAGTCCTACGAGGAAGAGCTGTGGGGGTGCCGACTTTTCCGACTCCTCCTTAAAGACTCACTGAGCCAGTCGCTGCAGACTTTCCGCGATGACAGACTCCACTTAATCCTAGAGCTTGCGGCTCAGGAATTTATTGCTGGCCAAGCTGGTCTCTTTGGCAATCTCGTGGTTGAGCGACTGCCTGAGCTTGCAAAGTTTGATCGCCATTCGGACACTATGATACACCATTGGTATCATGCTGGCTTCGAACCCCAGGACGGTGCTCGGGTTCTTCTCGTGATACGTCCGCGCTACAGCTACCATGATACCCTTACGGGTATGAGTTGGATACCTGTACCTCCGGTCCAACTCATTCAGGCGGAAGTCGTGACGGGGCCGGCGGGGCCAGAGGAGCAGGCTCGATGGGCAGCCGCTGCTGGCGACAATGATCCTACCCAGGATGAGAGAATCGACAATGAGGGTGTCGACAACGAAGAAGGTGTAGAAGGAGAGAGTGAAGGCAAAGACGGACGGAAAGAAGGAGAAAAACAAGGAGAAGACGACGACGACAACAACAACAACAACAACAACAACAACAACAACAACAACAACAACAACAACAACAACAACAACAACAACAACAACAACAACAACAACAACAACAACAACAACAACAACAACAACAACAACAACAACAACAACAACAACAACAACAACAACAACAACAACAACAACAACAACAACAACAACAACAACAACAACAACAACAACAACAACAACAACAACAACAACAACAACAACAACAACAACAACAACAACAACAACAACAACAGCAGCAGCAGCAGCAATGATGATGATGAGAATGATAACAATGATGTTGAGAACTACGTAGACGATGCATGAGCGATAGGGGAATTGGAGAGAATGGGTGCCTGTGCCGAAGCAAGAATCTTGCTGATACATTTCCGATTTACTCTTTTTTTCTGATTGTATCATTTCATTTTTCTTTTCCTTTTGTCTTTCTTTTATGAGTTTCAGCTTCATCGTTCTTTCATTTGTCGATCACTATCTTCTATAATCAACTAGATACTAATATCAATTCCGGGCTTACATCTTATACCTTGAATTTCGGATTCTCTAGATCCGCCGTAGGATACTTCAGTTATTCAATCCCCATTTAATCAGTCTCTGTACAATACTACTATGGTATACCAGTATTCTACGCCATACTACAAGCAAGTGGTGATACTGGTTTATACTAGCTAAGACTTAAGTAATTGTCCCAAAATAGGCGTCGATTGTTTTATTACAGTCCGGTCGAGCCTTTTGTACTATTATTAGGTGATTATACGGACTTTCAATGACCCGAATACTAAACCACAATTCTGTCTCTAGCGCCACCGTGCATATATAAATAAAATAAAGTCTATAGAAACTTTCTAAGAATTTGCAGGAATTACCTATCACATTCAACAGTACTAAGTAAGCAGCAGTAAAGAGGAGAATTATATTCTGTAGTAACATCTCTAATCTCTTTTCTAAGACTGGACATATATCCAGTTACTTCTTTCTATTCAATACAGTCAGTCAGTTACAATAGCTGCGGGATTCAAAACCTACTACACTTCATTATAGATATGAATATGGCCTCCTAATTCTGGAATATCTCCTCAGTATCAGCCAGGAAAATTACCACTATACCATCCCATCCACCGGTTTTACCCTCTTTCGGGTCATTAGACGTCTGGAAAAATTGATCGATGGATAAATATTAATAGTTAATAAGTAGCGGAACGTGTAGAAGTGTACCTATCACACCTTCATTCCATAAAATACTCGTACATACATATACCACAGGAGTAAATCTTTTAAACCCAGGTAACAACTACCTAATAGCAACATATGTACTCAACTGAGTACCCCTCTGTAATAATATAAGTTACTTCATCACTTTACCCAAGTACCAACTTCAGTCTCTATTTACATATAACTTTATCCGCGCATGCCAAGCAAGCACCTCACCAACCTAATCGATCAATCATCTACTAGTCCATCTAGTACTACTACTATCAGCAGGTAAAGAAAACAAAGTAATGACAAGTCCACCTCATCCGAAATAATCCCAGTCAATATAATTTAATTCGTCCGCGCAAGTTAGAATTCCTGGTGGTTCCGAAGGGTGGTTGATCCAATAAGAAGGTAATGATTGCTGTCTGGTGTCTGTCAGGCAGTGCCCCGTTGTCCACATGGCCATGTGGCATACATACATAATGTATGTGTGGATGTATGTAAGTACCTATACAGACTTGACGTTCTAGAATCAACGGGACTTTCCCTATTTGGATGAGGCCGCTTTAATGGATTTTTGTTCACTCTGTGACTGACATGTTGGATCGTGTTAATGAGGATCAAATGCCTGGCAGGTCATCAGATGCATCGCGACGTCGTCCCGCGGTATCCGGCGTCCGTCGAGAAGCTAGGCCATTCCGATCGGTGCGAGGTGCAGGGGATCTACGTCACGAACTGGGTCATGACTTCTACAGGGACATCCGGAGTACGATGCCACGATTGCCTGCGAGTTGCTGGAGCAGAGGCGCGGATCTGTACTAGATCAAAGAATGAAGGGTGAAGCAGGAGTGTGGGTGTTGATGTTTGTTTGTGTGGCGATGAAGCGGTGGTATTATGGTATTTGGTGGTGTTGGCTTACAGTAAACTATACCGCTCCAGTACAGTAATAATACCTTACCAGGTACCACCAGAAACTTATCTCTCTGCAAGGCCAGACATCCTCTCTTGTTATTCTTCAAGTCATCTTCAAAGTGTTCTTCTAGGCTTCACTGGATATCTGTATATAATGTATTTCTTTCTAAGAGGTAAAGACAGATAGCCATCATGGTAGACAGGGCCGTTTTGTTTCCACGGTTAGAAGTTATATGCGAAGGGTATATGGGTCATATGTTCTACGAGAGTAAATATTTCTAAGTTCAGACCGTCTGCTCTACCCTAATGAAAAGAACATGATGTTGAGCCACTACCTTTGCAGTGAGTAGGCTAGTAAGTAGCATTCGTCTATCTGTAAGGCTCCTTAATGGTAGCTTCTAAGTTCTACCCTGTTGGAAAGCTCGTCGTGGAGACTGGAGACTGGAGACTTCCGCCGACCCTCTCATTGCCCCAACATGAGATGCTTCAGTCGTAAGCTTTCCCCGTCATTGACTCTGATTTCTAGGTCAAGGTATCCAGCGCTGTAAATAGTAACCCGAAAGCCAGTCAACGAGGAGGCTGTGGGCCGCGATAGGTTTTTCGCCGGCGTGAGCTTTGCAAGCAGGCTTGTTGTTGGTGAGAGCTTTACTATGGAGAGAGGAACAAGGAATGGTCAGCACAGCAGAAAGAAGGGCGTGGTGAAGGCATCTTGGCTGCGTGGATATCGATAAGCTGATTCATCGTTCCGGGCACGTAAGTGGCCATCTCAAACATAGGATTTCATTATCTGCAAACCAGATACAAGGATATTATTGGGTTCGCATATTCTCGGTTCTTGCTCCACTCGAGAAAAGGGATGTGTCCGTATCGTGGAAGATTTCATTGCACGCGGGCAGCACGAGGTCCGTTCGGGTCAGAACTAAAAGCCAAGCGTGTTGTGTCCCCATCTCCTAGTGATATTGTCATGTCTCTGGGTGCGACAGAGAGCACTGTCTTGAGTAGAAATATTCCACCGAACGACGGGTATGAATACTTGGGCGTTGTAGAACTCGGCAATGATTTCGAGTTTTACATCATTGTCCAGTCGCTGGCCGTGTTTCCAAGGTCAAAATCGATCGCCCAAGACATTAGATCGAGATTCTCGTAGTCCTCCAGATTGAAAGCACCAATCTCTCTATCCCCATCTCCAGCACTCTCTCCACCAGTGAGAGAAGCGTCAAGATCAGTGATTGGAGTCGGCATCGAGTCCATTACGTCAACTCTTGTCGCAACATCAGGACTTGTCCGAGCCTGAAACTTTGACGTCGCAAGCCTGTCCAGAATCTTGTCTAATTTCTTCGTGAAGGCCTTTGCCGCCTGCAAGCAGAAGGCTTGATTTCTTTCCCGCGAACTAGCCACCCTTTCGAGTTGCGACGTAAGGACGGAAACATTGCGAATCACGGCTGATGTCTTTATGCCAGGCGGATGGGTACTTGAAGGATCTTGCGTATTGTTCTCTAGTGTAGTCAGGAGGACTGCCGCGGACGGCAAGCCGCAGGCCAGAAGCTTCACCCTGTCAGCTATGACAAAAAAGATGATCGGTAAAGGGGTAGAGCAGGACGTACGATTTCAGGTAGATCATGCGAGGTAAAGGCGCCCATTCTGCGGGTATTTCCCAACCGAACCACTGTCTCCAGAATGTTTGCAGACACGTCCAGCAGCTCGGGAAGCGGAGTTGAGCTATTCTCTCCAAGAAGGTGGTATATCTGGAAATGGATTTGGAGATAGGCTAGATGAACCTTCGCATGCATATAACAAGTGCTCAGGGGCATGTCGGATTCCCAACAGTCCTGAGTATATCTTAGGTGAGGAAGCAGGTTATCCCACGTCTGACGACATCGAGAAGACAATTCTCTGAAACAGCATTAGTGCTGTTCAACCTTTGTCCGAATGATTGTACACACCTGAGTTGGGCAGGGTCAGCTGCCTGTGATGCTTGGAAACGATATTCCACAATCCCTTCCCGAAACTGACTTAAAATATAGCGCAATCGAGCCCAGGTTGCTGCTCTAAGGTTCCCATCTGTGTTCCAGCCATCTTTTGTGAGTCGACTTTTTGCATCCTCTAGTTCCTGGGGAATTTGGGCAAAAAGTTCGTCATCTGACAAATCAAGGGGGAGCTTGACGTCCACATATCGAGAGGTAATGCGAGGAGTTAGATTGAATATCAGGCCAAACATCTTCTCCAGGTAATATTCAGTCACAAAGCACCTCCTCCGGCACTCTGCAAGAAAAAACGGGGTTCTCTCGGGGGAATATGTCGCTTCCCTGTTCAAGCCCAGAGCCAATAAATCGGTCGAGAGATCGCCCACCAGACGCCACACACCGAGGCCTGAAATCAATCAGTATCCACCCATTCACGATACGTATAAAGGGGCTCACTCGTATCTCCTTCAAGGAATGACCTGAGCTGTGCATTTTCATTCGCCAACCATATAATGACGTCGTTTGACTGGGGTGCAAGGTCCCGAGCTAGTCGTAAGATCACCGTGCTATACCAAACCATGTCTGGGACAAATGCGGCATCCTTACCCTCGTCGCGGTCAACGAAAAAAGCCGAAGCACGGGCAGCCATAGTATACAAAAGACCGAGAGTCTCGACTCGAAGATTCGGGCCACAGAACAAGGCCAAGAAACCATGCAGGTCCAAGGATGCGGTGATGATAACCTCTGTAGAGGAAGAGAGCAGTATAGATTCTGATAACCGCGAAATATCGCCCAACTCAACTCGATCTCCCGTTTCTCCAAAAATATAGCCCGACGATACTAGATCTGTACGGAGCGCTTTGAGAAGGTGCAGAACGACTGGTTTGGGTACAAGTGAGTTATGCTTAGCAGAGTAGTACTGATGGAGACACTTTTCAATGACAGGAAGGTATCTCAACTGAGACACAATCTCCTTCATGGTGGCTAGGTGGGCCTCATAAACCTTGCTGTCATGCGAGCCCAGCAAGGGAGTGTCTGGCAAGGTCCCACTGTCAGAGACGGTCGACATAAAAGGCCATGTGTGGAATTTGGGCGGTCCAGCCGCAGAGCGTCCGGGATATTTTGCACTGGACCTGCTCCATGATGGTGCAGCAATGGTTGGTTGGGATGGCGTAGGCACGGCCGGTCTTTGTGCACTTGCACTTCGATGTTTAGTCAAAGGGGCAGGATGGTAGTAGCACCGAGAGTCGAAGCCACGACGCCGGCAGGAGGCACAGACTGGTTTACCGTGATCGCATCGAGTTTTCCTCCCTCGGCAAGGCTCACATGAGGCGAGGGCTCGATTGCGCCTGGTTATGGGTGCGGACATGCTCAATGACCTGTCTGGAATAGACCCAGTACTCCTTCGTTCGCTCTCCAGGTCCACTGGGTACGATTCGGTATTATGCAGACTCAGTATCCCGGTTCATGTCATTTTGCCTGGTTTCTTGGAGAGATTGTGTCATGAGAAACACTTACCCAGCTGCAGGTGAGAGTACAGTCTTGCTATCAGAGGCTCATCAGCTGACTCTTATTCCGATACAAGACCGGTACTAAGCTATGTATCGGACTGCATCTCGGACTTGTACCGGCATTGTCAAGCTGTTATTTACAATACCGGACCTTGCTACTATCCTAGTAGCAACCAGCAAGACGAGTTAGGTAGATAAACTTATAGAGGCCATTTCATCGCTCAGAAAATGGAATCAAAGTAAGTCGTGCTTTGCTGAAGGAACGAAACACACTACCATTCACAGATACTAAGACCAACAGTGAAGTTGAAGACATCACTATCATCCAGGGGACATTGGATGCCGTGCCCGCAGTCTCCGACCTTCTAGATACCGCAGTGCAATGGCTAGTCTCCCACAACAGAGCGGGACAGTGGGAAGCAGCGCCGTTCTCCGAGAATTCAGATCGCGTCGAGCAGTTCCGGGAATTTGCAACTACTGGCCATGGCCTTTGGCTTGCTGTTAGGGGTACGGATACCATGCCCGGAGAAGCTCCGATGGACATCGTCGGGGCATTTGCTCTTGGAGATAGGTCGCCCTATGTATCCCCTGTATCTGAGCCGGAGCTTTACGTGCGATTACTAATTACGGATAATCAGATCGGCAGACGCCTCTTAGACCATGCCCGTGATCTTGCCCGCAAGGCTGGAGTCTCATTGCTGCGAGTAGATTGCTACGCAGGTGGCGACGGCAAGTTGGTCCGATACTATGAGTTCCAAGGGTCTCAAAAATTTAAGGGTTTGAACAGGAAAGACGAATGGCCTTATCAAGTGCTTGCTCAACGGTTAGACGAGATGGATAAAGAAGAGAGATGATATTTATCCTCTTCATGGAAATGATACCATCCTTACTGTACTTGTTTTGCTTTCCAGCAGTAGTGTGACTATTGGATAAACGCCGCCACGCCTCTGCCTGAAGTCGTTCTAGTGCTCCTACAGCCCCAGCAAACCATCAGCAACCTGCTTGCCTAGCTTTTCGAGCGCTCCCATGCTCAGCATTCTAGCACACTGATATCTAACATCTGCTTCCACCAGGCTTGCATTTCTACCGCCACCATCGAGTCCAGGCCGAGTTGCGCAAGCGGCAGAGATATATTAATCTCATCATCTACAGACCGCAGTACCAAGTCCAGGAGCTTCTTCCTTATCCCCTGCGCTAACAAGGCAACTGACTGGGGTGTGTTAAGCATTTCTGGGCTGGCCTTGGCTGCGCTCAGAAATTATCACAAACCGTTGCTGGAGGCAGTCGTATTGCCTTGGCTACGGATATTATGAAAGACTGATATTCGGACGTCTTTGCGTAGCCTGGCGCTGCTGTCAGGAGTGCTGAGGGAGATTACTGGTGCAATGCCCAGTGACTGCCTCAGGCTGCTCAGGGTGTGCTTAAAACTAAGTATTCAGTGAGTAAAAAGCGGCGAAGGGTGAGCACTAAAACGGAAAGAGTAGGCCATCGACCGTCCTAGAAAATCAAGTACATATGTAAGTGCGGGTTGGGCGACGTGCATAGTTCCTACTTACTAACTACTATAAGTAACTAGCAGGTGGTTATTAGTGGAGGATGCAGAGTTATGGGGCCGACGCTCCAGTGACATCAACTACTTGCATTGTCAAGTCTGGTATTACTCTGTTGGGCATGTGACGTGCAGATGCAGATACGGAATTGTTCTGGTTGGTCGGTTTGTCATAAGTGGTGGGGTAAAAGATTATCATGGTGAATACAATGGAAGAAGTGCAACTGTTAAATGGTATAATATATTGGTCTATCGGTCCGTGGTTGTAGTGGGTAAATAATAGTAGTATCTAGTATGTACGCTCTGCCAGTACAAACAAAGGAAATAAGGAAAGAATCATCCCAACAGTACCCGACGCTGATAACCGAATGATGAACTGGTGTGTCGCAGAATGGTATCATAAAGAACAGAACGAAGCGAAGCCACTTGCATGCTGTTGCTGCTGCTGAGCTGGGGGTATATCTAGTCCACGTCCCCGTATGAGCAAGCACGCCAGTCAAGAAAGCAGATCCCCGTCCCAGGAAACATAACAATAGAAAGATAGAAGGAAATGTATCACAAAGGAAAAGTAAGAATAGAAAAAGCTTCCCGCGCTGATAGCGGGGTATCCGAGCAGTAGGTATCAATCACACGCAGCAGCAATCCAGTGAGCCAAGCCCAAACCAAACGCGCTCAAATGCAATCCGATAATAATGAGAATCAAGATAAAGAATCAAGGACAACGCTCACGCGCCTGTATTCCGTTGCGGTGCGAAAAATGCATCCCGTCGCTTATGTCGAAATCAAATCAGAGTATTACTTTTGGGGGGTTCCTATGTCGGTATAGGTTGTATAGTCGAAGTTGTATGCCGTTCTAAGCTGAGGACGGTCGGCGAAGAATCTCCTCGCAGTTGGCGTCAAAGCGCATGTTCCATAACCGAATGCTGTTCATCAGCTTCTCCGTGCTTTCTAGCTCGCGGTCCCGGCCGAAGATCGTCTCCACAAATTCGCAGCCCGCGTTGCGGCCCATCGAGACCGTCTTGCCACCCTCGCGCTTGGCGGCCTTCCACATGAACTGTTCACATGTCTTCAGCAGCTTCTTAAATCGCACCCACAGGCGTTCGCCACTCTCCAGAAAATCCGCAACCGTCTCACGCGCATCGCGGCGCTTGATGCGATCAATGCACTCGTCTGCCCGTTTCACCTTACCCGCCAACTTAATCAACAACAACCACAGATCGCCCGCGACATCTGCCATAGGGGTCGACGCGCCGTGGTGGAATACAGTCCAGTCGTAAATCCACTTGCCCAGCGAGTTGGCGTCAAACACACTGCCCAAAAGGATGATAGGCATTTCTGTCGGGTCCCAGTTCTTGATCGAGTATCCTTCGGGGATACCAGCACGCGCAGCGTCCTCTTCGGTGGCCTTCGGCGGCGGCTTGGCCGCGGGTGCAGGCTTGGGCTTTGACGGCGTCCGAGTGGAGGTAGATTGGCGACGCGCCCGGGCGCGTTTGGCGGAATCGACGTCATCTTGGGTAGGTACCTGGTTATAGTAAAAGTATTGATCAGTGGGTGGCTTTGGCTTGCGCTGAGGCGTCGACGGTTTGCGACGGGGAGGACTGGGTTCCTCGCGAAAGACGTATCGGGGGGCGTCATCGTATCCATCGTCGACCACATCTACGAAGATGGGTCGCTTGTGCGACGGCGGAGCGCCAGCGGACTCCCACTGACCGGCGGGCGCACCAGACATGGTACTGCGACGACGGTGATAGCCACCAAAAGAAGCACTTACAGGATCGTGCTTGCGCGGTGGCGTGCCCTGCTCCGGCATCGCTTCATAAATACCATGGCCATACCCGGAATACCATCCTGCCGTTTCCCTGGGACCGGCGTAGCTGGCTTTGCGGTTATGGCGCTTCGAGGGGCCACGAGGCGAGGCGTAGGGACTGGCAAATTGGGTGGCGTAATAGGCGTAGTGAGGCGAGGTGGGAGGGGAGGTCATGTAGTCGTAGGAAGACCACCCGGGGTGTGGACTGGGATAATGGTACATTATCGAGAAAGGCGCATAAAAATCGAGGCTGCAAACGGCGAGACGAGACACGAAACGAGAACTTTTTAATGGGTGGATAGCCTCCCAGAAGCACGACAATCGCTAGAGGTATAGAAAGCAAACAGCAAACAACAAAAAGCAACAACCCAGGTATATTATACAGGATATCGTTCAACAAGCCGATCGACGCCGGTTTAAAGGGACAACGGAATCGGGATATCGATAATGATGATAACTGAGGAAGAGGACCGTCACCGAGGCACGGTTTCTAGGGGAGAGGAGGAGGAGATTTGTATGTGCTGAGAGTGCATTTGAACGTTGTCGCTAACCGAACGGTGTGCGGGCAAAGGCGGCTGGCTGTGGAAGGAATGCCTTAGGGATCTCCGGGGGACAAACAGAGATCAAACGATGGGAAGTGTTTGCGTGGGGGACGCTGTGACCTCTTGAGAGGTATATAGTATATACAACTAGGAACAGCGATAAGCTGGGAACTTCCAGAAGGCGACCCAGGAAAGGGATGCGACAGGGGAGAGTAGGTGTGAAGGTAAGAGTAGTATATAGATAGGGAAGAACCCAAGAAGGGTGTTGTGTGTGTGTGAAAGGGGAGTCACAGAGGAGCCAACCGGTTTTGTACGGACGGCAAAGACAGAAAAAAGGGCACGGGCGCTGCGGTAAACTTGGTATGGAGTGGGGCTCCCAGGTATAATCCCGTCGGTAATTAATCTTTCCAGACTTGCTCTTGCGCTGCGGCGGAGCCACGCTAGTGGTTTAGTGGGCTTAGTGCGGTGGATTTAGTTCGTCTTTTAGTGACTCGCTGCTGAAAGTTACCGTTATGTCACGTCTGGTATGTTTGCTGACCATACGGTAAAGTACCCGCTGAAGGTTGTGGTTTCAGGCCCAACCACCACCAGCAGAAGCAAAAAGGATGGATGGGCGAGGGATGGCCAGGGAGGGTGAAACCCAAGCAAGTACGAGTATCAATAGAAGTAAAAAGTATCAGTAGTAGGAGAGTTTAACACTGCAGGATATTGGAAACGTCTCATCCCATCCAGACTGTTGCAAGGTCAGTCAGGACAAGACCAGACAAGGCTGGACACATTCTCCCTCAAAGAAATCGCCGCAGGGCATCATCCTAGGGCCAACAGCGACTCGTGCTTTAATATACCCATTATCTAGTTTCCCCCCTTTGCGGCATGGCGATGAATCATCCGATTGATGGGCGCCATTGCAAGAGTCATCTGAACCGCTCTGTTGGGCATCCCGCGTTCGCTCCCTGACTGGGCGACACGATGAAACAGGCAACGGCAGGCTCGCTACGGAAAATAATGCGCAGAGGGGGATCCTCAGATTCCCAAGCCCAGTCATCTTCTTCAACATGTCTGTCTATCATGCTCGATAAGAACTACCGCGGCGTCTCGCTATTGGCGAACCCATGACTCCGCCGCCTCTGCGTTCCTCAGCAGGCGTGCGTACCTACAGTGGGAGCCTGCCGCATAGCAAGGAGCACATCACGTTTTCGGGGCGAAAGAATGTGAGTCATGGTCACGTTGCCACAGGTGGCTCAGTCGCGAGTAAGCGATATTAATATCTTGCAAGGCAGTCATCGTGAGATGGACGCTCGCTCTCTTATACAGAGCTTGTCCTACCCTGGGTGCCTAGCACTGTGGCGAGGTTGAGTAGGAGCCTACAGTGTCTCTTACAGCGCCTCTTTATGGAAAGAGCCATGCTGGGCATGCTACCGAAGGAGCCGAATGTACAGAGTGACTGCGTCTCCAGCATGGGGCCGATCCATTGTCCAAAGTACCGTACAGAGTACATCAATAGATAGGCTGATCTGGCGGGCACGACTATCGACGGTCGGTTCCATGGACAGCGTGCGGATGAGCCCGTCGGTAATCCATGGTTGCGATCCGGGGTCGCGAACAAGCTCAACTGTTCGAACCAATGGAACCATAAGGCATGGAATATCTGACTCCCTTAAAGCCACGAGCCATCGCATGGTTGTTGGGCAACAGTTGGAAGTGGATGGGCGTTACGGATGGGCGTTACCGCTGCCGACCAACTGGGCAGCAACCACACCCTTTTTCATATCGGACGACGCCTGTTGGACAGACCGCAATTTGCGAGTCGACCGCGGTAGTTTAAAAATTCGTAGGGTCAGAATCCGGGCATTTGTCTGGCGAACAGCCTTGTGAAACTTCCAGAGATGCTCATGCTGTCTGAGCTCTAGACTATTGAAGACTGCATAGTGCTGGCGTCTCTTGAATGTGATAGACGCCACTGCCCAATACGGGCAGGCAGGTAGGCAGACCGAGGGAATTAGCAGAGTACTTAGTAGCGCCCTCAAGCTCCCAAGCGACCACAAGACTTACTAGTCCTGCTACTAGCAGGCTGTACTAGTAGTAGTTCAATTCAAATCCGTAGGGCCAGTCCCCAGGCTGTCTCCCAATAAGAATTCGGCCTTCCCCGGTGTCAAGACTCCCACGCAATCAGCGACCGGGAAAGTAGCGATTTCTGTGGCCCCTGGCAGATAGGCAACCCTTTTCTGAACGCTGGCTGGCCGAAGGGCTTTTGCAAGGTCACACATGGCGCTCTGGGTTAAAGCAGGTCAGAAAAGTATGTGATCATGGTTACGTGGTGGCGTCAGCCTGTCGGGACGGGAGGAGTCACAATATTCAAGAGCATCCTGAGCCATATCAGAAACTTTAAGAGAGATGGGAGTCCTCAATCCTCGCTGGACTTGGCTGAACCTGAGCGACTACTTGCATTGCGTTAACCACCATTGGATAAACTCTGCCGGGCGCGGGAGCAAGTCCGGGTGCCGCTGAGAGAGCTCCGCTCGGCGTCAACGGTTCGAATGCATAGATGGATTGCGGTGATAGTGTCCTGATTGGGAGGGGGGAGATGCGGTCCGCCAATCTACTTCTCTCATTGTATAGTGAGATGCGAGAATCCTACTACTAGAAATGACCTATCGTACTGGCAGATACTTACTTCAATGTATGCTACACGACATGGCGGTGATAGGACTATTTCCCTGACTGTGCCTACACTTGCACTCTCACCTCATCGCCCGCACCGCCGAATCTGGAAGGCCTCCAGAAAGGATGGTCAGCAACGTAAATCAAAGTCAAACAAGCACCCCCACAGGGCCAGTCCCACCAGCAGAGTTTTCACCGTCCCTTGCTCGGGGAGCCGATGATCTAGAATAGACTGTGCCGTGCCTTGATGGTCTCGCTCTTATTTTTAATTTCTTCCTTTTTTCAGCTGGTGTTGCTTTCCTTCTGGAATATGCCTTTCGATTACGCTGTAGCCTGTATGGTATGGTACATACAAGGGCCCCGTGTACCTTTGTCCCGAAATTAATGCAAATATTTGGCCCTTGATTACATTTCGGGCCAGACCCATAGAATGCCAGAATGTCCCCAGCCGAATGTACTCCAAATTGATACACAAATCCACAACAGCAACACAACACCACAGTGAATAGCAACCTATCTTCAAACCACAAACCAATCTATCTATCTCATTTTCCATCAACTAATTTCCCAACTGGCACACGACCCTTCCCTACACACCCTCCCTCCCTCCCTGCCTCGAAAAATAAGCAACCTCAGCACAAGCAACTAAGCCCCTGCATATCCTAGACCTCCCAGCCGCATGCCGATCGCGCGGCCGGAATTTGAGTCTCATTTCCGCATCCTTTCACACAATACCCATTAGAATTTGATACCTGGCTTACTCT